GGTGTAAATACACATCACTCATGAAATGCTCTCCTGTTGGGTACAATTTACCTTAAATGATTTTACTGCAAAGAGGTAGATATGGTCATATATCTTTCCTCTAACTCACATGTTGGCTCAACACTTTTTAGGTGACTTCAATAGGATGATAGAGTGTCACTTCACATATTTGGACCATTGCAACACCTGGCATCAAAACTGATGATATATATTAATACCTGCATGCCTACTTCAGAATACCATCAATGTCTCTGTTGTAGGATGCTTCCAGTTCTGGAATGACTGTGTCCTGACACTGTAACTTATATATTTGTTCACTTACTCTGTAGCCTTATGCCCACCTACTTGGAAAATAGCATTATTGGAATAAATGGGACTTACTTCTGCTTTTATAAGCTTGTGCAATATCGATACTAGTGACTGGTGTAATGCCAGGCAGAAAAGCAATATATTGCTGTAGTCAATATGTGCTGATATGTAATAATTTCCAGATTTCTGTAATAATTGATATGTAATAATTTCTGAAATAACCACTACAACAAAACCTACAATGCCTTTCATGGTATCATGAACTAAATATGTCTCAATTCAGTCTTGTAGCACTGAGTTTAATCAGACCTGTATCAACTGAATGTAGGCAAAATTACAAATGCCACTATATGGTCATTGGGATGCATGTTTATGAAAATCATAGTAATCTCCCCTTTTTGTTCCAGCCTCCACTAATTACAAATGATTATTTAAACATTTTACAAAATTTTGTTTGCTAATTTTGTTTTTTTCCTTAATTATAGGTCTATGATGGCAACAGTACAAATGCTAGGATGCTGGGAAAATTTTGTGGCAATCAGATACCACCCACAATCCAGTCTACTGGGGATAGTGTATATGTAAAACTAAGGACAGATGGTTCTTTGAGAGGTGGAGGTTTCCTTGCTAATTATAAGCAGAGTAAGTTTAATCAATCTGACTTTGGTTTGTGACTCCATCTAGTAAACATTGCGTTCTTCATATATTCAGTATACCTTTTCCAGATTTTGTTGGAAGATCTTCTTCGCAGGAATGATTCAAGTGTGTAAATCACAAAAAGGAAAATGAAGATCTCAAACCCAACTCATGCAGTGACTATTGATAGATTAACCCTTCATGAGCAGGAGCATAGGACGCCAAATCACTCCAAATCCTGCCATTGATCAATTTAGTTTAGTAATCCGTACACTGACTGACACAGTGCAAGACAACATCATGTCCCAGCCAGTCCCAAGCATCCTAATCAAACACCTTTTGTGGGCCAAGCAAAAGATGTTTGATGCCTTTCTTTCGAAGAGTTTAGAGTGACATAGTGGTCATCTTCACCCATAACATCAACCATGTAGTTCTCAGATATACCTTTTAATCCTGATCAGGAACACAGGACTCACTATTCAGTTTTTAAATGTCACTATTCAGTTTTAAAATGTCTTTGTGTGTCTGTATCTGTGTGTGTGTGTGTCTGTGTGTCTCTCTGTGTGTCTGTCTGTGTGTGTCTCTCTCTCTCTCTCTCTCTCTCTCTCTCTCTCTCTCTCTCTCTCTCTCTCTCTCTCTCTCTCTCTCTCTCTCTCTCTGTGTGTGTGTGTGTGTGAAAGAGAGAGAGAGAGAGATGTCTCATTTTGTTGCCTCATAAGCCTTTGGGAAGAGTTCTCACAATTACTTAAGGTTCAGACACCCTAAAATCAATAAAGTAACTCTTCAATTTACAGCGGTCTGCTGCTGCTAATGTTCCAGAGACATTATTCCAGCAGAACCTTGTGCCATACCAATTATAGTTTATAAAACTATAACCAGGGGCCAATCACAAAAAAGCAAGCTAATTAGCATGCTGTGGGGTGTGTGAAAAGTTCGTGCTGTGACTATCTTCCAAGAAAAGTCCTGCTTTTTAAAACCTCACATTGTATAATTTGATCCAAGCTGTGGCTCTTCCATTATAGGCCATTTCCCGTCTTATGCACTATGAGCTCCTGTTCCATAGTATAGAATTTTAGTTTAAAGCTACCTGTAATATAAACCACAATATAAATTCCCAACAAACTTAGTTCATATTATTAGTACTGTTTGAATATCTAGATTGTAAAATTGTAGGATGTATAACATTTTTTAAAATGTCTTTTTGAAGTTTGCCGGGGAATAATAATCACCAGGCACCAAGGCATATTGGAAAGTTTAAATTACCCTGATAACTACCCTCCGGGTACAAACTGTGACTGGACCATCCAAACTACTTCTGGTAACACCCTCAACTACAGCTTTCCAGCATTTAGCACAAAAGGAGGAGAGAACTGTCAACGTGACCATGTAAAGGTATGTAGAAAAGACTTCTTGTTTTTTTTACAGTGCCTTATATAAGCAGGATAAACAAAATGGAAGGGAATAAAAGTGGATAGGCAAGGAATTATGAAGGATGGTGGTGAGGATAGTTTTATAACTTGAAACAAACCCTCTGAACTATCTGCTGATTCAGACAAGAGCTTTCATGTTCAAAATGCATACAGCCCTAAAGTGGCAGGTATACAAAGAATGAAAAGAATTCATACATCTCAAAATGATGGTCAAACATGGCTTCTGGCCATATGTCCATGGTATTTTAAGATATAAACACTCCTGTGGGAATTACAGTATTATGTAGAAGCATATGCTGGATTTTTTAAAGAAAACTGTAGTCATAAGCAAACTTACCAGGAAGCTGACTTCATCAAAATCAATAGGATTAACTTCAGAGAAATTATGTTTAGGGTAGGAGCTTTCAATTGAAATCAGTATTTTCCCTACACAACAGTTCTTTCTCACTTCTGCCATCTCCTCGTACATTTATTTATTTTTCTAGGGCTTCTCTGGTGGGCACAATCCCAATGTCTTCTTATAAATGCTTTCAGAAAGTTCTTTTTTAAAAACAGGGTTAAATCTGCCCTGGGTAACCATCTGGCTGTTTCAGTGTCACAAGAAAATGGTGCAATGGATTTCTACTCCCATTTGATAATGATTTTGAGGTAGTCAGGCCTGATATGGCCTGATACCTGCTTAAGGAAACATGGAAGACATACGGTAATTTGTCTAATAACTGGTATACAAACATCTATGCATCTGATCCAGAAATAGTGAAGATTTTTTACATCTGTCACTCTGAAAGCAGAACTAAATCCACAGTACTAATGTAAAGGATTCACAAGAAAGATAGCCTCTAATTATAATAAACCTCAGATGACTAACAGCTCCAAGATGCCACTGTAAGATGGGTCCCTCTCTTTCACACATATAAAGCCAGGAAGAATGACTAATAGTTTATTTTTAACTGCATATTTTCCTCAACTGCCACACCCTGTCATTTTAGACCATTTTGTATTTTTTTCCCCCTTCAAGAAAGCAGCTGCCATATGACCAGGCCATTCTACATACAGTTTTAGCACCATCAATTTGTTCCCATATTTGTTGAAGGGCAATCTAGCGTTGTATGCAAGCTCACAAGTGAAAGACAAACTTGTACGATGACTGTGTTAGAAGGTGGGGAGCCTAAGGTGGAGCTCATTCCCAGGTAAATGTGTACAGGATTGTACCCTTAGCCCACAAGTTTTTCTAGAAGAGTTGTTACTCAGGTGCACTTGCTGGTTGAATTTCCTTTCAATTAAAAAAATACTTGAGAATATTTTTTAAATATGATCAAATAGCCTTCCTAAAAATCATGTTCCTTGTTCCTTTCTTGACTTGGAGCTGGTTGAAAAACAACAGTATTGATTCTCTAAATCCTGATAAAAAACAGAGCTGATACTAACTTGCTAAGCAGGCTCTGGTTTAGTATAAAGCCAGGACAAGCATCCTTTCTTTACGAGCACATGAAGGGTGCTGACAAGATTTCGGACCTTGTCGTCCTAGCCTTGCTGCAGGAAATACCACAAATAGCCCTCTCGTGGTTTCAAAAGTAAACTTGCATTTTTAGACAGTGATGTGTTTCTCCTACTGAGTGAAAAGGAATGTATGAATAATTCATATGTAGTCCAGTCACTTTGGCGCTCTGGGAATGCTTTATATTGCATCTGTTTTGGAGTATACAATATCTCACAGAGCAGAAGGCATCGAACCTAGAGTCTCATCCCGATGAGGCATTTATCTAGCATTTGCCCTCCATCCAACCTGGAATTTTATCCAGCTTTTAGGGAGCTGTGGACTACTTGAAGCCTCCTTCCCCGTGTTCTCCCATTGCTTCTTCTGCCTCTCTCCCATTCCTGTAAAATGTTTGTTTAAAAGGAGGGACAAACAGCTGCCCAGAACTTGACTAGTATCTCTAGGAACCCTTTGTCTGGAAGAACTCTAGATAAAATAGCTTTCAGGTTTACAGTGATAGTTATAATTACAAAATAGATATAACACCCAGCAGAGCAGTTACAGAATAATTCCGAGTATAATGAAAACAGTTCATACGGCTCATCTCAGTTTGAGATATTAAAATCAGGAGTTGGGTAAACCAGTCAGTAGAAAAACAGACAAATACTGTAGAACTTCAGTGCCAGAACTGGCCTAAGCCGTTTTTGCCCCTTCTTTTCTCCAATCTGCAGCTCTTAGTGGCAAACTCCAAGAAGCATAACTGAGAATCTAGAGAGCAATCTTACTAATCTTGTTGTTGGCACATGTAGCATGGGAGCAGTGAGCTAGAAGACACATTTGCAGTAACTCGAGGTTTGAGCAAACACACAGCTACATCTATCGACAGAGCAGCAGATCATTGCTTGATAAACTTAGGGTGCAATCTCAGGACAAAATAGATTGCATTTTGGACTGCTTGCGGAGCAGTCTGGGGAAGTCTGTTTCCTGGCAGTTGCATAATGGATGGGGAAATGCTCCCCAGACCAACTCTGTTTTGTACCCAAACTGGATCTTTTTGGTCCACCCGTAGGTCTTCTACTTTTGGGGCCCAAGCAGGAGCAATTCCCCAGCAGATAGAAAGGTCACTTTAAGGGAGATTCCTTCCTGGTGTGATCAAGTGCATGCCTTAGTAGCCACCCAGTTGCACTCTTAGTAAACACTAGGGTTGACACAGTTTAGGACAGTTGTTTTGTATTGCATCAAGGTGGGTAAGTTTGATTCACCACTCTTGGAGCAATCACACACACACACACGAGACAGACAGACAGACAGACACACACACACACACACACAGAGAGAGAGAGAGAGAGAGAGAGAGAGAGAGAGAGAGAGAGAGAGAGACCTACTAACACCGCTTTGGTGGTTTAAGATACAGTCATCTGATCATGAAGCAAGTGGGCAGCTATGATGTAAGTAGTTTAACAACTGAAGACAGCGCAGCAGAAGCCTGATATGTAGTGTTTCTTCAGATCAGCTGCTGCTGCTTTATCTGTACTCACACATCACCCAACTGGAAACACCCATCTTTATTGAAATCCATCTTGGGCAGTGAGCGACCTGCACAACTCAGTGGATTAGAGCGCCTGGGGTTGGGGGGGGGGTGTCCATGTCTCTATTATGCCTCCCAACTACCAACCCAATTATTTATTATATATTTATATTATTGTTAGACACTGATTGATCTTATTCAGTTCTCCCACCCAAACATTCCCATAGACAAGGTGATATTTATGGCATGCAGAGAAGCAGCTGGATTGCGCTGCTTTTTACGCTAGATGTTTAGGAGTGTGTTTGGCATGTTGCCACCTAGGAAAAGGTCACAAGTAAGTCAAGAGACCTGAGCTTGGAAGCAAAGAATCGATCAGACCGATCGAAAACATGGATAGTGAGGCCTGTGGCTGAAATTATGCCGAAAGCGAATACTGGATGCTCTTTTTTGAGCAGAACATCTGAGGAATGCCAAAGAAATTTCAAAAGATTTTGCTAAGACTAGCATTTCCTGGGTGGTAATCAGAATTTAATAAAAAGTGACATTTGAAGGGAAGATGTTGCCCTAAACTTCACCCTTCAGAAAAAGTATGCAGTAAAAATAAGATTTACAGTCAAAGGTATATATGCAATAGTCCAGTTCAGGCATCATGGCCAAATCCTGCCATGGCCCCTGAGGCTTTCCCTTCTTCTTTCTTCCATTCTCACTCCTTCCATTGCCACCCTTGCTTTCTAAGTGGTTTTTCTTTCTAGTTTGGAAGAAAACTATGATCTGGGGCAAATAAAACTTGCCATGTTCAGACTTTGTAGCAAACTTTAGTTTTATTAAATAGGGAGGAAACTGAAAACTTTCCAGGGGTGCGTTGGAGTGGTCAAACTATAATGTGCCTACTATGACATCAATACCAGGACAGTGATTTATAGAAACTATAAAGATCTATGGCTAGGTGAGCATAATATCTGAATAACTGTCTAAATAGAAATGTTACTTTAGAGGTAGATTACTTACTTGAAACTTCTTGATGTGAGAAATAAATAAAAGACACATCAGAGACCCTGGTCAAAATGACCTGTGATCTGAACACCATTACAGCAGCCTAAATTTGGTTGAGTTGTCACTCAGCTGTGATTTTCTAGAGAATGAATAATGCCTGAGATGTTCAAAATTCCTCATGAAAATGTGCAGCTGTCCTGCTCCTTCACGAAGGTGGCACAGATTTACCAAATGCCTGTAACTCTAGCTGTTGCCTCACTCTCAGACAGTTACAGCAGCTGTCTTGTCGTTTTCATTTGAATTTCCTGTGAATAACGTTTGCCTCCGAGAACTGAGCTGGGGGCTCAAGAAGAAGCAGTGGTTTCTATGGCAACCATTATTTGTATATTTGAAAATCGGCCTGTTTGACTTCAGTAGAAGTGCGTAGAAATATGAAGTTGCTAGTGTTTACTGGGGGAGGAAGCCCAGCAACTCCTACTTGATGTAATGAAGGTTAGGAAAGAATTACGCAACTGGAATTTATTTTATTTCTAGAATTGAGAGAGTATTACCGCTCTCAGCCTCTGTTGCCATTGCAACGGTGGTATTTCCACAGCACTCCTGCTCATAGACTGGATGAGTTGCAGTGAAGTGAGAGGCATGTGAGTTCGGAACTACAATCTTGGTTCAGAAATGCAACCAATATTTTCAAACACTCCCTAATTCTCTTCCTTTTTAAGTTTTTTCTACCTAAAGGCTTCCTGAAATAGAGTATTTCTTTCTTAATGGGTTTGTTTTCCCCATGGAAAATAGAAGAAGGAGTGAAAAACTGTTGAGGGTTATGAATGGAGGATGAAATCCTCTGAAGCCCCTCCAAAAATGTGGAGAATGAAGAGGAGCAATGACATTGGCTAAAGCCATGCCTGGAACAGAAGAAGTAGGACCTGAAGGATAAGGCAGGGTCAAAAGGCTCATCCTTTCACATCCCTGTCATCCAGTGGTAATGAATGGGAAGGTGTTGAGGATATAGCTGAATTGAAACTAATATTCTCAATTGCATGCAAAATAAATTCCAGTGGTGAACCTTTTGAAGGATAGGTGTACATTTTTTTTCTTCACTTTGAGGTTTAATGGTAGGGAAAAATGTATGGAGTGTGCATGCGTGTGTGAAACAAAAGCACAAAATAAACAAGTGGCAAATTCAAATAAAAATGAAAAGGTGCACATGAAGTTGTAGATAATACATTGCCTGAAATCCTGTTGTACAGATATGTGTCTTTAACACAAAGCTACAGAAGTGCTAGAAAATATTGCGGCGGGGAGAAGTAATATTCACTAACAAAGTGAAACTATAAAATGAACACTATACAGTAAAACAAAAACTTGCAGTACCCTTCTCTATGCAGCCTAAATGTTCATATGGATGTGTGCATTTGAAGAATGTGCACAAAGTTGCATATGCTTTGCAAACTGAATCATAGGCATCCTTCAGTCTCAAGAGACTATGGTAACATGCTCTGAATCGAGGAGTGTCCTCTCCAGAACATGAAGCCCGGGTAAGGTAATGTGGAAGATAGGCTGTTACCCAAGCAGCAGATCCCCCCTCTCCACATTGCTGAAATGATCCGATGGAAAGGCAAGAGCCAATACAACTGGTTCCAGCAATGTCGCAGGAGTTGGCAGAACGACACATGCTGCCTTCGGGACTCCAGCTCCGGATTTTGCCTCGAGGTTAACTCCTGAAGCCTCTTCCATGAGTGGATATAGCCACAAGGCAGTGGAGGTTTGAAATCGGAGTTTTCCTTCCTGCAAACTGAATACTCTATACAAATATGGATAAATTTATGTGCAGAGAAAAGTGAGAAAGTGTACTGAATCAGCAATACCATCCCTGGTCTCATCCAACATGGTGTTTGGATATGTGGTACTATGACTCTCATCATCCCCAGATAGCCTGTCTTTTGGGGGATAATGGAAGCTGTAATCTAACTTATCCAGAGGGCAACATATAGATGAATATACCTACTTACCTACGTTTTGTGTGTGTGTGTGTGTGTGTGTGTGTGTGTGTGTGTGTGTGTGTGTGTGTGTGTGTGTTTTCTAGGTTGCACAATGAAGGGGATTTATTGAGCTAGTTATATTAGTTGCAAAACATTTATTCCTAAAAGATACTATGCAAATAATAACTGCTCCTGTTTAAATGTGTATTTCTTTATAAAATAAAATAAAATAAAATGGCCTCTCTCTTCACATTTTCATTTTCTTATGTTTTATTTCAGCTTTATGATGGGCCCAATGCCCAGTCCAACTTGATAGGCACTTTCTGTGGGGACAGTCAACCGCCATCTGGTGGTACAGTAAGTTCCAGCCTTCACATAGTGTTCTTCTCTGACAGAATACAGGAATCTACTGGATTTCAGATGCTGTGGAATGTCAATGGTAAGTCACTTGCATTGCCTGTTGTGCTGTTATTGCAAGGTTAAGCCTCGCCACCACCAGCAGCTTTGTTACCTTTTTTTGCAAGTAGTGAACTAGAAAACATTCAGGGGGCTGGAAATTGAACTTCCTGCTGGCATTGTGGTACTTATCTCAGTAACTGTTGCCTGTAAGTTGCTGCCCTATTCTACCTAAGAGATACATCCAGAATGCCTTCAAGTGATGATGGATACGGCTACCCACTTGATGGGTAGCATCTAGTAGTATCCCTATTGGGGACATTGAGAATCATCAGCACCACAAGCCACAGATAGCATCTACATCTTTCCACACAGAAAGGTGAAGACAGTCCTTCCTGGAATGTATCTAAACATTTTTAAAAAGTCAAGTTTAATGAGCTGTTGCTGTTGCGGCTATAATAGCCACTTAATATCCAGAAATCAAAAAGCAAAGGTCTGCCAAGCACAGAAGCAAGTATTATGACCCATTAATACCAGCGCATCTGATTGCTGTCGGTGGCAATGGAGCTTGGCTAGCATCGCTAATTATTGAGCGAGCCTAGGAATGTGAGTCTCTCATTCTTACTGAGAAACCAAGAAAAAAATTGTTCTTCTGCCAATGAGACTTGTTATGTGCAAGATATTTTCTCAACATATCTTGCAGGAAACTGCAGATTTCTCAGAAATTCCATGGTCATTTTCCCCAGAAGAAATACTGCTCTACACGGGATTATTACAATTCTTGAAGAGAATGGTCCTTTTCTTATGCACAAAGATTCACACAGAAAGAGGAGAATAAATGCCAAGTTGTGCAGGATTCTTGTGATTCCTGTGCAAAATAATGTTTCTCCTGTCCAGGATTTGCTTAATGGGCATTAAACTACACAGAATTTGGCAGTTTCTTGCACGAAACATTAAGGGATTAAAAGGGGGAAAGCAGGGGGTTATATTTTAATGGGAAGCCCAGAAATCTGATTGGTACAGAAAGAAATCTTGATGGGGAATCTTATAACATTGAAACACAGAAAACTGCGAACAAGGAGAGTTTTTTTTCAAATACTCATCAGATCTCTAGATGGTTTGGTTGACAAGTCTGATCTGTCCCTTTAGGATAGTACTGCTCTGTTCTTTCCTTATTTTCCTATTTTAGCTGTTTGTAACTTACCTATGGTAAAGATGTGTGTTGTCGTTTCTTTTATACACATCCTTTTTGACTTGACCACAACATTTAGCCATACAGTACTGCATACCTATGCCTTGTGGAGCATTATAAACTCCATTGACCGAGCAAATGTACATGCCATTTAATAGTTCAATATGATACAAATAACTATGTTCATGTAAATTATGTCCAGCTCCCCCCCTTTTTTTTCAGTTCAGGGCACATGTCTACACATACAACTTTGTTGTTTGACCTGTTTAACAATGGCAGCAATGTAACACTGCAGGGAGACTGAAACCTGTAGCATAATTGAAGTGTATCCACTCAAAGTATGTGTGGAACTGGAAAAATAATTAAATAGCTAGTGTTGCCTTGTCTATCTAATCATTTCACACTATTCCATTTCTGACAGCACAGGGAAGCAGCTAGAATCTGGATGCTGGGGCCCTAGTGTGGGTTGTTCCTACATAGGGTTCAAACTGGAGATGCTTCTCAGCATTGGCTTAATACAGACCACAGTTACTTAGCATTTCCCAAAGGACATTCCCTTTGGCTAGATTTTTTGTGACCTTGGCCTTCAGACTGTGGGTTGGGAGAGAAGACTCTGGCGGGGTGGGAGTGGGGGGTGGAGCAGCGTCCCTGAGAAGAGAAAGGCTTAAGGAAGAGAGCTCTTCAGCTGAATCTTTGGTGGGGGTGGGGAAGTGTTTCTGAACAATAAAAAGTGAGACCTTCAGGCTGTGAGGTGATGTCATCCCAGCACCACACAAAGGAAGTGTGGGATAAGGAGGGGGGGTGCCTTTTTTCTCTGTAGACGGATGACCTCATCCGCTTCAGAAAGGCTGCAGTGTTAGCTTATCTTTTCTTTCCCTCATACTTCTTAATAGTTTCCAAACTCTGCCCAGTGGGTGAGCTCTGTTTTCTATTAGTTTGAAGCCCTCATCCCCTCTAAATTCTACAAATTCAGCTATAGCTGGCCTTTTGCTGAATCCCCTGTATTCATCCTTCATGGAGCTGAAACCTATTTTCAAAAAGAACCAAAAGTTCAAGGTAATTGGCTGCCTTGTTCTTGTTTTGGTCAAAAAAAAAAAGATGCAACTTCTCCTCTAACTAAATTCAGGCTAATTATTTGGTATATATTTAATATATTGTTAAAAGGTGACAATCCCACACTGTAAATGAACATTACATACCGCTAATGCTACATTTAACGGGGTTGCCCTCTAACTCTGTCATTTTGTTGCATTGTGTACGAAACATGTGTACACCCTAAAATGACTTTTAATCAGGGCCAATTCACCTTTAATTAGCATTGGTTTGCTGCTGCTGCTGCTGCCATCTCTGTTGTGCATATGGAGCTAGACAACAGGATTTCAGCCACTGTCATATCTTGGAGAATCTTGGTTTGTTTTCAGTGGCCATCAAGAAGCAAACTTGGTGGGGTTTAAGAGAGAACTTGTACCAACTTCTCAAATTTTGTTTCTGTTTATTTAGTTCATCATTTCCAAAGGGGTTAGCTGCACTGAGCCTGCAGCAAAAACAACTAAAAGTTTTGTGCCCCATTAAAGAGTCAGGAGTTTTATTTGGAATTAGTTTGTATGGATTGTGATCTTCCTTTTCAGATGCATATGAAGAAGTGACCTTAGTCAAACAGTGCTAATGCATAATCAAACTTTGTAGACTTTAAGGTGTCCAGAATTCTTTGATAATGTAGTTTGCCATTGGACCTTTTTACATTTTCTTTCTTTTGGGACAAAATGTTTACCTCTCCAGTGGAAACAACCACGCTCGACCTTTCTTCACTGGGGGGAGGGGGAGTGATTTTCAACAAGCCTGCAGCATGGAAAAGGAAGGGACACACCATCCTGTTTGTGTCCCGCTGAATTTGCAATTCCTAATTATTAAAGATACCTTAGATTTGTCTTATGTCTTTCAGCTGTAATCACACCAGACATTCGGCAATGAGGTATTCCTCTCTCAGAAAAAAAAGAGGAAATATCCCAGTTGTCACTAGCGATGGGCACAAACCTCAGTTCGGAGGTTCGTGCCAGTTTGTATGTGCATCCCCTTCTCTCGCCTCCCCGACAAATGACCCATTCACCAGTTGGAGCAAACGCCTCTCCTCCTCTTCAGCTGTTTGACCAGGTTTGCCTGGCCTGCCTCCTTGTCTGATTGAGTGATCAGCCAAGGAAGTGGGGCAGGGAAGCCTATGCTTCTGCTGGAGACTGGTTGAACAGCTGAAGAGGAGGAGGAGAAGAGCATGCACTAACTGGTGAGTGGGGGATCCAGCAGAGGAAGGGAAAACACAAACCCACACAAATCTCTGAACCAAGGTTTATGCCCATCTCTAGTGGTCACCAGGAAGAAGTCAAACAAATAGAGAGGGATTTTGTGACCTTATGCTTGCATACCGAAACATGCTTACCTGTAGTAGCATGCGTAATTTTTAAGAAAAAAAAAACCTAGTGTAGCCTTATAGAAATATAGCCTTATAGAAATAAGGCTATATTGTGTGAACAAAAAGATATTGGCTTAGTAAACATCTGCTAGGATGTTTTCTGTTACAAAGGTCTTCACCTAAAAGAGATACAACAGCCACCAAATCATGTGTTCCTATTTGTTGTACAGTTTCCAAGCAACTGTAACTCATGTGGGCAGACATTGAATGTACTTTCCAAGGGAACTCCAAGACCTTTGTGAGTTATAAAAAAGATTTTTGAAATATATGGTAGATGTTCCCCAAAATAACTTCAAGGAGTGGTGTCCAAACTGGTGTAAACAACTGAGCCCCTGGAGTCAAATCCTCAGCCAGCCAGCCAGCCAGCCAAGGATTTCAGACTCAAATAGTCCTTTGCCTTGGAACCCTTTTGCTGTGCAATACAAGCTCTAAAATGTACTAAAGTTCACTGGGAGAGCCATAAATGCTTTCATATCTTTTTCTTATACTTTTATGTCTCTTTTTGTCTCTGCTTTTTAAAGGCCAGCATTTGCTTCAACAAATGGCAAATTCCATTCTATTTTTTTAATAGCTGCAAAATCAGATCACTGCCTAGGTGTCTGTTTCTCTTTCTCTAAGGTAGTTGTCAGAAATGCATCAAGCTGGTTTTCAGGGGGAAAGTGGCCCTCTTTTGGACTTTATGCTTAAGATACACCTTGTTCTTTGGATGGGGACCTTTCAGCAAACATTTGGGAGTTCTCATTCAGTATTTGGACTTACGCACAAATCTGTTGCCCACTTTTAAATATCTATCAAAGAACTGGTTTTGTAGACAAGTAGAAAAAAATGCTTTGAACATTTTTATATTGTGCATTTTCAGCATTTCCTTTCCAAAGGGAACTTCAGCCACTGTGTCCTAATATGCCTAGGTGGAAGTTTGCTTTCAGTTTCTTCTCTTTGATAAATGGATTCTTGACTAGGAGGACCTCTTGTTTTTGCAGAAGTAGCTGCTGGAGAGGAACACAGCACATGTAATTCACCTAAGCTATGACTATTGTGACCACATTTTCTATTAGTTGATCCCAGGGGACTTCCCTGGGCAGTGTTTCTTGGTTTGGTTTGGTTTGATTTGATTTTTTGCTGGCAAGAATGCATTTTCTAAGTTGTATTTGTTTGAATGGTGTTGCCGTTCATGGGTAGAAAGAGCAACTGAAGGACACTCAGCAAGGCCGGCTATGCTGTCACACAGAGAGAGGTCTTTGCCTTTAGCAGCAAATAGTGAGCCAGGAGTGATGGCAAAGTGTTGTAGGGGCAAAGCTATGGTGGACCACATGGCCTGCTAATAAACTAACCTCTAGTCTTCAGGAGGACACAGTACAACCTCTAGTGTTGAAATAATATCCAACTACCAGTCCAAACAATTTCTGCAAGCCCTTGGGGCGAACTTAATGTTACAGAAGTGCAAGGAGAAATCAGGAAATGGGCAGCAGTGGAAAGCAGGCAAGGAGCTGAGTGAATGTGGATGGTTTAGAAGGGCAGGAAAGCTATGAATATTTTTCTGTGAAGCCTTTTTATGCATATAATTAGTCAAGCTGGATGATTCCATTTGTAGTTGCACGGGGAAATTATACCTTCTAAAAATATTATGAATAAATCAAGGGAAGGTTGGAAGTTAACCCAACTGATACGTGAGGAATTCAAAAAGAATGTTCTGTGTGTGAGCTTGCATGTTCAACATAGGAGTTGCCAAAAAAGAAAGGCTGCAGCTAAATTTCAGACCTCATGATTTTTCCACTGGTCTAGCCCATTTTGAATTTCAGTCAGTTCTGTTTTTGTGGCTAACCGGAAGGTGTCAGTTGGAGAGGTTTAGTCATAAAAGCCTGTTTAAGTTGAAACATTTCCCGTACTTTCAGCCCCAGATATTGCTGCCAATATAGTCTTGCATTTTCCCTTGGGAATTAAACCACACAAGAACTCATATTTTGGGGGCACTCAATGCAACAGTGTCCAAATCCACTCTTCTGCGGTGAAGGCCCATTTTAGTTCTTCCAAGATTGTCACTGACAGACAAGGTTGTGAAGATGGTTTTGCTATATGCCTATATTCAGCACAGCTTGAAAACATCACCCCTCTTTTTGACAGAGGCCCTCAAATCCCCAAGCCAGCAGTTATCCCTCCACAAAGTAACTTTTCTAAAAATCTGATATGTAGCCAAATTCCAGAATGACAGTCATGTTTAAAAGTCAATGGGCAGAGTAGTTTAAAGCATTCACAACAGCAGATGCTTTTTGTGGATCAGCCCTTTTTTATGCCCAGCTGAACAGGCGACATGTCCCAAGAGTGAAATTGCCTCTAACCCAATATGTTCAAGTATGGAAAAGTAAAATTAATATGAATTCCAATTTTTCTCTTGTATATTGTTTGCACCAAATTCCAGAATGACAGTCATGTTTAAATGTCAGTGGACAAAGAGCAAAGAGTAATTTTAAAGCATTCACAACAGCAGATGCTTTTTGTGGATCAGCCCTTTTTTATGCCCAGCTGAACAGGCGACATGTCCCAAGAGTGAAATTGCCTCTAACCCAATATGTTCAAGTATGGAAAAGTAAAATTAATATGAATTCCAATTTTTCTCTTGTATATTGTTTGCATGCTACTGAACAACAGTATCCTCCTGGTGATTTACAACAAGAAGAAAAGTAAAATTAATATGAATTCCAATTTTTCTCTTGTATACTTATATTGTTTGCATGCTACTGAACAACAATATCCTCCTGGTGATTTGCAACAAGAAAATGTTTGAGATGCAATTGGCAAACAATCATTAGAAAAGAAAAAAAGAAGCAATTCTGAAGCAGACTAAGCCTTAGCCAGACTCTGAGTAGTAACACCCAAGACTTGGAATTGACTTAGGACTCCCTGATTGTTGGTGCCGAGGGCTCAGGTCTAATCTAGAAATGGAAAGTGCTGCTTTTTTTAAAAAAAAAAAATTACACATGATCTGCAAGGTTCTGGGAGCTGTCATCCAAAAAAGCATCACTTCCCATCTCAGGTACAGCCAGGTGCTGTACCCAACCCGTAAAGATCCAACTCAGCATTGATTCTTCCAGAACTGATGCTCCCCAAAGGGCCCATTTAGTGTTTGTTTACTGGATTTCATTGTAAAGCTGTCATCCAAAAAAGCATCACTTCCCATCTCAGGTACAGCCAGGTGCTGTACCCAACCCGTAAAGATCCAACTCAGCATTGATTCTTCCAGTACTGATGCTCCCCAAAGGGCCCATTAGCATTTGTTTACTGGATTTCAGGAAGCAGTTCTGTAAGTGTCAGGCCAGCAGAGATCCTGATCCCACTGAGCTGCACCAAGGAGGGGTGGCTGTTTGGGTGATTTTGCATCCAAGGACAGTTTCAGCAGCTGCAAAAGATGGTGATGGTAGTAGTTGACACGGGATAGAGGGGTACATTGGTCCATGTTGTAAGGAGGCCCTGTCAGCTCTACGAAAGAATCAGAAATGGGAATCGTGTACCTGTTCAGTAGACTAAGAAAAGCTTGGAGCACCTTCCTATACGAAGATGGCAAGTATGCTAAGAAAAGCTTGGAGCACCTTCCTATATGAAGATGGCAAGTATGACATGCCTTTCCCTATAGAAGGGATGTCCCACCACTGAATAGCAACGTGCAAAGTGCAGGAGGTGGAGGGGATAAAACTGTACAAGAAAATACATAGTGTCACTAAGACCAGATGTGAATCAGTGGATAAGAAATGCATTTATTAACCACTCCCTTTGAACTGCAGAGCTGGAAGAGACCCTAAGGATCATCAAGTCCAGGTCCTCTCAAGGAGGCACCCGTGGGGAATTGAACTCCCAACCTCTAGCTTTGCACCCAGAGGCCTAAGCCACCGAAATATCCAGCAGTTATAAAATTCTGTTTTCCCAGATACTGGGTGTAGATATTTAAAAGCAGTTAAAAACAGATCTTCAAGGAACCCTGTAGACCAGGCAAGGGTAAAGCGCCACTTGTGGGTCCCCTTCGGCCTCCGGGACATTTTTGTAATGCCATCATGTTCAGAACAGAGGAAAGGCCTTTAGGAGCAGTGGGGAAGGTAGATACCCCCAAATTATTCTACCGTTGGAACAGACACCTTTCTAGTATTGTTGCTACATATGCAATACAGTCGGGATCCTGTGGCAGCGCTTAGGCTAATAGACCAAGTCTAACAGAAAATCTTGGAAGGAGCAGCACTGTCCCTGGGTGCCCTCGGGAAAACGGAGAAATCTTCCAGCACAGAGATATAGGTGCTGCAAAAGGCAAAAGGGGAAGGGAGAGAAGGAGAGTGCTCCACTGTGGGGGTTGTGAGAGGAGGGAAGAAGTCACTTCCCCTGAGATCCATCGACTGGCTTTGTCCGTCAGAGCAAGAGCACGGTAGGATCCAGACTCCATGCTGCTTGTGTAGTATGTGCATGTGTACAAAAATGTGCAATTCCTGGCTAATTTGTTGAATTCTGCCTTTTGTCTGAAGGGGTGTCTTAAATACCTACGCCTTGCTATTTAACACAGTGAATATATTTATTGGAAAATGCAGTGCTCTAGCGCTTTCATAATTTTATGAGACGGCAAAGCTAATAAATAGCTTTATCTTTCTTTGTAAGGAAGCCCACTGTATCTACAGTGTTTCCTTTAGATAAGGCGCCACCATTTCCTTTCATCTCGTGAACAGCAACAGGAAGAAAAATAAAGTTACCAACAGTAGTCATAGTTGGTAAGGGCTCAGAGGACAAGAAATGGATACAAGAAGGCATTACAGTACCTCTCCTGAAGCATGATCTGTTCCATAATTACTCTGTTACTCTAGCATTATAATTGTATCTGTTAGAGTTTGCGAATTCTGACTATAATAAAGTTACAAACTCTTGTTATTCTTACATTATAAAAAGTTATGTATTCTGGGGTTTGCTAATTCTAACCCTAATAAAGTTGCAGTGTCTTGGAAGAAGAGTTAAGCAATGATTTTTAACTTTGCTTGTAGCTGGGCTGTCAGAACGTTTTAGGCACTGAACTATTTTCTGAGGTTCACTTGATCATGGACACCCTGACTCATACACAAGAGGGGTCGTGCCCTTGCAAATGGTGTAATCTAAAAGCTTTAGCTAAGCAGGGCAGGGACAAAGAGTAGCTGAGAGATGTTGGGGAGGGAGTGGGAAAGATGGAAAACTGGTTTCTATTGTCCCTTGTACATCAATAGGTATTTTCCCCATGGGATTCAAGATTTATCCATATCATAGTGCAGCAATTCCTGAAATTTATTTGAAAAGTGGATTGAACTAGGATTCCGTGGTGTTCTATTCATGGCTACAGCTTTCTGTTAATAAATATGGAGCCAGGGAAGGCGTGGGAATCAAGAACTATCTTGTGCAGTCTTCCCAGTAATGATAGCTTAATCCAGCTACAGTCAAAAGTCATTCTGGGGCCATAAAATAAAATAAAAACTGTGTTAGATAAATGCAAGCAAGGTGTCCTGTACGCAGTGGTCCCCAACCTTGGGCCTCCGGATGTTCTTGGACTTCAACTCCCAGAAATCCTGGCTAGCAGAGGTGGTGGTGAAGGCTTCTGGGAGTTGTAATCCAAGTACATCTGGAGGCCCGAGGTTGGGAACCACTACTGTACTGTACAGTTTTCTACTTCATTTTTGCAGCGAGTCATTATGAATGCAGGAGCCTCCAGTATTGATCTACTCTTTCTGCTCCACTGGCTCAGGCAGGCATGCCCCTCCTTTACCTCATGGAAAGAACCAGTTCTGTTTCTTGAGTTCCCCTCATAAACCTACATGTCAAACCATAGACTGCCAGTGCATCTGAGCTGGCAAACAATTATTTGCACACACTTGGACCAATGAACTGGATGATGTCCACTATCTGAGGGCAGAAGGCTAGTTTAGGGGACAGAGGATAGACTATAAGACAGACACAAGCTCTGTCCTCCAAGAAGGAGGAATGACATACAGGGATAAGATGAACAATGAAAAGGATGCAATTGGTGCCTCCCTTTGTAGGATCTACTTCCTGGGATGGTTGACTTACAGGCAATTACATATGAACCTGCTTGTTGGGTCCCACTCTTATTTTCTTATGGTACAAGTTTGTGTGAAGCACCCTGAACTGCACATCTTTTAAGCATACTGTCCATGTAAACTTTGCACTTAACATGTTCATTTTTCTACAATCCTGAACTGTTTTGCCTACTTTGTCCAGGATGTGGTGGAGAGCTGTATGGGACTTCTGGATCTTTCCATAGCCCTGGATATCCAAACAATTATCCAAACAATAAGGAATGCCACTGGTATATCCACACAGCCCCAGGTAGTAGCATTCAGCTCACCATTGTGGAATTCGATGTGGAATACCATTCGAACTGCAACTATGATGTTTTGGAGGTAGGTGGTTCTGGTTTACTATATTACACCAATGCATGTTTCCTTCCGGGTGCCCAAAATGCAAACTAGTTCATTCCTTCACATTCCGTTCCAGTCAAAACAATCAAAAACAACAATTTTTCATGCTATGACTGGTTTAAAACCTCTTGTCTGTTATAACAGTACGACAATAGAACCAATTACCTTGGGACATAGTGAGTGCTCCAGCATTGGAGACATTCAAAAGAAAATTGGACAACCATCTGTCAAGTCAGCTTTGATTTGGATTTCTGCATTAAGCAGGGGGCTGTATTCAATTACCTGTAGGCCCCTTCTAACTCAATTATTCTATGATTCTATGACTATGGGTTATTCTATGCAGATAATGGTTTTGACAAGAGGGTAGAAAGAGGAGAACCAGCTCGGAAGTGTTTGCAATTCTTGGTTGTTGTTGTTTTTTAAGCCTCACCTCTTGGGACCGTACATGTATCTAAAACTGTTCATGAAGATCGATCAATCAAAAACAGGCACTTATCTTAGAAGACACAAAAGATCCTATTTAACCATGATCAGAGAATTTGTAAATAAGAAGTGAGCTCTCTCTCAATTGTGGTGTTATGAAAGTTTCCATAGCACAATGGAATACTTTTTCCATTGTTTCCTACTGCTTTTAGGAAACCTGTAATTGAAAACTGAAAATCCCACAACTTATTTTACTGTTCCCTTAATGGTTTGAAATTAAACCTCTTTTTAAAAAAAATTGGTTCAGTGTGTTTTGTGGGAATATCTTGAAATCTTCAGTGTCATTAAAGTCCCATTCAATTAATAGCTAGAGCTGAATATTTTTGGAATCATGAATGCACCTTACTTCCTGGAGTCTGGCCATACCACTTCTTTTTACACTCAGCCCCCTGGTCCTTAAATGTTTTCCTTGTCTTCTACTACCTCTCACTTTCAAAGACAAGACATCTAATGTATCCTTTTGCTCATTACCTTTTCCGGATCTTCCAGTGCGCAAAGTGACTCATTGCCTACCACGGTCTTGTATCAAATGGCCCCAACTCTGAGTCAAACCACACACCTGTCTCTTGCCCACTATCAGTGACTTAATGTAACAACATACCTAGAGTAGGTCCAATAGACCAGTGGATATTTGTTGAGTCCGCTCCTCCATAAATTCCATTATTTAAATAGGCCTACTTGAGTTGCAACTTACTTTAGTAAGTCACAACTAGAGAACATCCAGTTGAATCAATGGAACTTAGGGAGGAGGTGACTCTCCAAAACCCCACAAATTCAGGGGGCCTACTCTAGTGCAAATAACTAAGCTAAGCAACAGGGTTTCAGCCAGTGATGTCAGTGATTGACAGCAGTCTTCCAACTCCTCTAGTTTAAGGTTTTCCCATAATCTGCTACATGTCCATTGGATTGGAGGTACTACAAGTTGAATGTGGAGACTTTTGCATAGGGACCATGTGATCTAACAGTTGCTAAGCAACAAGGTTTTTGCATAGGTGATCGTAGCCACTACATTTTGAAAGGGACTGTGGGAGATATATAAAAATCCATGACAATTTAGCTATAGTTTTACAACCAGGCCATCAGCATCTTGTTCTGGATGCTGATTCACCTGTGCATTTTCTTGGAAACATGGTGGTTTTAAGGAGATAAGAAAAGCTCAAGTAACAAGTTCCATTTCAACTGCTTGTACAGTTATCACCTTGGCTTTAAATTAAGTTATTGCCATTGTTCTAGATTGTGGATGTACAGCAGCCTTATGTTAACTGTCCGTATAAAGGTTTAGGATATTTAGAATCCATGGTGGATAGCACAAGCGGTTAATTTCACTTGGAGGTCCAGTAATGGACAAATATGGGGGGGGGATTAAAAAAAAGAGAGAGAAGACTGGAGATTCACTTCTCATTTTGATTGGGGTGTAGTTTGAGTCCTGAGACCCGTTTTGCAAAAATTACTCCTGGATGCCTCTAGGATCAGGGAAATCCACATGGGCAGAGATTTTTTTAAAAAAAGAAATAGATGAGGAAGATCTTGGGGCTCCCATGGAAGTGTGTGGAGCTCTCAAAAACAGGATTAGAAGTGGCCTACAGCCTACAGTTTGCACTTTGTCCACCCCTTGTGTAGCACCTCTGGGCTTTTTCTCCTCCAGTGAGGATTGTGAATTCACCCATCTCTATCTCAAAGCTTGGGGGGAAAAAACTTTCCCAGACTCTGACGATTGCCTTGCGATAATTCCTTGGCAATATTTTAAAATAGTCAACTATTTCAGAGGTTTCCATGACCACAACGGCATTCCAGTCTAGAAATGAAAGACTTTGGTTGGCTTGGCCTTTCTGCAGTGCATCAGCCACCCACCACACCCTTTTTGGAGATTGCATTCTTTTCTTCCTCTCCCATCCAAAGCACATGTGATTAAATCTCAATGTTGCAAAGAAAAATAATCTAATATTCAGTTCTCTCTCTGCCTGTCCCACTCCTGCCGCCTGCCTCCTTTAGCAAGTAGCCTTACCCCAGTAGCAGGGATTCATTTTACTTGCAGAAATCTGTACCACAGGGATGGCCAGCGACAGAAACCACCCTTTCAGTTGCTCATAACTTTGGAATGTTGGCCCAATTGTCACAGTAAACTAACAGAGCAGAAACAAATGGCAAAAACAGAATAAAATCCACAAGCTTTATTGATTTGCACTGCATTCTGCACTAGCTGCTGGAAGAAAGCTCTCTCTCTCTCTCTTTCCATTGGATGTTCCAACTCAACAGCATTTTCTGTTGTTCATCTAACAAGGCATATGGTAGTTTTGCACGGACCACACCCTGATGTTCTTTCTCCCCTCACCCAGCCCTCTAGACAGATGGGATGGATTCATGTGGTTAACAATTGGCTTTTTCCTTTCTGGCTGAAATTAACTATTATATATATATATATATATTTCCTGTCATGGAAACAGTTTTGGCTTGTTTCAGCTCCAGCCTTTCTGAAAGCATCTGATTAGCCAAACTGGCACATACAGTAAAGGAAAAGCCACTCCTTGGTTGATGGGGTTTTGAAATAACCTTTGATTTTGAAACCGTACAAAAGGCAGTTGTGAAACTGGCTGGCCATGTGAAAGGGCATTGAACAAACTGAGGGTCCGATGAGATGAGATGATAGAGACACAAGAATCACCTTCGGCCTTTTAAAACCCTTTCCAAACAGCTGCTGTGGGGAGGGTGATCTATTTGGATTTAGGACCAAGATGTCAAGAAGGGGACCTCTAATTCTTTCTCCCTCTGGGGTTTTCCAGGTAAAAGTGGCCTCCATGTAAACATGCAGATGCTTTGTGTTTTTTTTTCCAGGTAAAAGTGGCCTCCATGTAAACACGCAGATGCTTTGTGTTTTTTGTACTAGAACATTGGTTCCCAACCTTGGGTAACTTGGGTATTCTTGAACTACAACTCCCAGAAATCCTGTCCAGCACAGCTAGTGGTGAAGTCTTCTAGGAATGTTAGTCCAAGAACTTCTGGAGACCCCAGCATAGGAACCACCGTACTAGAACATTACCTGGAAATGGAGTGAAGTTGCTTTACAGCTAATATGGTCCTGTGGATAGAAACGTGGGCCTAGAGAAGCATAAATGAAGTTCCACTCATGCAACAGGACCCCCACGCCTCTTCCCTTCCCTTGCAGCCCCCGTGCAAAACAAATGCTGTTCCTTGGCTTTTGTAGGAGGGGGGTGAAAGCAGGTCTGCCAGCCAGAACCAGGGTGTGGCTAATTGATCATTGACTACTGATTTGGGCTCATATAGTGGTAATATAACCACTATATAAGACTTCTTGGCAGAACCTTAGTGCAGGGCTGCAGTACAGTTTGTCTCAGTCCAAGAGATAAGAGAAATGGAGAAAACTCAGGTGGGCAATTTACAAATATGGATGGGGACAATCCATAGTTAATACACAGTGCAGTTGTAGACTCCTTATTATAGAAGCCGCCTCCTCCCCAAATCTGAGCAAAGCCTTGTGCATGAATGAATGCTTCCTGCTCTGATTTCCTTCTGCTCAGCCAGAAGAAGAAATAAACTACCATGTGTTTTTACTTTGTCTTACTTCTGGCTTCTTGTTACACATGACTCAGGAATTGTGGTTTGAATTAAACTCTAGTCAATTGCTATTCAAGCCAGCTATGAGTTTGAACTTGTTTACCACTGTATCATCCCAAGGTCATTAATTCCCCATAAATCATAAATGACTTGATGGTTCATAATAAAATCATACTGTCCTGAAGATACCACATTTTCCTTGATTTCAGAAGTTAATAAGTGTGAGTGCTCAGCACTTAGATGGGGAATGCCAGAGGCCACTAGGTAGAGCTAGGAAATAATCCTACCTTGAAACCCGGGATAGCTATAGTTTTGGGCAATTCAACTTTAAATGAAACATTGATCCTGCTAATTGAAATAACTTTATAGAGAGAGCCAGTATGTTTCTTTTCATCCTAGCTGGTAAGGAGAAGAACATTTTAGTTTTTCATTCTTGGGTACGAACGTGAGACAAGCAAGGATTTATATCCCCAATGAGAGGTGAAAAGGAAACACATGCGACTGAAAACTCATTCATTTCTGCTCTTTTGGGTGTGCTGCACTACAGTTTAGCACCATGTGTTTAGCACCTGCGAGAGGCGAGATTTCTTGAGCACAACACTCCATACAGGCTCTGTGCTATGCTACAAACGGAGAGACAGAATGCCGCTTTTCCTGAAAGGAAATACTGTATGTCATTATGAACCCAGCCTGAGCACAGAACCACATTGCCCACGTCCTTAAAAAAAACCCTCATTTTAACAGCAGTTCCATTCATTTATATATATATATAGCAGTTCCATTCATTTATATATATATAGCTAGAACATCATCTTTCACTAAGTGATAGCACAGAGAAGCAATTATGAATTCAAATCACATGTCAAAATGCTGCTGCTATCTGAAATGAAAGCAGTTATTAAGACCTTTGAGCCTTAAGCCACAGAAAAATATCTCAAAACATTTTTGTATACATTTGGAACACAGAAAGAAGGTTTGATGCCTACTTATTTTTCACATCCTGTATGAATCAAACTAATGGAATTAAAGGAGCTGCACTGTTCTTTCCACTGAGTATTTTTCCTGGGAAAATATGGGAATTATGGTTGTTTTTTTAATGCAGAAAGGAAGGGCATGGCAGGGTGGAGCATCTCGCTGTGGTTACTGCATTCAAACAGAGTGAATCAAAATAAATACTGTATGCTGATATTCTCTATAGTTATGAACTGATGGGATTGATTCAGACTGCAAAGCAACTGGTCTGGTCAGATGGCTTTCCCTAAAGGTCAAAAAGAAAACCCTGCTGAGATTGAAATGTGTCCACTACAAAATGTACAGTCTGGAAATATTCACAGGTTATTTCCAAAATGTAAACCCTTTGAGCAGCATTTCTGCAAGTTATTAAATGTTCAATACATTTTGAGAGTTGTGCATTGGACTATTTCTTTCTCTGCGTGTTTGAAGAAAATGCTGCCCAAGAGCCTCTGCTAAATAGTATTTTTTTGAAAACTTTCAAAACCAACTACAAACAGCTCATGCTTTGAGGTCCTTTTACTTAACAATGGTGCAGTAGGAAGAGTGGGTTCAATTGTTTGCTGGAATTGTGGTAAACTGCAAGATCCACAATAGAATAAGGGTGGACAAAGTATAACCCTGAGGATGTAGATTGCCTCCTACAGCTGTTTTTGCAGAATCCTGGTTCTCCTTTTTCACCCCATTTTATTTTTTTAAAAAAAGTTGTTTTCAGCTCATGGAATCCTTCAGGAGTGGGGTGAACCTCTTTTCAAATAGATCACCAGGGATGGGGACATGAGTTCTGGGACTCACTGCCAACCGTTGACTTGACTTGGACTCAACTCAGGGTTGTTGTTTGTCATCGGGACTTGGACTTGGTACTTAGTACCAAAGACTTGGACTTGGGACTTAGACCCAAAGACTTGCCAACATCTCTGTAGATCACAACACCCCAGCACTTTAGCACAACAGAAGACCAATTGTTCAAAACTAGAATCACAGTTTGCTTTTTTTGCATATCCTTTCCCTCCCACTTTTTCTTTCCTTTCCCCTTCCTTCTTCCTTTTACATTATTTATGGTCTGTAGAGTCCTCTGTCCTTGAAGCAAAAATCTGACCCCCAAATCTTCCAAATCCCCGCCCCCAGTAGAGTTAGGAGCAATGGTACTGAAAACGTAGCAGGCAAAATAATCCAAGATCTTTAGCATTTGAAAATTCATTTCTTTTCAAAATACTATGGAAACATCCTACAAATAATAAATTTATCCATAAGAGACTCTACAAATAATTTTTTCCCTCTTCCACAGAGTATTTTTTTTGTGTGGTTGCTCCTGCACTGCGGGCTAAACCGCAGAAGCCTGTGCTGCAGGGTCAGAAGACCAGCAGTCATAAGATCAAATCCATGCGATGGAGTGAGCACCCGTCGCTTGTCCCAGCTCTCGCCAACCTAGCGGTTCGAAAGCATGCAAATGCAAGTAGATAAATAGGGACCACCTCGGTGGGAAGGTAACAGCGTTCCGTGTCTAAGTCGCACTGGCCATGTCACCACGGAAAGATTGTCTTCGGACAAAACGCTGGCTCTATGGCTTGGAAACGGGGATGAGCACCGCCCCCTAGAGTTGAACACGACTGGACAACAATTGTCAAGGGGAACCTTTACCTTTACCTGTACATCCTTGGTAGACACTCCTTCTGTGTTTTGTTGTTCCTTATTTTTAGATCTATGGTGGGCCGGACTTATCATCTCCAAGGCTGACCCAACTGTGTGCCCCAAGATCACCACAAAATCCTCTGCATGTCTCCAGTACTGGAAATGCCATTGTAGTCCGGTTTAAAACAGACCAAGCTGTGAATGGGAAAGGATTCAATGCGACCTGGCAAGAGATAACTGGAGGTGACAATGAGTGTGTGTGTGTGTGTGTGTGTGTGTGTGTGTGTGTGTGTGTGTGTGTGTTGAGGTGATGGCAGTGGGCTTGAGGACTGCAGTTAATTGAAAAGCAGAAAAAAAGCTTATATTATTGTGACTTGAGACATTCATTTCCTTTACTGTAAGGAATAACACTTTTGCTTCCATGGAATTAGCTCAGTCTTACCGGGCCTGTTTGTCTGTGACCCCTGGAACAAGAGATGTGATAAAATGACAGTAAACAGATGCCTTGGAGAATGTTGGAATACATATGGGTTGAGCTCAAGGCACAGCTTTTCAAAGCCTTTACTTTAGCTCCAAACCCTGCTTTAAATTGGACTCTTACATTCATTGAACTGAGTTGGAAGGGACCTGATCCTGTCATCTCTCTGCTGGTAACGTATGTTGCAAGACTATGTTGCAACCTGCAAATAAGGCTGCAAAGCTGGTGCCTCTGTTTCAAGTCAGCTCTAATAGAAAATAAATATGTAGAGTCTCCAGATTTGTAGCTATGGGTGGAGAAGCAATTCTCATTAATTGAAGTTGTTGTTCATGCAGTTTTTGGTTTGCAGGAATGTTGATGAAAAAACACACAGGGAGAGACATTTTGGTTCCTTGTCATTGGGAAGAATACATGAATGTCAGTTTCTATTTTTCTTTCTTTCTTGAGTTATACATAAATAAATGCTCATGACTGTATCATACCTCTCAAACATCTATTTGAACTACAGTATTTACAAACATGCATTTGTCTAATAGATACTCAATACCCAATTTTTCAGGCTGTGGAGGAGTTTTCCAAGCTCCAAGAGGTGAGATCCATTCTCCCAATTATCCTCAGCCTTACAGTAACAACTCCGATTGCTCCTGGGTGATCCAGGTGGACAGTGGTCACCGTGTTCTGTTGAACTTCACAGATGTTGCGATAGAACGCCACAATTCATGTGACTTTGACTACGTTGCAGTGAGTAATTATAGACATTTCAAATAAGATTCTTTCCTACTGATAACTTTGTTGCATAGTGATTCATTTATTTTCGTTGGTTTATAGGAATAGCAAGTAAATGTTGCTCCTTTTGGACAATGACTCATGTGGTTCCCCCACCACTTGGGTCTGATGGTAGCTAGGATTGATGGGAATTGCAGTCTAACAACATCTGCAACACCAGAAATCGGCTCAGTCTTGGTTACAGGGAGGTTCCGCTACAATACAAATGGTAAAGGTGCTGGTCCATGACATCAAATCAAGTACCAACAAGTCAGGAAAGAAGCTCCATGAGAGAAATTCCAGGCCAGTCCAACTCAGTGGACCAAAAAGATGGTACCAGAGTTCAGAGCTACAGTCTATCCACCTATCATTAAGAATTGACCATCCAAATGGGAAGAAACGTTACTAAATGACCTGATCATCTCAGCAGGAGATCTAACAGGCAGGAAGCAAGGAATGTTGAAGGCTGAACACAGAAACAAGAGGTAGGCATGATATGACCATTGACTTCAGCAAAGTTGGTCTGGGCTTGAGATGAAGCAAAAGCTCCTCCCTTGCTCAACAGTAGAGATGAGGGTATTTGTATATGAATATTCCCCCTACAGCTGCAGATAACAAGGCCACTCACAATTCCGCTGATGTCACCAGTTCTGCGGAGCCTACCTATCTCTCCATGGCTCGTGACGGATTACCCACTCTTTGACCTGGCAGAGAGGTTCATCATCCCGCCTTCTGCCAGGACTAGCAAATCTATCACAAGCAATGGAGCGATAGGAGCAGAGCTGACGGCAGCAGCGGAATAATGAGTTGTTAGTCTGGCCCCCGGGAGGCAGACCCTCATTATCTGCCCCTGTGGGGGAACATTCATAAACAAATACCCCCATTTCTACTCAGCAGCCAGTACCCCATTATTTGCTATTGCTGGGTAGTGTACCTTGTCAAAATGCTTTCTTGTCATCTCCTATTGACATTCTCTAGGACTTGGGACTCTTCAGACCCTCTCTCATCATCCAAAAAGTTTAAGTCCTCTTTGGAAAAGCCTGGGTCTCACTCCCTTTCCTGAATCTCTAGGGAGGGGGCTATTAGCTGGCATCTTAAGCCCTTCTTCAGTCCAGTTTCCATCCTGCTGGGACATACTGTCCTGGTCTTCCTCCTCTATGGAACACTCTGCCATGGCTAAAGCATGGTTCTCTGCAGTCTTCTTTGAACAGTCACTAGGTGAGCTGTCACAAGAAAATGAAGTGACAGCCTCCTGTAATGCATGCATTTCTACATTGAACAATTGCTACAGTAGTTTGGAAAAGCTCAGTGAGTTTGCTTCCTTTGTATTTTTCTCTACACACAGCCTCTTATATAGGTTGTACCCATTCCACCTCAGGTCCTCTGCACAAAAGCAAAAAGCAAAGCTGCTGCTTTTATACCGCCCCATAGCACTTCAAGCACTCTCTGGGCAGTTTACAAGTTTACAAGTTTATTTATTTATTTATTTATTTATTTATTTATTTATTTATTTATTTATTTATTTATTTATACATACCCCACCTATCTGTTCAAAATGACCACTCTAGGCGGCTTCCAGACATATAAACACAATAAAATGTACATATAACAAAAAAAACAATATACTATACACAATAACAATAAGCAGCCAACAATAAGCAGTAGACATATTTTTCAAGATGGCATTATAACAAAAAATAAATTAAAGAAGAAAAGGTTAAATGTTATCTGGAGGGAAAGCCTGCTTGAACATCCAAGTTTTGAAATGGGTCTTAAAAATACCCAGCGACGGGGCTAATTATGCAGGCTACACATTGCCCCCCCCCAGCAAGCTGGGTACTCATTTTACCGACCTCAGAAGGCTGAGTCAACCTTGAGCCGCTACCTGGGATTGAACCCCAGGTCGTGAGCACAGTTTTGGCTGCAGTACAGCAGTTTAACCACTGTGCCACGAGGGAGGATTTTTGAAAAGTTCTTTCACCTTCTCCTGCTTTCTCCAGTGAACCCATCCTGCTAATTAGTAGAGAGCATGCTAGGAAATCAAACAGCAGATTACTATTTGAGAAATGCTTAGTGAAATAGCACAATCCTATGTTAATTCCTACAATGCTTATTCATATGGGTGAGCACCCCAAATTTTAGAATATCCACTTGCACGAGTAAAAATAGTAGAATCATCCAGTTGGGGGAGTGACACACAAATAACTAGAATTTGGATAGCTTAATTCTGAATGGGGATTTTGGGATGTGTAGTCCAAAAAGTATTTTTTTTTCTTCCCAAGCTCTGATTATAATAATAAAGACATATTTATCCTCAGGGTGATTACCGAAAGTGACTTTTGAACTGTTGAGTGAATAACATAAGGATAAGGAGTTATGTACGGAAGGGTTATTTTGTATTGGTGTTATACGTTAGCACAGATCCTCCATTTCCTTGTTAAAAGTGTGGTTTCTAATGCTATATTAAATCAAGGGCTGACTGTAGAAGGTCTTGTTAGAATAGTTTGAATAATAATGTCTTAAGCTTCATTTTCTTAAAATGCATGATGAAAAATGAGATTGCCATGTGGTTTCCGGTACCAGTAAACTCTGAGTCATTCTCTTCTAGCAGCTGGAACTGATTAGTATTTAGTTGTGCTGCACGGATATACACTAGGAGTGAGAACTGATCTGGAGATTCATAAGCCATTGTGTGCTTGCAAATCATATTTCAAAATCAACAAGAACTGAAAATGCAGGTGGCTAAGTAAATAAATAAGAGTGTTGAATTCCTCTACTATAGAAACAGATGTTCTATGCAAACAATCTACAGTACTGTACTGTGTTTCGTATATCTTAATTATGTTAGTTGCTGTGTGGGGAAACCCCTTTCCTGTTTATCCTTAGCTCTTAGCAACAGTATCATTTCCTTGCTCATTTGACTTTTTTTTTTAAAAAAAGCAGTAACTTAACAGCTTTTATTTTAAAGGATATTTATTTTAACGTGATTAAATTTGTTCACAGTTGTGCGTTACATTGCTTTCAGCACAGCTTGTAGGAAAGTAGCCTAAGGGTTTTAAAAATAAATTAACACATCTTTTTCTTCACCCTTGGGGGGGGGAAGGGGAGAGAAAGAAGTACTAAATCAAAACAGCTTTTTGTCTGGCCTCCTTAGTTGCATATATGAATGCATATAACAAATGTTATGACGTGGATGTCTCATGAGCATGAGTATCAAGCTCACAGATCCATCCGTTGCACAGTAATAAATCCTGAATTGCAGGCACATATGACAGTCCCTCTGGCCACACCTTCCAGGGGAATCCAAAACTTCAAGCAGCTGATTCAAACGCCTCCACTAGCACATGGCATAATAGCCAGTTCATTATGATCAGCTGACAGTCACAGAATAGTGAACTGGGAAAAGGCAAGTTAATCAGGGATCGATTAACACAGGGGTCTCAAACATGCGGCCCGGGGGCCATTTGCGGCCCCCCAGATGATAGTTTGTGGCCCTCGGCTTGCCTGACCCCCCCAAAGTGCCCACACATCCTCTGCTGTCAAGAGTAAAAAAGAAACACCTTCCAGGGGAATCCAAAACTTCAAGCAGCTGATTCAAACGCCTCCACTAGCACATGGCATAATAGCCAGTTCATTATGATCAGCTGACAGTCACAGAATAGTGAACTGGGAAAAGGCAAGTTAATCAGGGATTGATTAACACATGCAGTGGCCCACCGCTATGTTACGTTTAATCCTTATGCACCAGGATGAGAAAATCAGGGACGAGTTTCACAATTCACACAAGATTAGGCCAACAATGATGACATGCTGCCCTCCAGTCCCTGGGAGCTCTTAAACCATGGCAAAAAAGAAAAATTCCTACACTTGCCAAAGTGCACATTTTCTAAGCAAAAGCGACATCGTCATTAAAATAAAAGAACATTTGCACTGGTGGTGGGGAAAAAAGGCCCATGATGACTATAAGGCTACAGAATTCTAGGTAGAGAAGAGGTCCTTCTACGACTATAAGCCTCTTCCACAACATGTGAAAGCTGAAAAAAGCAGGCCAAAATGGAACTAGCCATTTTCAACCATTATTTGGCCATGGTCATAAACATGAAACAAATATAGGCCGATTTAGAATTGCATAAGCCGCATAACAAACCTAATGGCTTGTGAAGAATTGTTTCCAGACTGTGGTCCCCTTTAAATGTGCCTGCGCCCCCCAGGGGCCATATGGTCCCTGTTGAGAATGGCTAAGTTAGACAACAGATTTAGATAGTATTTAGAGAAGATGTTCTCTAAATGAAAAATATCTGTTTGTTGTAGCATGTGCTTTTCCACCTCTGTTTATCTTTGCATGTCTTGTTATTGGTCACTGGAGGGTAAACATGGGTTTAATTTTAAGGTCTGCTTGCTAAGACACATATCCCTATAGAAATCCCATTGAAATGGGATTTGAAGGAAATACCCACAACTCTTAATGTCTAGCGTCAACCTTCAAGGTCAGTGTATCATCACAGAGTTTAGATGCACTAAGGTAATTTCTCATATTTCTTAATTTCTGTTACAGATGCCCAAAAGACAAAAAGAACATAGGAGTACTCATGTAGTGCGTCTAGCCCTGGGCTGTTTGCCCCGTGGTTGTAGAAACATGAAACTCTACTTTTTCTTTCTAGTTTTCCTCTCTTTCACCACATCTTCACAATTCTGTGGTAGTTAAAGCATCCATGTTTCTTATTATCTTCTTGACACTTGCGTTTTTTAAAGTATTTGCAGTAAATTATTATTTTTTCTTTCAAAGAAACAATGCTACAGAAATAGCCAAGCTATGTGCACAAATTCCTCTATCTCTCATGCACCTATATTTCAACTAACCTTTCTGAAGCTAATCTTTGGTCAGAGCAGCATTTGGAGATGATTAAGGAACCAATTCAAAAACATGAGGCGCTTGCAGGGGAAGGAAACAGATTTGCTATTTGCAGAGCAAAAGGCTGCCCTCCGTCCTTTGTTTCCTTATTTTTTTTCTCTGTACATCCTCACAATCATCACATGTGGAGAGAGTTAGAGTTGCAAAATGATGGTATTTTGAAAGTCACAGCAGCATTTTTCTGATGGTTAGAGGTCTGGCCCAAGTTCCTCTTGAGAATCACCCCAACGTGACTTTTACCCATCAGTTCCACATGTGGTAAGAGCTGCAATTCATCATGTCCTCCAGAAATTCAGCTCTCCAGGATGTGGCAAATTTTGCATCTTACCATATAGGGATTTACTCAGAATGAAGGCTTTATTTCTGAGATTGAGAGAGAGAGGCGTATCTCTCCAATGACTCTCTGTAATCACCAAGGAAAGACTCAGGCTGAACCCTAAATACTCCCATATGAGGATTCTAAGATGTGGCTGGATGGCAGAAAGCTTAATCTCCTCACCCTCATCTCATCTTGGTTTGCAAAATTTCTTTCGTTTTAACAAGCTGCCAGGATGCAAGTTTAACAAGAATCCATGATGCAAAATGCTCATGAATTTTTCATTTAAAGTAGATGCCATAACTCATGTTGGGGTATTTTCCCCCTCATTCTTTCTTTTCTGTGAAAGAGATCAGTAAATAGACAATATAATAGATGTTTAAAAATATTGTGGTTCTCTTTTAACACAGCCATTATTAATGATGTCAGAAATATTTTTTTGCTGTTTCCGCTTTTACCTTGGTCAGCAAGAGTTCATGATTAATGTCAAAGAAAAGATTTTTCAATTATGTGATTCAGGCTGTTGTAAGTGATTGATTTCAAGTAGTCATTGTTCCAGGTTGTTTCAGCCTGAGCACAAAACTGGACATTTATCTCTGCAAACGTAAGCTCCAATTCACAATAGCCAAGCTGAGAGGGAAGAGGACTCAGGGGAAGGAGTGGCATAATAATTACTTCAGTAGATGGTTAGTTTTCTCCTCTATGCATGCCTTCCAGCTAATTTTTCCCACAACTTATTTTCTTCCAGTTCCAGAGAAGAATTCCTTTAAAATGAGATGCGGAAGCATCTTCTGGGGATTACCTTTCTCCAATCTGCCATTTCCCCTTGCAAGTGTCTGAGGTTCAAGATCTGTAGGACAAAATGAGGTTGGGAGGTCCATATTTTACCCACATTATCTAGTTGACCCTCAGTTTCTTCCCAACAATCAGAGCTGCAGAAAGCATTCAAGGAGGTCAATTTAAGCACACAGGCCTAAATCCAGTTGCCATTCCCAGCTAAGGAATATTCACCAAGTCACTGAATGTCACTGTCACTGAATGGTTAAGTCAGCACTCAGACAAATCTCATTGATTCCACACCTGAACTCCTGTTACTTATTGTAGTAAATCACACCAGAGTAGGACCACTGGATCAATGGGGTTTTGGTGAGTCACCTCCTCCATAATTTAAAGCTTTGAACTGCAGAGCTGGAAGGGACCCTATGGATCATCAAGTCCAGCCCTGTCAAGGAGGCACAACGGGGAATTGAACTCCCAGCCTGTGGCTCTGCAGCCAATGGTTGAACTCCCAGCCTTTGGCTCTGCAGCCAATGACCTAAGCCACTGAGCTATCCGTTATTGCTAAGCAACAGGACTTTGGCCATTGTATTCAAGTTCTTTTTTTTTTCTAATGAAGTGAAATTAAATTATCATCATCCATCCCTAGTTAACAATCTTGCATTTAGTTTATTTGGCTAAAATAAGTCAAAGCTAAGATTGCTCGTAAAATGGCAACAGCAGTAGTTTGATGTTGAAAATAGATGAAAAGCAGCCACAGTCAATTGTATGCCTGTTATGTGCATAACAAATAGCTAATAAATCAGAGAAAGAAAATAAGACGGGCTGTGTAAATAACAGATAATAATAAAAAAATAGGATTATCACTTGTTATCACATATACTGATTGATGGGAAATAACATGCTGTTATCTTTTGCTTTGTCTTATAGGTATTTGATGGTTCAAATGAGCAAGCTCCACTTCTCGGAAAAGTCTGCGGTCAAGAGCGGCCTTTGCCGATCATATCCACCCAAAATACCATGTTTGTGCGATTTCGCTCTGACAGGAGTATCCATCTCAGAGGCTTCAGTGCTCAATTCATGGAAGGCACGTTTCCCACTGTCATCTTGCTGTGCTTCTTAGCTCTCCTCCTAACCAACTCTTGCACTCTGTCTTAAAGATTATTTGGTCAGAAGACCCCATGATCTAGGCCTGGTTGTACTATTCACTAGACTGGTGCTTCATATAGGGTGTTTTGAAAGGGCAGCAAATTAATGTTGGTCTCATTTCATTTGCTAGTCCTAAACAGTCAACAGGATTGGCAGCCCACTAAATCAATGGGATTTACATAAGTGTTTAGTTACCAAATCTCTGTATCCATTTGCCATGTTGTCTGGGGCTGATGAGATTTGTAATCAAAGACATCTAAACTGTACCATGTTGGGGGGAAACTAGGACTAACCTGGGTTATATAATGGAAACACTAAGTAAAGTCAAGTTTCTCATGTTTGTATTACAAAAGTATTTCAAAGGAAAGTTGCTGTTCATGTTTCAGCCATACTTTTATTCTATCCCTTAAATGTTATAACTTTGCACCTTTTTGTTTCAAAGCCTGTGGAAGTGTTTTAGACGCTGATTCAGTTGGTGTAGCAATTTCCTCTCCTCTGTACCCAGCCAACTATCCAAACAACCAGAACTGTAGTTGGATTATTCGAGCCCAGGATCCATGTAAGTTTGTGGGCATGTCCCTCTCTTGTGGAAAAGCGCACTGCATGACTAACATCCTCCCCTCATCTGTAATAACAATGCAGAATTCCTCCTTTTCTTCTCTGTAGGAAGTCCTGCATCCTGGTAGATGGGCAAGAACTGAAGGACAGTTAAACTGTTCCGGAGTAGGATTTGATGTGAAAAGATTTCAGGCAGAGTGCAAAATTTGATAAAGCAAAGCAAAGTGTGCTGCTCATATACCACCCTATAGAGTTTAAAGCTCTTTCTAGGTGGTTTACAATTCTTAACTATGTTGGATACACATTGCCACCCCCTCCCAGAAAACTGGGTACACAATTTACCAACCTCAGAAGGATGGAATATTGAGTGAACCTCAAGCTAACCTGTTGGAATTGAACTCAGGTTGTGAGCAAAGTCTTTACTGCAGTAGCGCAGTATAATCATTGTGCCACAAGGCTCCTTGATAATGCACAACCTTGTCATTCTATCTGGTTGATAGTCTTGATAATGAGACCTAAGCATTATGTTGGAGTTTAAAAAGGCCAGATTATGACAGATTAGATAGAACTCTTGTGTGTGCATAATTATTTGAGTACATGTTACTAGTATGCATATGGTATGCAAAGTTAGGAGGTTGGGTTTTTGTTAGGAGCAGATTTGCCCCACTAATTGGCACACATGAGTAAATACTAGTGTTCTGATTTTCTGTCTGTAATAACTGTAGATGTGATGTGCATATTGGCAAATCTCCAATCCAATATCCACCACGATTTGTAGTTTGATACCCTACCGATCATCATCAGTAGCCAATTAAGCCAGGAGATTTTAGCCCCTCCATTGTAAAGTATATAATACATTTATCCTGGATATCAGGAATCTGGATAGGTTATGGTGTAAGAATGCATGTTGATGCAATGTTTTCTATTCAAATGGAACACCAAACAGTGATTTGGCATGATATGAATGAAAAGCCAAGGAGAGTCATGTTCCCTCCTCCTGCTTTCTCTTCCTTTTGTGCACAATTATTGTCCCTCTCCTATCCTAGTTGAAGGCAAACCATATTTTCTATTTGGTCAACAAACCAAGGTTTTATTTTGGTTTGCAGGGCAAGTGTATAATTTGCTGGTTTGGATGAAGCAGCAAGCTATGGATAGTTTCAAACTGAGAAAGATAAAAGGGAATCGGTATGCATGAAGAAGAAAAAAGGAAAGAGACACCTAAAGCTTCCTATTCATGTATCTCTGAATCATCTTGGCATAATTAAGTTGTTCCATCTGAATAAGAAAAAATAATAAAAGGGCATTTTCAGTATAAAATACAGCTCATTGTGTACTGCAAAACCAACTCTTATGATTTAAACCCTTCTTTTTCAATAGTCAACCATATTACAGTGTCATTCACTGATTTTGAGATTGAAAACAACAGACGTAACTGCAGCACAGATTATATAGAAATACGAGAAGGGAATAATAACAATGCTCCTCTGCAAGGTACAGTAACTTATATTCAGTAGTACAACTTTCATAATGCAAATTCATAAATTCTTATCTAGGATTGCTTAGGAAAGAAATTAAGGCTGTGAAATTTATTGATATACATCTGAAAACAAATATCCATGATGTATTTGTTACACAGACAGCATGAATGAGGAACCCGTGGTCGTCCCAGTATTGTTTGACTATAGTTCCCATGGTCCCTGGCCACTATTAATAGTGCTAGAAACTGATGAGACTTGGAACCCAACAAAACATGGACAGATATACGTTCTCCATCCTTGGCTTAAAGAAATCTAAAGCAACTTCTGTAGAGTATACATTGCAACAAGAATGTCAGTTGTAGGTGGGAGAAGGCCATAAGTTTATTGACCTCGCTTGTATTGAGGGTCAAAGAATATGATTTCTCTGTTGCTTGCTGCAGTCCCTCCTTCTCTAACAAACCCTTCATCCAATTTTCTCACAATGAACAGAAATTTATATTGCACACTTTATTATGCATTCCTTGAGGTGACTACACTGTAAATCTTATTTGAGTTAGGGCCTCATAAAAATGGCATCCACTGGAACTAAATACAAACCCAGGTATGAAGTTCAGCAGTGGGAGAATAACTGAGAAAACCATGGCAGAAAGAGGACCCAGATTCACGTACCTCATGTTGGATTCTAAGTTCTAAGTCTTCATTGGTTCATAAAACTCTGGATGATCTTGGGTCAGTCACTTGTTCAAGCAGTGTATCTCACAGGTAATAATAATAATAAAAAGTTATATGGAGAGCCATGTAGACTTTTCTGAAGGAAATGGTGGATACAAATGCAACTAGTTAACGAATGGTAAAGATGGAGTCTTCTATTTTTATGTATCTTCCAATTATACAACTCAAAGGAACCTGGATAAACAGCAAATAATGGATAGAAGGCCTCACAAAGATACCCAGTGTGGTATATTAGATAGAATGACATACTTAGGCCTGTGTTCAAATCCCCACTTAGGCATGCAGGAGTGGAACTCATAAAACCACTCCTTAAATATTTCACTTACCTTGAAAGCCCTACTAGGATTGCTGTAAACTGGTTCCGACTTGACAGCACATAACAATAACAAGGCCTCACAATAGAACCAATACAGAGTAGTCATTCTATACAATGCTTTAATTCTGTTTTTTTCTTTCTTTCCCCCAGGGCGCTATTGTGGAACCACCATGCCTCATCCTGTTACTTCATTTGGCAATGCCTTGGCCATCAACTTTATCTCTAATAATGCCACTACTGCCAAGGGGTTCCGTGGTATCTTTACTGCATCAACATCTGGTAAGCCTAAACTTGAATGCTTCTAGGAAAGTGCCAAACAACTCTTGAAAGATATAATAATCTTAAGGCTTTATTCACATTCCTTGTAATTAAAAAAAACCCTCCTCAATAATTAGACTTTCTCTTTAAGGGCTCAAGTCAGCACTCAGGAAGGAACAAAGCAGGAAGTGAGGTTTCAGTTGCTTTCTATGTGTTGTTTGGAGGCAGCTCTGAGAACAGATTTCAGTCATTTGCACAGCACCTAAAGACCAAATGTTCCCACAATTGCAATCTTCATTGCAATTTGGTTTGTATGTCTCTGAGATGCTATGAAACCATAGCTTCACTCATAGGCTGAGCACATAGAAAATCTTGTTTCCTGCAAAATTATGGACTAAATCAGTGACTGCACATTTGACTTTATATTTCCAGTGCTGGAAAGACTAGAGACTTGATTTTTTTTAAAGTGAGAGGAGAGAGAAAGATGAGAGTCCAGGCCACTGATGGGCTAAATGACTTGTTTATGGCAACCCTAACATACCCATGTTAGTTTATGGGGAGATCGCCATTATATCACTCAAGAGACACATATGCGTTGGTCTGTATAAGCGTGTCAGGAAACCACTGCCCACAACGTTGCACTTCTCTTTCCTTACCGCATTGGTTCCCATTTTGCTTGCACAGTAGATGTGGGCTCAGGCAGGTGCTGTGCAGCTGGCGCTCTATAGATGCAAGGCAGGAGTGCAAACTCCTCATTTGACACTGTACATGATTTCAAGATATTCCATGTGCCCTGTACTTCTGGATTAATGCACAACTGCCAAACTAGAGATATGGGAAGCTTCCACATGGTCATGCTCTGAGTCAGCTCCACAACTTGTAAGACTAGAGGAACTGAGCCACTTATTTTCTGTAAACTTGGATTTCCTGTTTTGACTCATTAATCTGATATATTTGCCAAGAAGCTCTACACACACACACACACACACAGAGAGAGAGAGAGAGAGAGAGAGAGAGAGAGAGATTGAGGGGGGCATCTCATTCTTTCCTAGCTCTCAAAATGCCCGGTCTGCAAAAGGTATTTTATCCCATTAGATGTCTTCCTGTAGCTCATTTTTTCTCTCTCTCCTCATTACAGCCTGTGGAGGGACCTTCCATATGGAGAGTGGAGCCTTCAATAGCCCTCACTTTCCTGATCCTTACCCACTGAATGTCGAATGTGTCTGGAATATTCAGAGCTCCCCTGGCAACCGGCTCCAGCTGTCTTTCACGTAAATCGAATTTCCAAGGGGTTATTGTTCAGTCTTTTAATGGAGCTGCAGGAAGGAAACAGTGTGTTTAGTTTTTTTAAAAATGTAATTACCAGCATGTAGAAGCATAGCAGTGCCCACAACAACTTGGAAGGAGAACATAGTAATAGCTGTAAAGAGCTTGCCATCCGTTTTGTCCACTTTGTATTAACAAATACACAACATGGTAGACTTTCAGACAATTGCATTCCAGCCTGTAAATGCTACCCCTTCTGATCTATCACAAACAGGGAGAGATCATTTGTTGCTACAACTATTCTTGCCATGGTGGCTTTCTTATTAAAATAAACATTTTGGCTTCCTTGTTGAGTTTTTTGGAGGCTCTGCACATAGATATTCCATTAGGCTAATAAAGCAACCATCCTACTGCATAGTTATGATTGTCTTAAACTGAACTAGTATTCTAATAATACAAGTCCGTGCATAATGCAGGCTTTTGTATTATTATTATTTTGAGTGGAAAGGCAAGACACCATGTGGACAGACCAATAAGTATCGAGTGTTTAGAAAGAACAGGAAGGTGTTACCGTTATTTTGAAGTTGTTTTGTAGTCTGAATCATACATTACCAAAATGATGTGGCTATTAGTTTCCTTATAGTCAAGTTGCATAGTGTTCAGTAACTGGATCAGATAGCCCCTGGGGCCTCTTTCAATTCTCCAGTTCTAGGAATATCAGTAAAATGGATTAATGTAACCTGGAATGAATTATGTAAGAATGCAAGATGGCAGTGCTGTGCTGGTGGAACCACAGATTCAATAAGGGTTCTGCTTACAGAACCAGAGTACTGTATATGGATTCTCTTATGTTCCGTATGAATTAGGCTTGTGTGAAAGCTTCATTTCATTTAAAATGAACAAGGTCTGGCCCTTGCACTGTTTCTGAATGAAGGTTTCACCGAGTTCTGCATTGTTTTATGCATAAGAGATGTAAAAGCATACAGAAATTTTATCAGCTTCTTAGACAATTTAGTTTCCAAAATGCAAACCGTTATGCATCTTTTTAGTTGTGGTGCATATTATCTTTCACTAAATTTAGTGGTGGGAAAAGACAAAATTTTGCGAAATAACAAACACTGAAAATCTTTGTACAGTATATGTGTCTCATAAGAAAGACCGATTAGATTCAGTGGATCTTACTCCAAGGTAATTGTGAATACAATTGATGCAACCAGATAGTAATTTAATCATATTGTTAAATAGGTATTAGAGATGGGGGTATTCATATTTGTATATGAATACGAATATCCCCACACAGCTGAAGTTAATGAGGGTCCAGCCCCTGTGAGTGGACCATCCACTCATGCGTCCGCCATCATCGGTGGCCCCGCTCATCCTTCCAATCGTTCCCAAGTGCTGTTCCCTTCCCAGTCAGCTAGTCATTCCTGGCAGAGGGAGGGAGGATGAGTCTCCCTGCAAGGCTGCTGAGTGGCTAGCCAAGCGGCACTCCCGAGTGATTGGAAGGAAGAGAGGGACTGCCACCAGATGCATGAGTTGATGGTCTGGCCCCAGGTGGCAGACCCTTGTTAACCAGCTGCGCTGGGATATTTGTATATGAATACCCCCATCTCTAATAGGTATACCTGCATCACTTAGTTTAATCTACACAGACTAATGTTCTGACTTTTATTGGCTGGAATCCTGTTGTGTATTTCCGCCACTATAGTCCTATCAGCAAGGCCTACACTAGCAAATTGCTGTGACTTAAGAAGTACCATAGGTATTTCCTATTGCACACTGAGTTACACTCCTGCTATACATTAGAAAATGCCTAAGCTAGCTTTTTAACTTGTGATAATTCAGCACTGAAAGTGATGTCAGTTGCATTATGCTTGGGGAAGGGGTGTTAGCTAATAGGAGTCTGGTCATTAAGAGTATGCACATTAATGAGGCCAGCATTGCATCAGAAAGAAGGGAGGGAAGAAAAAGAAAGAAGGCAGGCAGAAGCAAAAGAAGAAAATGGAAGGAGTGTTTTCCCGGGTTTTGTATCTGGAGAGAAAATCAAGACAGTGGGAGGTCTTTAAACTGTCTGTTACAATATACTTCATCTGTTATTAGTTTAGTATCCATTAATTTAGCAAAGGCTATTCATCTTCTGAATACTGAGCCTGCAAAAATGTGCTTCTCACATGTTCCAGTGGGATTGCTCTAAATTAGAAAAAAATGCATCCAGATTGGAGTTGAGTTCTTGTTCAGAGTACCTTGAAGACATATGGATTCACTCAAACTGGAAGGAAATCTGAGAGGAGAGATATTTTGTACATTCATGCTAGAGAACTGTTTCTGGTTTGTGGTTTTAGAAAAACTAGTGAGTCATGATTGTGTATAGAAAAAAAACCCTCTAAATCCCAGCATACACAATTAAAACAGACCTAGTGATTCCATAGGACTTTGCTACGTACCTCCCATTGATTCATTGGATCTGCTCTACCTAGAGCTAATGATTGGCTTTAACTCTATAATACTATTTCATTATAGGAAAACAGACATTCTTTTACCATCTGGATTTGTTCCTGATGCAAATAAATGTGTGTGCCAATTCATTTAAGGATAAATGTGTCCACTAAGTATTGGCTGATAAAACTTTAGGGCTCCAGTTTTCAACCCTCCTAAGTGTCTTCCTCATACCCAGATTTAAGTACCAGTTCCAAAAACAAAAACAGCTAGAACAAAATATACGTCAGAAGTTAAAAATGGTACAGAACATTTTATTCTGGAAAATTTGCTTTAAAAATATCGAACAGGATGAGCTGATTTGTAGGGATGTTCTGGAAAATTTGCTTTAAAAATATCGAATAGGTTGAGGTGATTTGTAGGGATGTACCTTTCTTTCTTTCTTTCTTTCTTTCTTTCTTTCTTTCTTTCTTTCTTTCTTTCTTTCTTTCTTTCTTTCTTTCTTTCTTTCTTTCTTTCTTTCTTTCTTTCTTTCTTTCTTTCTTTCTTCCCCATTTCTTTTTTTAAATTCCAACTCATACATATGGGACTCACACATATGGGTACCTATAGACATCTACAATTTGCTCAACTGGACAGTTCCCATCTGTAGAGCTGCTTGGCTGTGTTTTGTAAACAAAAAGGAAGTTGCTTCAGTGCATCCCAGGAGTTATAGTTTGCTGACCTTTAGGCTCTATGGAGGTCACCTCCCAAAGAACTACAACACCCAAGAAACCCTGCCATAGCTTCTTTTATTTGTACATTACCAACAGGAAACACTGTCTTGAGACAGCCCTGGTGCAGGGGAATGAAATGTAGATATCTTTAGATGTTGGTCTGTGCACTGGAATTCCCAGCACTCTGCCTTCAGTTTCTAATGTCACTTCATCTCAGTTGAATCCGGCCATTCTGCTTTGATCCAAACCTGATATAACTCAATCTGAATCAAGCCAATTGAGTTAGCAATTAAGGCTTGGGCCAAAGATATGCTCAGCCCTATTAGTAAAACCTGTCACCATATACTAGTTCTCCATTCTCTCAAGTTAAAAGTATGGCAGTAAAGCATCCATTAACATGAAATTCAGGTAAGCCCAACACCTCAGATTCCTCATTTTGTAAATTCTCTGGCATTCTGACCTTAATTGACACTGTGAGAAAGGAACTTAATGCACAAGACAATCCCTTCCTTTCTGCCCCTAAGGAACTACTGTCAGGTTTGATGTCTCTCATTAGGGATTGTTTTACACTTAAGAGTTTTATCCCATTCTCCTAGAATGTAAATAACCTGACAAAATGTTTAAAAAGACAGACATGTTCTGCTTATATACCACTCCATAGTGGTATATGGTTTAAAGCTGTCTCTGAGTGGTTTTAAATTGAATTATGCAGGTTACATATTGTCCCACAGCACACTTGGTACTCAATTTACCGAACACAGAAGGATGGAAGGTTGAGGCAACCTCAAGCCAGCAACCTGACCCTGGGATCGACCTCCAGTCATGAGCAGAGTCTTAACTGCAGTGCAGCAGTTTAACCAAAGCATTGCGAGTCTTGCAAAACACTCCCATTCTCTAGCAAATGAAACTCTGTAGAACCTAATATCCTAAACTATAAAACAGGGATGTGGATGATACTTGAAAAAAATGGTTTTTCTCTGCAACTTACCAAATTGTACCATGCTGAGCTCTTTCATTGTGACTTTGCCCTGTACCAAGATTTCTCAGTTCCTCTCAAAAAATGAGACTATGGCCTGTCTTTTCCTCTCCCTGCCCTTGTGCAGGAAACTGCCAAATTCTGCACAGCTCAGTACCCTTTCTGGGGAACCTTGCATAAGAAATATACTGTATTGCCTAGAGCTTGTACCAATTCTATGCAGACTGGTATTTCTTCCAAGGAAACAATGAGAAAACATCTAAGAAATCTTGCAAGCTCCTTCTGCTTCATTGGCTTCCACTAAAAGTGTTTGTTAGCAACACACACACAAAAAGCACCATTCCCTTCCCTTCCCAATGAGAAGCAGATGTTGTGCCCTGCTATTCTGCAGGGTTTTCTTGAGCAGATGACTGCTTTGGCACCTACCTGTGCCATACATAGACAGAAAACTGCATGGGTGGCAACAGGGGCCCTAGTAGAGTGGCAGATGCCAATTTGCCCCCATGGGTTGGAGGCAGGAGTGGCTCATGGATGGTGCAGGGAGCCTCCCCCAAAATATTTTTGGGAAATGAACTGCCTTACACTTCAGACACAAGCTGTCTTTAACTGGAGGGATCTCTTGTAACATAGGAAGCTGTAAAAAAATTTATTTGCGCATGGTGAGCAGAAGACACGGAAAGAGAAGGATGCAGAAGTAGAAAAATCATTGTCAGCCAGATCCAGTTTACAATATTATAGTGAGCTATGAGTATCATCAGAAAGTTTCATGTCCCCTATATAATGCTGGAAAAAGGACTTTTTGAAAACAGAATATTGTTTGAAGCTCTTTTAATGTTAATGCATGCTTTACAAACCCTTGTATGGGTGAAATAAGAAATCACCGTTTGATCTAGTATGTCAGTTTTTTGTCTTTTATTTTAAACATATGCACAATTATGTTAATTAATGCACCCATATTGCCTATTGAAAACAGAGAATTTCAGACAGAAGCAAGTGAAAATTGTACCAAGGACTACGTAGAAATCAGAGAGGGCAGCCTCAGCGGTCAGCTGGTGCAACGATACTGTGGACACACCTTGCCAAGGAATTACACTTCTATCACCGGACACATTCTGTGGATTAAATTTGTCTCAGATGGTTCAGGCCGTGGAGGAGGCTTCCGGGCTACCTTTTCTCACTGTAAGGAAATAATGAATTATTTATTTATCTGTGTATAACTCTTGTTTATAAGTTGTTCTTTCCTTCAAAGAGATCCAGAATGGGGCACGACACAAGTCAATACATACATAGCACACACAATAAAATACTTCACATGAAGTCCAAAAAAAAAAAATTACAAATAATGTGGACATTTTTATCTTGCATACATTGCTATCTAATGAACACTTGCTACATAAGTGGTGGAATAGCAGCTCCTAACATACAAAAGACTGCCAAAGCTATTCTGCCTTACATCCCCTCCTGAATCCCAGCACGGATGTTGTAATTTGCAAAGGCCCAGGAAGAGAATTCCAGAGCTTGGAGGCAGCAACAAAGGAAGCCGTCTGCCAAATACATTCAAGCCGGACTGCTTTAACAGTTGTCTCCTTTAGAAAGGCAGTTCCAAATGACCTTAGTTGGTACAGGGGCTCATATGGGAAGAGGTGGTCTAGTACACAGGCGAGCTCCATGTGGGGGGGCACACCTGTGCTCATGCGGTGGGTGTGTCATGCTCGCGCAGGGGGCGTGTTGTGTTCACGGGGGTTTGTTGCACTCACACACATGTGCGTGAGTGTGACACCCCCCGCAGGTGTGACACACCCACTGCACGAGTGTGACACACCCACCGCATGAGCACGGGTGTACCCCTCCATGGAGCTCGCTCCCCCCAGCCGGTCCGCGGCCCCAAAAAGGTTGGGGACTGCTGATTTAAAAAAAAAAACAGAATGTGTTCTCTCCCCCCCCCTTTTTTTTGTTCATGTCGGAATGGGCACCATACAAAACAATGCTGCGAGGCTTGACCTTGCCTGCAAGATCTTCAGAAAATTTCTCCAGCTTAGGGCACTTCCCAAGTTCCCACTTAACATATGGAACTGCTCCATAACACAAGTTATGTGGGGGACTTAGGAATAAATGTTAAAATGCAATATAATATACAATATAATATAATATAATATATATTGAATAGTCATTTTGTAATTAATCATAAGTTTCCTCATTGTTCAGTGTTTGGCAATAATATTGTGGGAGACAGTGGACAAATAGCTTCTCCACTCTGGCCAAGGAGGTACCCTCACCGTTCAAACTACCACTGGACAGTAACAGTTAATGCAACACAAGTTATCCATGGTGAACTCTCACAGATTGATATTGAAGGTCTGTATAACTGCCACTTTGACAAGCTGAAGGTAGGTTTAAAGTTGTATAACATTCCTCATTCTTATGAACTTTGGTGCAGATTGATAAGTCATGGAACAAAGTCAGTGGTCTGGCAGAACTGATATTCTACTGTCTCTGTAGGTGTTCTGCCTTGATGTTAGCCAAAATCCTGTTGCACGGCTCCACTTGAGAAGTGGGAATGATGTAAGCAGCAGCAGAACATTGCCACTGATTAAATATTTTCTTTTTTAGTTTGGGATGCACAAAGCTCTCACAACAAGACAAAATTGCATGAACAGCAAAGTAGAAAAAGGAAGCCTTTAGTCAGTGACAATCTGCTGCTGTTGGTGCTGACATCATTCCTGTTGTGCAGGTGGAACCCACCCAACAGGATTTCAACCAAAATTCTTCTTAAGGCAAAAGAGAAATGGATAATAAGAATGGTTATACAAATAAGACCTCACAGGATTGCTGCCAGGTCAGAATGGGAGCAGTTCAGGTGTACTGTGTTGAATTCCTTGGTATGAAGGTGATATAGAAATATAAAAAGTAAATAAGCACTCTATTGACACCTACATATATTTATTTTAAATTTTCCACTTTTTTGTAATTTAATTGGGAGGTGTTTGTGCATGCTTATCGAATCATAGACTTTCTTCATCCACATACAACTAAACTATGCCCTTTGGTTTCCAATTCATTGAACATAATTATCACATTATATGGACTTCTATTACTTGAAAAATATGAAGCCAGTTACTGGAAGCATACGGTCACCCACGTTATAGAATTTTGATTGTCTTCTTCAGTTTGATTTTGCATTGCCTTGTAAAATGGAATCCCGTCTTTCACCTATAGACACATTAGGGTGAGTCATCATAAATGACTCACTGTCACTTGGAATGTTGAAACATTTTAAAGCTATTTTGTTGTTTCCTCCCACCAAACAAAAAATGTTATTTCTCTTGTGGCATTTTGTCCACTAAGATACTCTTTTATGTGGAAAAAAATGTTGTGAATGTGTGTTGTTTTTGGCATGCACAGAATGTGAATTAAATGAAAATTTGAGACACTATATTGAGACATTATTTTTTAAAATTAAATTGAATATATCAGAAACCAGGACTCTGAGATTCTGAGAGTTTTATTGTTCCAGAAGAAAGTAAACTGATTAGAAACTTTATGAAGTTTATAAAGTGTGTGAGTGTGTGCACATACACACACACACACAGTGGCTATGTTGATCCCTGAGAAGACAATCCAAAATCCACAGGACCCATAGATCTAATTCTGATTGCTAATTTCAGCTGAAGTAGGCTCACTGAAGCAATGAAACTTAAATATTGGTTCACCAAATATCCACGGATTAAAAGTTCTAATGTAATTTGGATTAACAATGGGTTCTAAGCCTTATGCTGCAATGCTACGCTCAACTGAAGTCATTGGGGCTTACTTCATAGCATAGAACTATGCTGCTAAGAGTCTGACAGAACAGGTAGGACAGACTGGCAGAAACATTCAAGACCAACTATACTCAAGGTGTGAGCCAATAGCAGCTCCATTCCACAGAGATATTTCACACCAGTTAGGAAGGACCAGAATACATGATACGTTAACCATGCCTTTTAAATCCATTTAATTTGTCTACTTTTATCTGAAAATAAATCAGGGCTTTGGGATTGCCCATAGGATCTTTTTGCCAGATGCTGCTTCCCTCCCCAAATTAGCAAACAGCAGTAGAGGAATGCAGCTCCATTTGGCTCTGTTCCGCTTCAAATTAAAACGACCACCTTAAACATCCTTTTCTAAAGGCACAATTAATGTACTATGTGGTTGTAATATACTGCAGTCTGCTCAAATATTGGGTTGAACCAGATGAGACAGCAGCTTTACGTTTAGAAGCAGAAAGCCTGTTATCTTTCCAGGAAGGTTTTTGTTTAGAGCTTATGGTTAAGCAATCAGAGTCGCAAATGATGCTCACAGTTATTTTCAGATGGTAGTCACAAAACAAAGATACAGGTGATAAGAAAAATTCATACTACTACTAACAGGAGCTGCTATGGTTCAGTGGGTTAGAGTATGTTGCTGAGGAGCCAAGGGCCAATAGTTTGTATCTCCACTATGCTTCCTGGGAAAGGGACCAGTTGAGGTCACTGGGGACATGTGTGGCTACTGGGGTGGCCTTAAGCAAGCCCTAGAAAGCCAACAGAAGGGGGGGCTGGTAAACCACAACTGAGTACTTTATCCTTCCAGAGAAGGTTAGGGAGCTCCCATCTTTACTGTCCTGTCCACAAGCAGGCAAATACCTTTCTCTTCAGGCAAGCTTTCCCTGAGTGACTAGCAGATGAGTGTGGTTTTTAAATGGATTGTTGTACCTTACTACATGAATGGGTTTTGGTGTTGCTTATGTATTTAGCAGTGTATTCATTCGATCTTTTTAGTATTGTACAGTATAATCAATGTTGTTAGCTTAAATACTGTCTTTTAATCATTGTAAGCTGCCTTGAGTCCTTTTCCAAGGAGAAAGATGGGATAATTTTTTTTTAAAAAATGAATACATAAATAAATAATGCCTAGAAAAACCTATGGGACATGGTGGCGCTGTGGGTTAAACCACAGATGCCTCTGTGCTGCAAGGTCAGAAGACCAGCAGTTATAAGATTGAATCCACGTGATGCAGTGAGCTCCCGTCGCTTGTCCCAGCTCCTGCCAACCTAGCAGTTCGAAAGCATGTAAAAATCTGAGTAGATAAATAGGTACCACCTTGGTGGGAAGGTAACGGTGTTCTCTGTCTAGTCGCGCTGGCCACGTGACCACAGAAACTGTCTTCGGACAAACGCTGGCTCTATAGCTTGGAAACGGGGATGAGCACTGCGCCCTAGAGTCGGACACGACTGGACTAAATGGAAAACCTGTGGGAATCATCATAGTTGAAATCTAGCTTGTTGTCACAAAAGTGTTATTATAAGTAAAATTATGAAATGATAATTATTAAATTTGCTACAAACAAATTACTACCACAAACAAATGTATTTTTAACAATCAATGGAGCTGTACAGTACTTGAAAAAATGTAAAGCTCTGTTCTTATATCACTTGAACCTTTAAAAAAGGTGGAAAGGCTCATTTCCCTTTTCCTCTTTTTGAGAGAAGTAGTTTATTTTTATGCACAGAAAACCAGTCAGAGCTCCGAAACTAGAATGTTTTTGCAAATTCCTAGTATGGTAGCTTGAAAACCAGCTTTGCTATTAAAGTTGCAATATCAGTTACAAATGTCTCAAAGTATCAGTTACAAAACTGGACACTGATTGATTGATTGATTGATTGATTGATTGATTGATTGATTGATTGATTGATTGATTGATTGATTGATTGATTGATTGATTGATTGATTGATTGGCCCAAATCCTCTTGCTTACTGATGCTGGAATAATACACTGAGTTGTATGACTCAATATGCAACTGTTAATGTCTACGGTGTTTTCTTAACCTGAGACTATTTTCGTCCCAAAGCCAATTCCATGTTCGTATCCATGCAAGAGAATTTTGGCCCTTATGTTGCTAGATTGATTGATTGATTGATTGATTGATTGATTGATTGATTGATTGATTGATTGATTGATTGATTGATTGATTGATTGGCCCAAATCCTCTTGCTTACTGATGCTGGAATAATACACTGAGTTGCATGACTCAATATGCAATTGTTAATGTCTATGGTGTTTTCTTAACCTGAGACTACTGTATTTGCCTCCCAAAGCCAATGCCGTGTCCGTATCTATGCAAGAGGATTTTGGCCCTTAGGTTGCTGAAGTTCCCCCCTCTTCCCATTACAGGTGTACGATGGACCCAACACACACTCTCGTCTCATTGCAACTTACTGTGGCACAGCCCCTTCTTCTTTTACCTCTTCTGGAAGCTCTGTGACTCTTCAGTTCATCTCTGATTTTTCTGTAAATGGAAGGGGTTTCCTTTTGGATTGGTATGCAATGGATGCTCCTACAGACATCACTCACAGCATTCCAGTAGGTATGTCTCCTGTTCATATAGTTAATCTGTTCCACCCACTAACTGATAGAATACAGACAGTGAATAATTAAAATTGTTGGCACAGGTTTTCTTGTTCTGTCAACTGTACATATATAATCCAGTGATAAAGAATTTTAGAAACTACACTGCAAAATGAGTTTCAAGCATGGATATTGCCACGGTAACAAACGCACCAAAATGGTGATGTTGGTTTTTTCCTTTTGGCCAAGCTACAAGCAATAACATGGCTCAGGAGAAGGTGGTAGGAGAACAAATCTAACTCTTGTCCCAGCTAATCCAGGCTATGATCTTACCCAGGAGTGTTGCAAACCCTTGCAATCTTTCTTCTTCTGTCAACTGTACATATATAATCCAGTGATAAAGAATTTTAGAAACTACACTGCAAAACGAGTTTCAAGCATGGATATTGCCATGGTAACAAACGCGCCAATATGGTGATGTTGTTTTTTTCCTTTTGGCCAACCTACAAACAATAACATGGCTCAGGAGAAGGTGGTAGGAGAACAAATCTAACTCTTCTCCCAGCTAAGGCTCTGATCTTACCCAGGAGTGATGCAAACCCTTGCAATCCTTTCTACATGTACCGTTTATTTGAGCCTATCCATCTATTGCAGAATATAACTCTCTCTTCAATCTGGGATCATGACTGGTCCAACTTGTAGCCATGACTGGTCCAATACTTTTTGCTGTCTGAAGCAAAAGACAGGATGGCATCCTTTCTTTATTACAGAGTTTGACTCAAGTGCCAGTTGATGACGTGGCATCTTCAAGCACACCAGAGGCAGCAAGGTAGTTTAGGAAGCTCCGGGAAGTTGGTATGGCATGGTTTGCTTTGCTATTGGGCTAGCCATTCTGTCCCAGAATTATTGTGAAGTTAAAGTGGGGAGACAATGAGCCACATATGCCCCTTTAAGTGCACTAATGGAAAGCCAAGGTATAAAAGTAACTTAGGAGAAAAGAAATGAAAATCTCCTTTATAAATTATTTTCTCTTTTTTTTTCCAGGTGCCTGTGGAGGTTTCTCAGCCACCAGCGATACACCTTTATTCCTCTTTTCACCAAGCTGGCCCTCAAACTACAAAAATTTTGAAGATTGTACATGGGTCATCAGATCACTGGACTCAACCGTGGAATTCAACATCCTGGCCCTGGACATTGAGTCTCACAGCTCATGCAATTATGATAAACTGGTCTTCAGAGATGGTGAGCAACATTTGCACCTTCCATAGTGTGAGGTGCCAATGGAAAGCCTGATTATATGAAACCATTGTGATTGCTGTCAATTTTTTTTTTAAAAAAATATGCTGTTCTTCTGCTTGTTTGCTGCTTGCATCTGCTTATTCTTGCTTGGCTTGTCCTACCTACCCTGCACTAAGCTCTCAGTGAAGTGGGGCTCATCCACTTAGTGAAATGGCTCCCACACATTGATGCCACCAGACGAAGCTACCATCCCACAGAGCCAGTTTCCAGTGGCTACCATGTTCTTCTTGTGATGTACTAATCAGCCTACAAATAACTCTACTTTGGGCAAATAAAATGTGTGCTTTTTCATCTGAACTATTCCTTGGAGTCTTACTGCATGGGATGTTTTGAAATGTATTGTACTTTCCTAACACCAGTCCGCATGACTGAGCAGTTTGGCATAAACGTCCTGCAGGATCTGACGACCAAAGTAATTAAAGGATGAACTGAGTGAGAACTTCGAACTGTTGCTTCTCAAAACCAAGACTCCTTTTTACAAATTACCAGGAAGGAAACCCAAACTTTAGGTCCATGTCAGTGCATTCCTATCCCATTTCTTTTCCTAGGGGACAACAGTCTTGCACCAGTTCTGTCCACTATATGTGGCCGTGAAATACCTGGACCAATCAGATCGACTGGAGATGCCATGTTTGTTCGATTCACGTCAGACTCAAGTGTCACGGGTGCTGGTTTTAATGCCTCTTATCACAAAAGTAAGCTGCCTTTTTTTAAAAAATGGATCTTTAAGCTTCTTTGCAGATTTCGGAGGGGTGGAACAAGGAAGACGGTGCTTAGAGATATATGTTATTTTAATATCATTGCCTGCCTAATTGGCAGAAATCCTTTCAACATGTACTATGAATCTCATGGTGCATAATATTTGAAACACAAGCATAAATGCAATGCATTTTCAAGAGCTCAACCAACCTGCAAAACTGCTAGCAGGATAGTTGAGACTGGTGGGAGGAAGTTTACCCTACTTGCTTAGAACTGTGCAGTAGCAAAGCATTTATCCTACAGTCAATTTTGCAAGTGGCCTTTTGCAATGCTATTTAAAAAAAACACTTGAAAATGCTTTGCATGTAATGTGTAATGATATGCAGTTTTACTTGTATGCAACAGTTTTCATGTGGTTAAAAATGTCGTAAGACCCTAAATATGCAAAACAAAAACCTCTAGGCAAACCATACCCTCTTGTGTACAATAAAATATGCTGTGAATGACATCTTCAATCTGAAGGTATCTCTGTGCTGAAGAGAGAGGATAGTTGTACAGGAGGCATTTGACATAACAAATCTAGTTCCAAAAAAAGAATAGCCCTGCCATTGGACCAAAAAAAAAAAAAAAAGAGCAGAGTCAGGTTGGTTCCTCTTCTCCTGTTTGTCATGTGACCACCTGAAAATAGCTTGCATCAGATTGTACCACAGGCAGTCCAAAATATGAGCCATTTCTCCCTCTGATTCCACCCTCAGTCAAGAATCAGGTTAGAGAACTTTGGATAGATCAAAGTATACATCCTGCTTAGATAGAAATTTGAGGGTCAGCTGAAGTCCCTTTTGGGCAAGATTACTCACCTAGGCTCTGCCCCCTTTGTGAATAGCCTTACATGGGCAATCCTCTGGCCTACAGAATGCCATTCTGTTGTCCTGTCATCTGAGTAGGTCCTGGAAACCATATTCCTCTGGGATAAAGCAGAGTGTGGGATTTACTGAGATTTGCATCCAGATTTCCCTTCAAAAAACCATTTCTCCTCTCTTTAAGTGATCATTAAAATATTTAAGAAATCCAGTTGTCTGCTGGAACTTCTCATCTAAAGCTTGTGCTGACTGAAAGCTTCTGACCATCAGATTCAGAGGAATACTCTATATTCCATCCTCTGTACAAAATGATACTAAAAATAAACCATGTTTTCAGGAGGAATGAAAAGGTACAGAAAGTCACAGGAAAAGTCTCTCTATTAAGTGAGACAGTAGGAACATAATATGGATGATAGAAAAAAATACTGATAACACCAGTGCAGAAGCTAGTATATTAAGGAGAACAAAGGTTCTGTCTGGAGGACCATCAAATCCTAGTTTAGAATTATGATACAATAGTTTGAAGCTCAACATTGACAGAATTATAGAATCAGATGAGATATTGCTTAAGAAGTAGAAGAGCTTTTCTTAATAGTGTTTTATCTTTTTTTTCCCTTTAGGTTGTGGTGGTTACCTGCATGTAGACAGAGGGCTGATAACTTCACCCAACTATCCACAGACTTATCCTCCTAACTTGAATTGTTCTTGGCACATTCTGGTTACTGCTGGTTCTGTCATAGGCATCCATTTTGAACAGCCATTCCAAGTGCTGAACGAAGATGCTTCCTGCAGCCATGGAGATTATGTTGAGGTGGGGCAAATGTGATTAAGTCACTGCTGGACAAACTGTTCCCAAGGATTTAAAGCAGAATACTCCTTAGTAGCCATTTCTGTTCATTGGTCAGAAAGGCTCTATGATCTCATGGATGAGAAATGTTTCATGAGTTATTACTTTCTGAATCTAATGTGTGATGAATTGCATAATGTACACACACACATTATAGGATGTGTTACAAAATATATAATCTTTGGTCTGAAAAGCTAGTTAAAACTTGGTTCATTCCCAGAGCTACTGAGTGACAATTTGGAAAGTAATTCTAACTCAGTCTCTATCTGTGTAGAGGTCATAGTCTGCTCTCGCAGATTTATTGTGAAACTAATGTAAATGTGTAAAATGTCAAACATGTGGAACTGATATATAAATGATTTATTATATGCTTTCTAGACCTCTGTTCTTGAATTATAACTGGTTCTCCTTCACAGTTCTTGCTGCTTACTTTTCAGCTTAGAAATGGACCCGACTCCTCTGCTCCACCATTGGGAACCAGTAGCAGGAATGGGCGTTTCTGTGGCAATAATCCATTTTCTACCATGTACACTACAGATAACCAGCTCTTTGTCCACTTCAGTTCTGACGGTAGTAATGGAGGGAAAGGTTTCAGGCTGAAGTATGAGGCAAAGGGTCTTGGTGAGTATTCGCACTAAATACGAGCCACAGTTCTGGGTACCTAAAAGGAACATTAGTGCTGAGTCAAGATCCCAGTTAACCAAGAACATAAAATGATTTGAAAAGACATTCTGAACCAGATCTCCACTTAGACCATTATCCTGCTTTTCCGTATCAGCCAATCAGATGTCTTAATGACGCTTGCAAGCAGGACATGAAACCAGTATGTCTCACCTATTGTAGTGTCTCAGCTACTGCTTGGTCAGGTTTAAGAAATGTTTGACTATGTCAGTGACTTGGGTATGAGCAAGGGGTATCTCACCTCATCACTTCAGATGCACCACTTAAAATATTTGTCTTATTTATTATTTATTTGGCTTGTTTATAGGCTGCCTTTCTCCCGATGGGACCCAAGGTGGTTCACAGTATTTAAAAAATAGAATAAAAAACACAATAAGATCTGTATTTAAAAAACTAAGGTCTATATTTAAAACTATAGATCACCAAATTCATTCAAAATTCATTGATTCATTGATATGAATCAATGAATTTTTAATGATTTTTGATTCATTGATTTATTTGGCTTTAAAATACCCCCCCAAGGTACCTAGAGACACTAGAATTGCAGAGAAATGTCCTCTGACTCTCATCTACAAGCCCTCCAAGTTTGGTGAAGATTGGGTTTCCACAGGCCAGCTGCTAAAGGGCACTTTACTGGGAGGGTCGTCCTCGTGGGTGTATAATTTGGAAAAACGAAAACCCAAACTTCATCAAACTTGCAGGGCTTGTAGAGGAGAGTCAGGGGAAGCCTCTCTGTGTATATGGTGTCTCTAGGTGCTTGAGGGCATTTTATAGGGTTTTAAAGTAAAAAATGAATTGACAAATCAATTCATTGATTTGTCAGAGAAATCAAACATTTGTAATTCATTATTTGTTGACCTTGATGAATCACAAATCCAAACAAATCACAATTTTTCTGATTTGTGCCCTTCTCTATAAAAAACTGATTAAACTATAAAACTGATTAAAATACAATTGAATAATTAAAAACAGATAAAATGTTAAATTAGTTTTGAAAAGGCATTCAGAGATTATATCATGGTTGTTAAACAGCCTACAACTGTCATTCTGTGCCATGCCAGTTATGATTGCTAACCAGATATAGTCCGTGGTGTGAGTGAAGGCATCATAACCTGAAGGAATGGGATGAGGTAGCTCCCACTCAGACCTCAGGCCATTAACAGAAGTTGTTAGACATATCCTCCATGAATGATCTGATCATTTAATAAGGCCATCTGAGTTAGTAGTAACATCATGGTGGTAAATTCTGCAACTTTATTATATATTACTGGATAAAGTAATTTGTTTGTAAACCCTTATAGCAACAGAAGATTTTGCATTGTCAAATGCAGAGAAGTTAATTTTTTGATTACAGATATCCCAACCTGCCAAGCAAGTGACATTGAGATCTGGGATTCTAGGAGTTGAAGTTTTCGAAATTCTGTTCCCATGCACAGAAATTTTTTTTGTCTTAAGTGTCCTGAAAGTTCAACTCGGCAATGATGTGTTGGCTCCATGGACCCTCACTTGTGGTGTTCCCCAGGGGTTGTTGATATCCCCAGTGCTGTTTAACATGTATTTGAAGCTGCTGGGGGAGGCCATCAGGAGATATGGAATAAGGTGTCATCAGTATGCTGATGACATCCAACTCTATCTCTCTTTTACCATGTCATCAGTATGCTGATGACATCCAACTCTGTCTCTCTTTTACCACCTCTCTAGTGGATGCCATCCAGATGCTCAAATGTTGCCTGGCTTCCGGTACCGGAAACATCAGCAGGTCTAGAATCCAGTGACCAGACTGATGCTTGGTGCAAACAGATCCAGTTGCATCACCCCAGTTCTGGCTCACCTCCACTGGTTACCCATTGAATCCCAGATCAGGTTCAACGATCTGACTCTCACATATAAAGCCCTCCATGATTTGAGCCCACATTACTTGTCAGAGTCTCTCCCCAATGTCAATTGCCCAATCCACCAGATCATCAGAGATGAGGCTCCTCCAGATAGTCATCCTAAGGGAAACCCATAAACCTTCTATGAAAGGTAGGGTCTCCTTCGCAGTGGCTCCATCTTATGGAACATGCTCCTGGAGGAGCTTTGCCTGCCCCCCCCTTCTTATTGATATTTAAGAGGCAATTGAAGACATGACTCTTCATGGAGGCTTTCCACCCTAACCCTAGCTGAGTTGAGGTGATCTTACTGCTACTTTTATCTCTGTTCTTTTGCTTTCTTTTTGTCTTATGCTTCGTTTTATTAGTGCTGTGGCACCCTCTGCTTTCATGTGATTATATTGTTTTTTATACTATTTATTTTGATTGCATATTTTACTCTGAACTGTCCAGAGTAGTGCTGCAACACTAATAGGAATGGTATATTATATGACAGTAATAAAACAATAAATAAATAAGTGGAAGGAACTCCACGCAGGTCAAAATGTATCCTTTGACCTCTGCTGCAAATTATTTTTTGATAATGTGTTTAAGGGCCACCTCTGATGTTTTATTTTTCAGTGTTTACAGGAAGGTAACTGCAAAAGGTAGCCAAAGGTTTTCACCATAGGAAAAGAAATCCATCCCTCACATACTATACATCTAAAGAGGGCACTACACTGTCCTTTGTGAAGCAGAACTGTGCTACTGATCCTGCCCCAAGCAATGGCCTCTTAACGTGTTCAAACATAGGGTACTTCTCTGCGAATGTCTATACCTACCTCTGGGGGAAGGGCCAGTGGAATGCCCAGTGCTAGGAATGGGACCATTAGCAATGTTCCTTGCTCATCTTATGGTACCCCATTCACATGGATAGTGCATAGTAGGAATATGGGGTTTGCAAGAGAAAGAGGAACAAATAAAGCAAATAGGCTATATACAGTTACATGTCAAGCTCTCAGGAGACAACAACAACAAAAACAGGATTAAGTCGCATTCCTTTCTTATGAAAGAAAACAGTTTTCTAAATGGTCCATTTTGGCTTTTTAAAATGTAAAGCATTGTCTGTCAATGAACATTCAGTCAAATGGAATCACATGAGAATGGAGCTGTTTTCACTGGTCCACCTCTATCACTGTTGGAGGAGGAAGGTCTGGAAAAGGAAAGAATAGATACAAGTCCTTTACATGCATTATCTTTCTTATGGCTTCAGACATAATGGCTGCATGGGAGACATGGGTAATGGTGATATGACAAAGAGGACAGACCTGCAGAGTCCAACCCCATTCCCCTCCTCATACAATTCTAATTCCATGAGAACCAAACATGAAAACAAGACTATTGTTATAAGCATTATTATTCTGTTTAACATGCTTATACAGTATTGCCTTTCTGTTTTTAGCTTGTGGAGGAAATGTCTACATTGCTCCAGGCAATCCTTCTGGGTATATCTCTTCACCCAATTATCCTGGCAATTATCCACCACATGCTGATTGTATCTGGATGATAAACGCACCATATGGGGAGGTAGTGGAGCTGAAGTTTGAAGATCAATTCAATATCCATCCTTCACCTAAGTAATTAAGCATTGCTAACATTAGATTTTTTTTCATATTTGCTCAATTTATTTAACAAAATGTCCAGCTTGTATGCTTCTCTTGCTTTATCCTAAAGACCAAATATGTCTAGAGGACATATTTGGCCTTTAGTTTAAGATAAAGCAAGACACTAAATAAGAGTATAGATGGTGCCACTGTTTGTGATGGGGAGTTATTTATTTCTACAAGTTTAACATGGTAACTTTTCTCCAATGTTTAATGGTTTTCTCTGCAACCACAACAGATGGAAATAACTGTTGGCTGTCACTCTCGAAAAGCCTATGGTAACTCTGGGGAACAGAAACACCTATTCCAATTGCCACATGTTTTGCTCAGCAAAACTGAACTGTGGAGATTGAAGGCCTGGATAAAGGGACATAGTTGAGCCAGTGATAGTAAGAGGAAGAAAACAGGAGTAACAAGGACATAAGAGTAACAAGGATAACAGATGTCCAAATCAGGGTCTCTTGTTTGCGGCCTTAAAAATACTAGAAAAGTAGAAGTCCTTAGTTGAGCTTAGTTCAGCTCAACTAAGGAGTCAACTAGTAAACAAAGGGGGCAAACCCCATATTTGCTTTAGCCATCTTACATTCCTCTTTAAGGGTTTCAAGACTTGTCCCAATGAAAATGAGAGCATTACTGTAGTTGTTTCAGATGCATGTTTCTTTGGTATAAGTGTTTGTAGCTAGAGATGGGGACGAAGCACCAAAATGGCGCTTTGTCTTGGTTCGTGAGTCGTCGAACTTGACGACCCATGGATCACGAATTGCCTCCCAGTGACCGGATGAACAACGAATCAATTTGTCATTTGTTGGGTCATTCCGCCCCCCCCTTTTCCTCCTCTTGCTATACCCTGTGTGGCATAGCAAGAGGGAGGAAATGAGGGATCGAAGTGATCCCGCAGCTGGGGCTATGAACAACAAATCAATTTGTCATTTGTTGGTTCATTCCACACACCCCTTTTTTCCTCCTCTTGCTATGCCCTGTGTGGGCATAGCAAGAGGAGGGAAAGCAGGGATCAAAGCAATCCTGCTTGCCGCTGGGGGATCCCTTTGATCTCTTCCCTCCTCTTCTTATGCCACATGGGCATAGGAAGAGGAGGAAAGGGGAACCAAGCCAGCCCCCAAGGTGGAATTCCCTTAGGGCAGATTTTATCAAGCTGCCCAAAAGGAAGATCCCCTCTCTGCTTATGCCACCGAGGAACAGCTGATCTGTGGGGGCACAAGCAGATAGGGAATGAAGGGACGAATTTGTTGCTTCATATTCGTTGGGGTCTCTGGACCTCAAGAATATGAAACAACAGGTATCTGATGAATCAGGGATATTTAATGAATATCCTGATTCATTTTTATATTTGTTCCACATCTATTTGTAGCCAATTTAATCTAATATGCCATTTCTGCAGTGCTCTTCAGTAACGTGAAGAATCTGTGTTTCTTTCCTCAATTATCAAACACCATCTAAATCCCCATGTACAACAGACTGTCATATTGAAAATAAAATGTAAAGAACCTTTCAAAAGAGAGAAACTGTTTTTTAAACTCACCGTGGTGATGAGGGGAAATTATATGACCAAAAACCAATTCTTGCTAAATGTATATGACTGGAAACCACCTTTGACATGCAATTGTTTTGATGGTTCCATATATTTAACTGTAGGTCTGATCACCTTTCTTAATAGCAGTTCAAATTAAAAGGTTTCAAAGGTACTTCAGTGAACTATTTGCATCAATAATTGGCACTTACATGATTCTGAACAAAGCACTTTGAATTCATAATTTGCTAACCCAGTGCTCAAATCTGCTTTTTTCATGCTTCAGATGAGAGAACAGAGACTATGAAATGCAGTGTTTTAATCTATTTATAGATTTGTTTATTTTGATTTCATGTGCTCCTACATATTGTAATCTCTCTGTCTCAGTTTCTGTCTCTCCTGTCCACTCAGATTTGAGAAGCCGAACGCTGTTAGTAGTATGTTTCAGATATAGCCTGTAATGCTGCAAAGCATTTTCTGACTCCTGTTTAAATATATGCCTCTGTCACCTTCTTTCAGCTGCACATTAAATTATATTGAATTACGAGATGGTGCTGGCTCTAATGCACCAGTAATCAACAGACTGTGTGGGAATTTTTTGCCAAGCATTCAAAGATCAACAGGTTCCACCCTATATATGAGATTTCGGTCAGACAGTACAGACACAGGGGTTGGATTCAATGCCAAGTATTCAAAAGGTAATATGAACATTTAGCATGCATCTAGATGAGACTTTTATCATGCACCTTTATGGGTATTTCCTAAATGTCCGGTCTTAAGCTTTCAACACTATTTTGGTATTCCTCACCCCTGCTAATAAAGAAAAGATGCTTTTTGGATTGATAGCAGTAAGCACACGCTGGCTGGATGCACAACTGCAGTTACAGCAGCAACAAGAATGACAATAAGCAATTATATCGTGCTTTTCAATGATAAAGTAGTACTCAAGGCAGCTTGCCACTTGGTTTTTTAAAAAAGTAAAATAAGTTTAACTACAAAATCATCAAAATCAAACAAAACTAACATGATCATAAAAGCCATTAAAATCAATAAATGTATAGTTAAAAGCAACACAGCAGATTAAATATTGTTTGTTTCTACAGTGAGAGTAGAAACTGAACAAAACTCTGGAGTCCTCATTCTGGAGCCGTGCAGGATAATGCCCTGTGTGCCTATTAGGAGGTCCTCTAAAACTGTTGGCATTCTTCAGAAGATCTAAACATTTGGAGAGGTTCATGATGAGATGCTTTTGAATTGTGGTGCTGGAGGAGGCTCTTGAGAGTCCCCTGGACTGCAAGGAGAACAAACCTATCCATTCTAAAGGAAATCAGCCCTGAGTTCTCACTGGAAGGACAGATCCTGAAACTGAGGCTCCAGTACTTTGGCCATCTCATGAGAAGAGAAGACTCCCTGGAAAAGACCCTGATGTTAGGAAAGTGTGAAGGCAAGAGGAGAAGGGGACGTCAGAGGACGAGATGGTTGGACAGTGTCACTGAAGCTACCAACATGAATTTGACCCAACTCTGGGAGGCAGTGGAAGACAGGAGGGCCTGGCGTGCTCTGGTCCATGGGGGCACGAAGAGTCAGACATGACTAAATGACTAAACAACAACAGACATGACGAGATAGATGGTCAATTGGATAGCCAGGTCCCAAGCCATTTAGGGGTTTAAAGGTCAAAGCCAGCACTTTGATTTGGGCCCAGTAAGCAACTGAGAACCACTCCAGGTCTCCCAGTATTGGAATCATATGGTCATGACTCCATGCACCAGTTAGCAGCTTAGCTACTGCATATGCCCCAATTGAAGATCCTGGACCTTCTTCAAGGATAGCCCTTGTTAGGGATAGGTGCTGACTTTAGTTCCCAAATTCCACTCCCTATGTATCCTAGGCTGGATGAAACCTAGAAGGTGTTTAACTGGGTTTCCACCTATCCCCTTATTTTGGGACAGAAATTCCATTAGTTGTGTACTTTGAGGCTTGCACACCAGCCTGACTAGGAAGGACACCCAAATAACAAAATTAGCACAGCTTCATGACCAAGCCCTAGACATTGATTACAGCCTGGATGATTCTTGCCTAGTCTGGCCAACTCAGTGTTTCCAGTCATTATACTGCTTTGCAAAAATAATGTTGTTGCACCTCCATTGCCTGCAAAAAACAACACATTACAAGTACTGCCATTCCATATAACACATCATTTCCGGGCTCTGTACTAGAGTGGTCAAATTTTATATATACAGTATATATATTTCCATTCTATGACCACTAGTATATTATCACTTTTAAAATGTACTTTCTGTGGTGCTTTTGGTGGAGAAAAAAAGCAAAATCTCTGTGACTGGTCTGGTAAGCACTGTCATCTTTCTTTGCAGCTGTATGTGGTGGAACATTGACAGGACAATATGGACTTATTGAAAGTGTCGGATTTCCTGATGGTCACTATCCAGACAATTTGTTGTGTGAATGGTTTATCCAGGGGCCAGTGGGTCATTATCTTACTATTAACTTTGAAGCACTAGATATTCAGAACTCAACAGAGTGCATGAATGACTACTTGGAAATTCGAGAACGCAGTGCTTCAGGTCTGTGAAACAAGATTATTCCTCCTTCTTGCATCTGAATAACTAAAGGCTTGATGCTATCTCATGATATAGTAACTGCATTTTGAAGTATGACACATCCAGCCTGATCTGCATCTTTTGACTGCCAACATTTTTGCTATATACTTCCTCTATATCCATATGTGCCAAGTAGTAGATACAGCTGTCCTTATGATCCTTAAGATGTCATATGATATATTAGGATAGTTCTGCTCTCATAATATACATGTGCATAAGACAACCTTATATCTACATTGGGATGTACAAAGGGTGGCCTGCAGACTGCATGTAGCTCTCAGACCTCTCTTTCCCCTTGCGCAGGGCCTAGTACCCCCTCAACATTTTCAACATAAAAAGACTCACATGTATTCTGGGAGGATCAATTTTATTCCCCACTGTTTTTCTCTCCTCCCTATTTTCTTTTCCTTTCTGGGGGTGGAGGGCTCTTGTAGGCCTTCATGGGGTTAAAACAAGAAGTGATCAAAAGTCTTTTTTTGGCTTGAATCCCAGCAGGGAGGGCCAAAGAAATACTGAAATTCTTGCTTTCTAGAGTATAGGTGTGGGGTGGTGGATCTTTTTTAAACTAAAAGAGTTAAGGGTAGCTTGGGGATGTTTGGAGTACTACAATAGTCCAAGAAGACATGTGTGGTACCTGGACATCTCAAAACTGCCTACCCTATCCTACATTGCCAAAATTCAAGGATTCACTTTCATAGCCAATGGCCTTTGCTATCCCAGCAGAATCTCCAAGTGATACATCCTGAAACCTGACCCATGTGCAACCCTTTTCTGTGTTTTGCTGATACCATGTATCACAGCATGGGTTTTAAATGGAAAGTATTTTTGTTTAGAATTGCCTACAGAAATATCTTTGCAAATCAAGCCAAAAAGGAATAATAGATCTGCCCACTTTGCAGTAATCCTTTTCTCTAGTTATTTTATATGAAACATGGTGAATAATTTCAAATCAGCGCTGCAGTTTGCACCTAGGATTAAGCTGGCATAGATGGGTTCTAGCTCCATTATTTGTCATTGTCTTTGAGCCTGTAGAACAGACATATCGTAAAACAAAATTACAGAATTTTAGCACATTGTAGATCACCCTCTTTATTACATTCTCTCTTTTTTTCCTTACCTAGGAGATTTATTGGGTAGACACTGTGGTACTGCTATTCCAAATGCTGTGGATACCTCTAGCCACCAGGCTTATGTCAAGTTTGTCACTGATGAATCTATTAGTGCTCCAGGTTTCAGGCTGCATTTTGCTGCTAGTAGTGAAGGTAATAGAGAGTTTTTATTTGTTTTCTGAAGTATCGGGGGGGTTACATTCAAGCATGCACAGAAATAAACAAGTTAAATAATTTTTGAATTGGTTGAAACATGGTCCATCTTTTATATTTTGTCATTTCAGTATTGTTAGTTTTATGATAGTGGGTTCTAATGTAGTAACTATTTATGATCACTTTTGAGCTAAAATAGTCTGCTTTTAGTTTCCAACTCAATAACGAAATAAAGGGAAGTATAGAAACATGACAGCTGTTATATGTTATTAAGTGTTTCCTCTTCTGTTCATCATTTCATGACAAACGATATTTTACATTGTTCAGTGTCTGACTGAATATTATTTGTATTATTCTAGAGTGTGGAGGTGAATTTCATGGTACTGGCGGGACGTTAACCTCCCCCAGCTATCCAAATCCCTACCAACACAAAATAAAATGCGAATGGAGAATCATGGTGCCATCTGGACGCCGTGTCACTCTTACCATTAGTGACATGAATTTTGAATTCAGCCAGAATTGTAGCCTGGATTATTTGTCTGTAAGTGTGAGAATAAAAGGAGGTCAACCACCATAGAATATGGAAATGCCATTTAAGGTTAAATAAGCTGCAGGAATTAGTCAACAAGAATTAAAACACATACAGATCTAGGAATAAACTTGGAACATATGATATGAATATTTGTAAAGTGCACTGATGTTAGAGTCAGGTAAGACCGGGTGGGGAGGTGACCGGGGCAGTGGGAAGGGGGCACATGGGCATCTGTTTGCCAAAGCAAAATGAAGCACCAAGGGGGAAAAGTTCAGTGGTTCATTTGGCTTCGGCAAAACAGGATCCCCAAGCTGGATCAGGAACTGAACCACAAACCAGACCAGTTTGTCAGTTTTTCTGGTTTGTGGTTTGGTTCGTGCCCATCTCTATTGAACTCTATAAACAGTCAGAAAATGCTTAATGGAAATTTCTTTTGCTTTTGTCAAGGTGGCAAAGTATGACTCCCATTAATTACTGGACTGGCAAATTGCTGCTACGGCAAATAGTTGCTTTTGTTTTGACTAAATGGGTCACCGCACCAGCAGGAATAGCTCAATGGTCCCATACTAATTTACTAGCTGGCAAAATGCCATGAGGGTAAAGTGTTGTTGAACAAAGCTGGTCAGGTACCAATTTGCTCTATCTGCAATTTAGGACTTTAGTTGTTGTTCTTGTTGTTGTTTCCTCAATTATTTTGTAGTTCCTTATTAGTTGTTTACACATTCAACTTTCAGCTATGAAAGAGATTCTTTTGCAAGGTCACGGTCTTTTACCTTGACTTTGCTCTTAATTTTGGCTGGTGCTAGCTGATTGTTTTGCAGTGATTTTTAGTAAGCTGCTGTCAAAACCTCATTTTGAAAGGGCAATTGTGTATCCAGGGCTGGATTTAACTCCCTCAATTATTTTAGCACTCTATACATATAAAACTCCAAACCTTGACAAGAAGTCCCCTTTATAAAGGGAGATAATAGGATTTCATTCCCTCGTTGCTCACTATTGCTCTTGAAACTGCCCATGAAGTCAAGCAAGCACTGTGACCGTGTCTTCCCTTTTCTGTTTCCTGCAAATAGCACTCCTATTCTGCTTCTGTATTAGAAATAGCAAAACCAAATTCAAGGCAGTTACACCCTTAACACCATCTGGCTTGCAGAGGTTTGCTGCAGAATAATCTTCCCTGTAATGTTTTTACTCTGAACCCATCCAATCTCATTTAATTTTAGAAGCCAAACAGGGTCAGATTTGGTTAGTTCTTGCAGTGGAGACCAGCAGATGATACTATTGATCTCCAGGTTGATCTAGGAAAAGATTCTGCCTGAAACTATGGAGAGCCACAGATGGTCAAGAATTGACTATACCAGGATAAATGGACCAATGATGTAGCATAAGACAACTTTCTGTGTCCCTATGTTCCCCATTGAAACTCAGAAGAAAGCCAGTTTCTAAAAATACATTGACTTATTTTATTTTTGGCAAACAGGTTCATAATGGCTTTGGTGAAAACACACCCAGATTATCCAAATTATGTGGCAGGGCATCTCCAGGCACACAGGTGAAATCCTCTGGGAATAAGATAACAATAATGATGGTAATAAGCCATGATGATTCAGAGGCAAGTTTCAGAATTGCATATGCTTCTGATGAAGATGCAGGTAATATACTAGGTATTTTGCTTTTCAGCAAGGACAAGTGAGAAGAATTATTTGTGATGCAAAACTTTCTTCTGTTTCTACTATTTTGTATTTCTTCAGTGTGTGGAGGGCAACTTACCAGCTCAGTTGCCGGAAATATCTCTTCTCCTGGTTATGATGGTATCAACAATTATACAAACAATCTGAATTGTGAATGGGTCATCCATAATCCACAGCCATCCATCACAACTCTTTTCCTTCACCTTGAAAATTTCCGCTTGGAACAGCACATTGATTGCCAAAATGATTACTTAGAAATTCGACAAGGTGAGTTACAGTCACTGGGAACCAGCAAATAAATACATTTCATCAGCATATTTCTTTCCTTAATTCTTTGATGGGCATTTGGCAACACACATGTTTTTTTCTCTAGGGCAGAGGTGGGGAGCTGGGGTGTTTTTTTTTAATACAACAAAAAGACTTAATGGCAGTTTAAAGACTAATAGATATTTGGCATAAAATTCCATGGACCATTGCCCACTTCAGACAAGGTTCCTTTTTTCTATCGGGAGACTTGCAAATAATCTCTTTGGACAAGCTTGCAATGAGCAAGCCTGGAATCAAAAATGCCTTCCCAGTCCCAGATAGTGCCAGTGGCTCAAGATACAGGTGAGATGAAGTGAGCATCTTCATTGTTTAGTTTACCTGAGTACCCGCAGCTGTGGAAGGAACTCACCCATGACACAGATCAATAATTGACATTCCAAACTCCAACTCAGTTCTGAGAACCAGTTATTTAGTAGGTTTGCTCTTATCCTTGCGATGACCTAAGGTTAAAAAAAGAGCAGGAAAGTTTTTTTTTCCTGTTCTTATCTGGATTTTTGTTCTCAAGTAGAAGCAAAATTTAGCAAATGGAGCTGTTCTTAAGAGGAATTGTTCTTAAGTAGGGATGTTCTTAAGTAGAGACCCCACTGTATTTAGTAGGTTTGCTCTTATCCTTGACTGATTCATCCATCCAATATTCTTTGTCTATTTTGCAAACCCCGGTCAACATCTCCCCCGTGTATCAACTTGACTTGGTTTTGGAGACTCTTTTTCCACTTGCAGAGACTGCTCCCTTTTGTGGCCATTATCTCCTTGGCTGCAGACACTTGCAACATGAAAATAAGATACCAGAAAAATGTGCTTTATTTAAAATCTAGCCCATAAACATACCAGGATCAGAAACTATGAGTTGATCCTGGTTTGTCTAGATTAACCAGGAATAGTTCCCCATAGTTGGATATAACAGAAAACTATCATCCTTAAGGATGTGAAATGAGAGCAAAGAGGAATATAATTAATGTTATCAATTAATATCAATTAATGTTATCAATTTGTTATCAATTAATAGTGAGAGTGTTGGCTTCAAAATCTAAAGCGTCACTACAGTTTTGTTCATTCCCCTCCTGGTTTTAGCAATGTAAGTATGAGAGTGTAATGGAATTTGGGTGTTTCATAGTGTCATGTTTTTACTTAGGGGATTCTGATGGGGAGCTGTTATACAGACTATGCGGCCATACTGCGCCTAATGAAAAACTACTAATAGCATCTCCTCAGATCTGGATACAGTTTTTGAGTAATGGTCAACATACAGACAAAGGATTTTTAATCCGCTATTCATCACTAGGTAAGATGAATATCACTTTCACCGTGTGTGGCAATCCCAGCGGGATTCACTGGGCACTAAAGAGTTTGAAACTGCACTGTACAGCTTATTGCAGGTGTAGTGTGGGGTGCAGTTGTCCCCAGATATCAGTCCTAAGTTCTGGATATCTAAATGCATGTCTGCTTCTTCACCGTCACTTTCTACACTGTCCAATTCTGTGGAGTAAAATGGATAACAATCACGGAAAGGAATAAGAGCTCACAGCCTGAAAGGAAAGGAAAAACAAGCAGACATAACAAGCCCAGGGTATTGGGAGATACAGGGAGGACTGGCACAAACAGGAAGAGAGGCAATAGGGTTGGAGAAGGGGGGGAGAGAAGAAAGAGAAAAGGTGGAAGAGAGAGAATATAAAGAGGGAAAGGAAATGATAGAGTTAGAGGGCCTGTGGGCAGGGGAGTGGGTCTCTTTCATGCTACACAAAGAGGAGGCTGGGAAAATAAATAATTGGTAACCCATTGTAAAACCTTCTTACTGGGGTGAAAAAGAGGAGAAGATCAGAAGGGGAAATCATAAAGAAACCCTGGGTAGTAGCATGGCAGGGCCCCTGGAAAGAAGTGAAGGCAAGTCAAGCAAAACTGGAGAGAGTTGTATTCACCCCGTGCATTATTTCCAAGGAGGTGGCAGAGGAGACCACCTGGAAACTTTACCCTTGTTATGGCAGATGCTGATACCAACTTCCTCAGGTGCACCCTTGGGCAGACCTTTGAATCCTTGGGGTGATTTATCAATGGTACTGGACCCAGAAAACAGATTGTCTGCACCTTTTGTAAATAAGTTTGAAGACCTTTGGGAGGTGGTGGTGGTGGAGCAGCCCCCCTCTGAGTTAAATAAGACAGTTCTTTTCAAGAAAGAGAATCTGTCTTTTGTGGGAGTACTAGAAGGAGGGGTCTGGAGAGATGGTTTGGAACCCAATCACAGCTGGTCCTTTCATTGTGGAATGATCTTCCACTGGAAACATCACACTTACATTAAGTCCCCCACACACACACACCTCTTCAGAAAACTGGCTAATCAAGGAAAGGCTCACTGCTGTGGCCCACTGTTGACCTCTCTGTGTTGGGACTGTAAATTCACACCTACTTTAAAGTCCTTACAACCACCGGGTGAAGTTCTTTTAATGGTCTCAGGCTTTTATGCTTTTGAAGGAGTTTTCAATATGGATTTCTAACAGCTGCATTTATCCTGCTGTTTTTGTGAGGTTACTGATGTTTTATTGCATTTTATTTTCATTTTACTGTTGTAGACTCCCCTGGAAATTTATCACTGGAAAGTGTAACATAAATTCTCTTCCAGACATTCAGTGTAGCTTTAGTTGTTTTAATTCTTAGTATTACATCTTGTGCTTCTTCCATACTGTTTCAAGACCAGTCAATTCTCTCTATTCCTGGTTTTTTTTTTTTTAGTTTTGAATTTGATTTTTTTTCTACAATATATATTCCTTTCTGCAAATGAGCATTTCCCCATTACTAGTACTGCTGGAACTATATAGAAGATATTTGCTAGGGGCCTAATGTAAATGCATTTTTTTTCTTTCTGGAATTACAGTATATAGAAGCTAATACAACTAATATGACAAAATTATCATGCTTACATTTCAGTTACTTATACAATAAAGCTTCCTTAAATATCTCACTTCTCATTTCAGCCTGTGGTGGTGTTCAAGAAGGTGAAGGTGGAATTATTTCAAGCCCTAACTATCCACAACCTTACAACAGTCATAGTTTTTGTTCCTGGCTTTTAGTCGCACCAGAAGGACATACCATAAATGTAAGTAAACAGTATTTTGTTGCCAAGAAAGCAATTTATGCATTATTAGCAGGGTGGACTACAAAATCGGATGCTGATTTTAGACAAGAAAAGTGCAAGATAGGTAAGGTGATACATGTATTCCAGGCCACACCTCTTTTTATTCACTTGCCTTGTATATCTACTTAGGACACAGCATTCTAGTTTTATTTTCTGCCTTGAACTTTTTGGTGTTCTCCCACCCAAACCTTAAATTAATTTTAAATGAGCTACTATCTAGATTCCTTAAAGAAATGGATTGTCTGCCTGTTGACTAGAGTTGACGGGAAGCATCAGAGTCACTTTCTGAAGCTGGGTAACATTTGCTATTTGTTTAATTGAATAGGAAGTTTAGCAACCCCAAGTAGCTCTAGCAGTGATGGTTCGTGTATATTGGAGCTGGTGAGATGGCTAAGAAGTGGTTCACTGGGGTGGACCCAAAGGGTCATCAAAGGCAGATCCAATTACATCTAATTTTGTTGCTCAATCTCTTTCTGTCTAAGCCAGAAATGGGCAAGGTGCAGCTCTGGGACCATGTACAGCCCCACAAACCTCTTTTGGCAGGCCTTAGCCCTCCTTCAGTCCTCCCTTTTTCCAGCCTAAATAAATAAATATATACATTATTGGAAGTCTCCAGGAGTGACAATTCACTTTTGTGAAAGGCCATGCCTCCACCATCTAACATCCCCAAATACTGATTTTTTTTTTCAAAAGTTTATGTGGGCTTCTAGACATTTCTGGTTTCTTTTCCTTTTCGCATTTTTGAGAAATTAACAATTTAATTACACAGGCTACATGTCCCCCCCCCCCCCGGTGAGCTGGGTACTGATTTTACTGACGTCAGAAGGATGGAAGGATGAGTGAAACTTGAGCCAGCTACCTGGGATTGAACCCCAGGTCGTGAACACAGTTTCATCTGCAGTACAGCAGTTTAACCACTGCGCCACGAGGCTCTTAAATGAACTGAGGAAACTTTGGATATCTCTATTTGTTTCTGAAAATGTTTTTGGTTTTCGTTTTGTCTTGTTTTTGCAATGTGCAATTGCACGTTCACAATTTTATTTGATTATTTGTCCACAGGTGACGTTTGTGGCTTTTGCCATTGAAAGGCACAGTAGCTGCAGATGGGACTCAGTCACCATTCTGAATGGTGGATCTCCTGATTCTCCTGTCATAGGTCAATATTGCGGAAACACATCACCAGGCACCATTCAATCAGGTTCCAATCGGTTATTAATAAACTTCCGCTCTGACCGTTCTGTTCAGGGAGATGGTTTCTATGCAACGTGGAGCGCGGATTCTTTAGGTAAGTAAGGAACCACTGTTAATGATTTCTCCTTATACATAGAAAGGATCATGTAAGTAGATCCCTCTCTCGGTGGAAATTATGGCACAAGGAACAATTTACATTTAAAATGTATCTTTTGAAAAAGTGAGACCCTTCAAATTGCTTTACAAAATTTAAAAATAAAGTATATAAAAAAAGTACCAGTAATGAAAAATAAATATTCGGGAAAATAAACATAGTAATGTTTAAAAATCTTCAGCTGTAAACCACCAAGAAAACAGCAAACAGCAGAGACACCTTGTTTATCGGGGAGGAATGGACCAAAAGTTATGATTGGCTTATTTTAAGCAGTAGGATATCAGCCACTGAGACCTTCAAGACTCTTCTTTAAACTAATAAAGAAGTTGGACGCTTTCCCCATGATGTTCTGCCATATGGAGCTATGAAATGCATATAAGCAGGTCCTATTTTTTAAATCAGGAAACGGAAACCAGAATCCTTTTAGTTTATGTCTTCCAGCCCACCTCTGTAGCATAAATCTCAGTAGCAAATTGCCATAATTTAAGACACCATTTGCTGTTGCATGCCAGATTGTGTGACTGAGTGCATAATAGGAAATATCTAAGCTAACTTCTTAACTTGTGGCATTTTGCCAGTGAGATGTATGCCAACTGAGTTACGCTGGCAGATAAACATAATAGATTCCAACCAGCATGTATTATGGGAAAAGTGATATTTCATCCACTTAAATTTCTAAAAACTTGAAAGCATTTCTGTAAAACATTGACTGCTAAACTTAGGGTCTTTTCCAAGTGAAGAAATTCCACAAGGGTGAAAGACAATGAGAATTTAATGTGAGAAAATATTTTAATAAACTTAAACAATGTTTTATTTTCAAATTTTATACCTTTCAATTTATTTAAAAAGTTTTTTTAAACTAGGAGTTTGTATTATTAATTTTAAATTAAAAACTCATTTTTAAGGGATCTGGATTATTGTAAAGTAGCAATGGGGCGACAGAAGGGCATCTCAACCATTCAAAAAGGGGTATGTTGTGAAAATATTTGGGAGCCACTACTATCAACATTAATCATTCTTACAGGATGTGGTGGAATTCTTCATTCAGAAAATGGTACCATCCATTCTCCTCACTGGCCTGAGAATTTCCCTAATAACATTAGGTGCTCATGGACAATAATTACACAGGAAAGCAAACATTTAGAGGTGACCTTTCATGAAATTTTTGAGATTCCAGATAGCAGTGGACAATGTCAAGGCAGCTACGTGAAGGTAAGTTAAGGTTGTAAGTATTTTGAAGTATATTGAATATTACTGTAGAGTGCCGTACGAGCACTTTTAGTTAAGTCAGTCTAGGGACTGAAATGTAGATAAATAATAGCACTTACTTTGTAAAGCATCAGGCACACAATTGTTGTATACATAATTAATAAAAATTGAAAACAGTAGCAAGAAAATGTTTTAAAATCCAACCATAATGATACATGGTGCTTTAAGGCATGGCATCAACAAATTGATGAATAACATTCTAATTGTCTAATTTGAATCTACATGTGGGAGATCTTGAGAAAAGCATTTGCTCCTATGTGAGAGAAGGACATCATATCTGCCTTATTAGGGGATGTGCGCTGTGTATAACGAATGCAGACTTCAGCCTACAGTAGATGCTGTGCTGTAGACTGCCTTGGACCCCGATTCTGGGGGAAAGGTGGCATATAAATAAATTTTTTTAAAAATGAGCAGTCGTGGGATGATGTTTTGAGATCCAGAAGCTTATGGTTGGCTTCATGATATTGTTACACACATTCTTGTGAAAAAAATGTAGTTTTCCCATCAACAAGGCCCTGGTTTCAACTCACTCATAACTGGATCACTGGCACAGGGCCCCAGAAAAGGGCATTACAGAAGGTTTGCAGTAGAAGACCGTCTTGGATCTGGTACATACTCTAGGACTGCATCTGCCCCGATGCCGGGGTGGTGCAGCTAATCCCCCCCCCAAAAAACCCAACGTAGGGGGGAAAAATAACATAAGCTGGTCACCCTTTCCATAGCAATAGTAAGCAAAGCTGACAATACAAGATGGCAGACAAGACTCAGTTTTGCATCATCTTTAATGCCATCCATTGTCTGTCTTGGGCTGTGTTTTCTTTGCTGAATTTCAGTTGTGTGACAAATGTACTTTTTAAAAGTTATATTTCCTCTGATGGCCTTTAGGTGGCATGCATACCTCTTTATTCCTCCTGATTTTATGATCTCAAAAGCTCTGTGAGGTAGGTCAAATTCAGAGAAATCCACAGGCCCAAATTCCATGGCCTCAGAGAACACTCAGACCTGGGAATCCCAGTCCAGCACTCTAACCACTACACCACATTGACTCTAATAAAAATAAGTTCAGTGCCTTTCTTTCTCCTTTCCCTTACCACTGAACAAGCACAGCAGCCCAGAACAAAGTATAGGTTTCCATTTCTACATAACTTATTATATTCTATCATATAATACCATGTTTCCCTAAAAATAAGACAGGAACTTAATTTTTGCTCCAAAAACACATCAGGGCTTATTTTCAGGGAATGTTTTATATTTTCCATGCACAAGAATCTATATTTATTCAAATACACTCATGTCATCTTCTTCCGGGTGCTGCACAATGGTGGAGGGCGGGGTTTCACTTAACTGGGGCTTATTTTGGGGGGTAGGGCTTATATTATGAGCTTCCTAAAAAATCACACTAGGGATTATTTTCAAGTTAGGTCTTATTTTACCAGAAACAGGGTACAACTTATTATCTACAGTACTTGTTTGGCTATTAAGACATTCTTGTCTGGAAGACATTGTAACTGAAGGGGGATGGTTTCCATTCCTCACAGTTTAATTGTGTTTTCAGGAATTTGGTGGATGTTGCCTGTTGTTCTCTTCAGACTGTGCAAAGCCGTGGCTCAACTCCCACTTGGGATAAAGGGCAAGCATAATTTATCATTGTGTAGGAGGAAACAAGCAATTGGATAGCTGCTCTTTGCTCAGGAGGTTAAAGGGCCAAACTGAAATTTATTTTTCAGAAGCTGCGAAAATATACCTAGGCCAGTTTAGCACTCAGGTTTTGTCATCTTGCACTGCAGAGGTGAAAATGTTAGCTAGCATTTCAGTTTGTGCACAAAAAATCCTTTTGTAAAGGAGCAGAGGTTAGTGAGGATTTATGACATGAAGGGTTCCATGGATAAAGCATTAGGCACGCCATTAAAGGATATGATTACAATGCATTTCGTTTGAAAAGGAAATACATTACAAAAGTATAAGTGTTGGAGCAATGTTTTAGTAATGTGTTTGAGAACAAGAGTCCAACTGTTGCTTCCAGCATATGTATCATAATGATACTAAGCAAGCTGTTATATACTGCACTCTGAACGTTTAAATCTAGTTAAAATTAAGGGGATTTAGACTGTAATCCTATGGACCCTTTTTCCAATTACAAAAATCTTATATTTCTTCAGAAGTAAGTTCTATTAGGTTCAATGAGGCCTGGTTTCCATACATACATACATATAGAATGTTTCCAGATGAGGCTTTTATCATGCTGTACCAGTGGTCCCCAAATTTGGGTCCCCACTGTGATATACCCATTAACTGACTGTCTTTCTACATGAGGTTAACTCTCTGTTTGGGTGGAGTGTTGGAGAATATTAGAATCACCGTTGTCATAGATGAGCTTATTTATGGTGTTGATGGAAAAAAAACAGCATGCAGTCTTATTCAGATATCAAAAAATAGTAATACTTTTCATCTAGGTGCTGAAAGGAAGTGATGAAGAAGAGGAAGATGCTGTATTAGCTGTTGGGTGTGGAAATGCAGCACCTGGATCTATTGTTGCCCCAGGAAATGTGATGACAATTGTGTTTCAGTCACAAGACATCCCAGGGCATGGATTTTCTGCACCTTTTATAAGCAGTAAGTAATTATGAATCCAGAGGTTGCCAAAGGGTCGTGCCATCTGAGCATCTATGTAGTTATGTCAAAGGATAAATTAGGTTAGAATCAGGAACAGATTAGAAGATGGTAGGAAAGCTGCTCTAGGAAGTTTGTTTAATAAATGAGATTTATTAAACGTGTAGACATCAGATGTTGGAAGAGGGGTAAAGAACCACCCCTTCTCTGCAGGGTTCAGCTGTTTGTCTATACCCTCTTCTGCCCCCTACCCTGGCATAAATCGTTTTGTATATTTGTATGTTTCTGTGCCTGTGACTGGCCTCATTCTTATTAAAAGGTAAGGTTGTGTATGTGATGTACTGTGTCCCACTTTGCTCCCACACAATAGGCCACTTCTCCAATTACAAAAGAGTAGAGAGAAAAGCATTTCCCATGTCCTTGCTACTCTCGTTATACCCAGAATCACATTCTAGTATGGTGGAGGGGTTTAGTTTTGCACGTTGGCTCTTTGTCAGTGGAAGGTAACTGTGTTTCTTTGGTCAAATGTGCATTCAGGGTGTGGAGGAAATTTCACTGCGCCAACTGGTCGACTGGTCTCCCCTAACCACCCCAGGCAATATGAAAACAACCTGAATTGCAATTATATCATAGATGTGGGGCCCCAGTCTGTTGTCATCCTGAAATTTGAAATGTTTGATTTACAAGGTAAGTGCCAATAGAAGTTACCTAAAGCAGCACTATGAATCTTGCAGTCTGTGTGTGGCCCACCCACCCTTTCTTCAGTTTTCTAAAACTCCTCTCTACTGGAAAGTTGCTAGTACCAAGCAGAAGTAGACCCATTAAATCAGTTGCTAAATAGCAAGTTAATGCAATGATTCAATTGGCTTGTTCCAGTAGAGACTACCAGTTGAATTCAGACTTACTGTTTTTGGCTGTGGCCTAGGACACTGGGAGAATGATACTCACAGGGGGAAAGGAGTTTAAAAAGGAGTTATGGATTTGATTTGATTTGTAGAAGAGAAAATTATTAAGTAGTATATCAAGATCCTAGCAATTTTCATATGATACACAGAAGGATGGAAGAGTTTTTACAATGGCTGCTTGAGAAGATTGATATTCGTATTTTCTTTACCTGAGATGTCATGTTTGACCATGATTCTTGTAGAAGCCTGCTTGCCTACAGCTCTCTATATAGCCCTCGTACTTAATTGTTCATGCTCAAAACATAGCCAGGGGGTGAGGGTAGGGGGTAACAGCACCACTGCTTTAATTCTATGAACCCCCTTCATGTTCCAAATGCTTGAGCCCTGTGCTTTCATGGGGAGACTGTATTTGAGGTTCTGTCATCTCTTACTGAAATGGAATTGCCAGTGGTAATCTTTGATACATATATTTAATTTGACGGTACAGCCATGTGCAAACTGGTGCCCAAGCCTGGCAACTATGGTGTGATTATCTTGGCTTGCCTACGGTGTATAAAGTACTTAGGGAGTGGGTGGCTAAACAGCTCCATGATACCTTGATGGATGATTCTGAATTTCAGCTCAGCATGTCTTAGAATACTGCGCTTATGATGGAGTAAATATCTTCAGAGGAAACCGCATCACATCATACCCAGTGGCAACATATTGCGGCAATGAAATCCCTGGTCCTATCAGTATATTTGGGTCCACACTGCTGAATTTCTACACAGATTCTGATATTGTTGGCACTGGATTTTTGGTCACTTATACAGTAATCTGTGAGTAGACATAAACAGCATTTCATTGATGGGAACGAAGTGTGTTTCAATGCAAGGGACTACTAACTGTGGTTCTGGAGAAGAGATATCTAGACTTTCTCCTTGGAGGGTTCCTCAAAATCTGGGGGGGGGGGAGGAAACAGATATATCCAGAGTTATTGAAATGGGCTAAGCAGCAATCTACACATTTGATATGGGTGACAATATCCTATATACAGTGGTGCCGCATAGCGACGATAATCCGTGCAGCCAAAATCGTCACTATATGGATTCGTCGCTATGCAAAATATAAAAGCCCATAGGAATGCATTAAAACCCGTTTAATGCGTTCCTATGGACAAAAAAATTACCTTTATGAGAAAATACTCCATACAGCCGCCATTTTCGCTGGCCGGTAAGCGAGGAATGGGCGCGAAAAGACAGCGGGTGGCCATTTTTTTACCCGGTGGCCATTTTGGAACCGCCAATCAGCTGCTGGGAAAACATTGTTATGCGATAATCGGTAAGCGAAACAGCTTACCAATCATCGCAAAGCGATATTTTCCCATTAGAAACATCATTATGCGATCGCAAAAACGATCGCAAAAAATTGTCGCTATGCGGATTTGTCGTTAAACGAGGCACCCGTTAAGCGAGGCACCACTGTATATTTATTCAAAATTAAATCCTACTTAGTTACCGGCAGGGAAATATGCTTAGTCTCATAAGCCCTATTCAATCTTTATGTAAGCATGTGGAGGCCCCACACACTAAAGAGAAGTGTGCCAACCCCACCCCTTTCTGTCATCACTTTCAATGGCTGAAATCCTGTTGCATAGCATAGTAAATCACACTAGACTTGGTTTAGCAAACAATGATTGTCTTTCTGTGTTTTTCTGCATGGAACAATAGTCTGAAGAGAGGGGAGCTGCTCTAACTGTGCAGCCTCTCCAAGTAAGCCAGTAAAATGGAAGAAAAAGACTTTGATACACATGGAAAGGTTACCCAGATAAGACAGCATTCCCTAGTCAATCTATCACTTTGAAGTGTTGGAAGTGATCATGCTGGGAGTGGCTAGTGTTCTCCCCTGAACAGATGTGAGCTCCCTTCAATGCATATACTGTATGCTCCACACACTTCAGGCAGGAACTGATTAAGAGCATAGTTAACAGTCTCATGTCACACATAAATAACTTCTTTTCTTTGTATTGGCCCAATGCCAGTTTACACATTAAGGCCACATTCTGTCTCTGGCTGCATCATGATAATCAGTGTGTAACAGATGAGTGCAAATGTGCATTTTTAACATTAGTCTGCTTCCAGATACAAGTGAGCATCTAGAGTTCCATTTTAGAGTCAGATTCCAAATTGACAGAACTGGGGAAAAAGGGGGTGCAAGTCTTTGCCTGTCTCATTCTCATGTGTTAAAACAAGAAAATTAAGGTTTTTCTCCTCCTCACCTACAAGACAGCAAGATAATTTCTGCTGCACTGCGGTTTGCATATTTGTAGGATTTTTACACAAATGGCATAAATTGTTCACATTGCACAAAACTACGGTGGACTTTTAAAAATTAAATGCATAGAATGGTTGTTGGGTTTTTTGCATCATTCTGATCAAAAAGTGAGTCCTTCTGTGCTTGCAATTATGTGTCAGCACTTTGCTTTTAAAAAGCAAAATATACTACTTTTGCACATTGTGTGCAGAAACCTCAGTGAAAAATTGCACTCATCAATCCTGAATAGGAGGCAATAAAATTTCATGAAGTTCAGCAATTTCCCAGCTGGCTTTTTTACTATTGAGGTGGCCTGTCTTGTCAACAATATGAAATCCCAGAATGCGTCAATCCCTAGCAGTTATTTAGGTCTCAGCAACCCTCATGGCCCATTTAAAATACTCCATCTAAATTTATACTGATAACAGGTATATGAATCCTCATTCAGTTTAGCAAATAAGCACCAGCATTAGAAACTGCAGACATTTTGTTCATTGAAGAACCCTTGACAAACAGCCATTATCTGAAAGTAAGAAATCAAGTATCTTTGTTCAAAATTAGTCATCCTGCTAGTCACTGCCTAGATGGAATAACAGTGAAGGAGGACAATATGCACTTAGTCATGAAAGAGACCTTCATAAGTCACTCAGTTTGGCTGCTGCTGTCTGACCTTTGGCTTTTGACATTTGTGAAGTATGACTCTAGGTTTTTATTAGAGTTCTTGTCCCATTCAAAGCACATTATGGCAATTAACATTCTAGTTCCTTCCAGCTTTATCCTGTGAAATGCACATACACACAGCCACACACACACATTCATTTCTTTTTGTTTCTTTTCTTGCTTATCATGAATGCCGCTCTTTTAATTCTTTGGCTTTTGTCTCCTATTTGCCAATAAGTCCAAAGTACAGTCCTTGATAGACCCCCTCCCCGCATTGCAGCTGAAAATGAAGGGCAAATGCCAGCGCATTCATTGCTCTTCAGAAGAATCTACTTTGTAATGTTAGTGCTTAATGCGCTGACTAGTTCTTTAGAACTTGGGCACCAGTAGGCTTGGGCTGTTTGTCAAGAGGACCCAGAGTGGTTCCTTGCCAACTGAAGAATGTGGAAAAAAAACAGCACAATTGCAGAGTGTTATGAATCAAGATACCTCTGCTTGGAAAGCAAAAAGAAGTTTGAAAGTACTATGTGTTCTGCCTCCCCAAATTGTGAAGAGGACATTGACTTCACCCTGAAGGACTCAAGTAACTGTTACAAAACTACTGAATTATGCTTCCTCTGAAGGGTTAGACTCTCCCATTGTAACCTAACTTAAGGAGGTTATTCATTGCAGAGTCTTTCCCATGGACAAGTGAAGTAAACAGGGAGGCAGGGAGCAATAATCACTGCGAATGACGAACACTAAAAAAATGACTTTCTTATTCTACACAAACCTACCTGATCTTTATAGTATTTGAGAGGGACTCTCTTTCATCTATCACTTCCATTTAAGGAATGGTTGGTCAGAACACAATATAGAGCATCCTTAGTTGTGGGACCCATTCGCTGAGACAGAATTAAAAGGAGATTAATTTTTCAGATTCATACCACTGGGACCAAAGTGCAATTAATTGCGTTTAGACTCCGGATCAGATCTATGGACCACTAACCTGGTGCATTCCATGAATGCAGAAAGACAATCAGCCAAGAGAGGCAAGCTATCTTCCTGGCCATCCTTTACTCTTTAATTTCAAGTTAAATTCTGGACAGAAGAGGTCTGGGTGGCAAAGATATATTGTGAATAATAATTGATGTATTGTTTTGTTCACTTGCATTAATTGTTTGCTTCTTGCTGCAGCTTGTGGTGGCGTTTTTAATGGCACCTCAGGCACAATCAAGAGTCCTACTCATTCGTTTACCGAGTATCATCACAATATGAACTGTTCCTACCACATCATTGTTGGAAGCAACAGGATAGTGGCATTGAAGTACGTAAGTCAACAGGTGCTTTCATTCAATGGGGAGAAAGTGGTAGGCTCTACTTTTGGATTTCCTTTTAAAAATGCTTCTATAGGTAGAAATAAGTAATACATGTTCTTGTTTTCAAAAAAAGTTACTTCATTGGAAAAGTACAACTTACTATACAGATGGGGGAAGGATTTTGCACTGGCACTGAACTCACACCTGAGAACTTGTGCTACATTTTCTTTACCCAAAGGAATATTATCAGTCCCATTAATCTTCTGGTACAATGAGTCAAAGACATGGACTCCTGTTTTTTGTTTGTTTGTTTGTTTCCCACCCCCCTCTTCTATAGGTTCTATATGTTCAGGGAAATGCATATCCCATTTTCCCTCCCACAATGCAGTTCTTTCAGTGATACAAACCTGGAAAACAGACTTACAAATTAAGCCTGTGTCCACCTTCCAATGACCAATCACAAAACACAGTTTACTGGAATGGAAGATATGGAGTCAAGCTAGGACAAACATATCTTTCATCACCAAAGGGAGAACTGGTCTTAGCTATGAGCTAAGTGTCATAATAGCATGACATTTACAGTATAATGTTATCTGGCTACTACATGCATTTCTGTTTCTCTTCTACCTCTCCCCCTAAAAACACTGTACCAAATGGAACTGGAATAATCTAATGATGCATTTTACAGATTCAATAGCTTCCACCTTGAAGCCTCGGGATCTTGCTACAAAGATTATGTTGCTGTATATGATGGACCAGACATCATTTCTCCACTTCTTGGCAAATTCTGTGGTGCAGTCCTGCCTCCATCTATCAAAACGTCCTCAAATCATTTGCTTCTCATGTTTAGTACTGATTCCTTTGGAGCTGCTGATGGATGGAAAGCATCTTTCAGGGAGACCGTAGGTAACAGTGACATCTGAACAAAAAAGTACCTCTTTTCCAAGACTACTCCCATTAAACTTAGGCTTATGGTAGTGAGAGGGATCCATGGGCCAAATATGACCCATTGGAGGTATCTCATCAAGCCCTCAGAGTCCTTCTGCTCATATCTCCTATCAGTAAATGATTTAAAGCATGAGTACAGAAGCGTGGAACTGAGCTCCACTTTACAGCCTTGGAATACTGTTACGTAGGGGGAGGATTTCTATGATATTCCACATTTTCTCTGCAGCCTACATTCGAACCCATAAGCAAGTTCAAACATGTTTATGAGCAATCTGGCTTTTCTCACCAGATTGCTCATAATCCATCCATAAACTCAAACATAGGTTGCACAAAAAATATGGCATGTCATAGAAATCCTGGTTTTCTTCCAGAGAGCTGCTGTATGGAACCAAGCTGTGCTCTGCACTATGGGATGCTCTTGCACTGGAGCTGACTTGTGGGTGGATGTAGAATTGAGCTGTGCTTTACATGCATGGTGAGGAACTGCAGAAATTGGAAAGAATTGCACAGGGTCCACCCATTATGATCCAACCCTAATTCTAATACTGTGTTTCCCCAAAAATAAAACAAGGTCTTATATTAATTCTTGCTCCAAAAACCACATTAGGGCTTATTTTCAGGGGATTTTTTTTTTCATGTACAACAATCTACATTTATTCAAATAGAGTCATGTCATCTTCTTCTGGTTGCTGCACAATGGTGGAGGGCAGGGTTTCACTTAACTAGGGCTTATTTTGGGGGTAGGTCATATGTTACGAGCATCCTGAAAAATCATACTAGGCTTGTTTTCAGGTTAGGTCTTATTTTGGGGGGAAATAGGGTAGTTGAATTTTTCTCCAGTCTTCAATCAGACTTGCAAATGATGTGTGTGTTTACCTTCCAATGACCAATCGCAAAACAAAAGGACGGTAGTTTGTAATAACTAGGGCTTATTTTGGGGGTAGGTCATATGTTACGAGCATCCTGAAAAATCATACTAGGCTTGTTTTCAGGTTAGGTCTTATTTTGGGGGGAAATAGGGTAGTTGAATTTTTCTCCAGTCTTCAATCAGACTTGCAAATGATGTGTGTGTTTACCTTCCAATGACCAATCGCAAAACAAAAGGACGGTAGTTTGTAAGATGTGGAATTTACCTTCCAATGACCAATCACAAAATAAAAGGACGGTAGTTTGTACGATGTGGAATGATGCAAGTTAGTGCTAGGACAAAAAGACATCTCCCCCAACAAGTTAGTGCTAGGACAAAAAGACATCTCCTCCACACACACCCCAAGAAAGTTCCAATTCTAATGATGTGTTGACAGTAGTATCTAGTTCTGTTGTCATGTGTATCTGCTGATTCAACGAGCTGCTGGGGAACATGAGCAGGAAGGTGGTATCTCAAATTCACTGTCCGCTTGTGGACTTTCAAAAGGCCAACTGGCTGGCCACTCTGAGAACAGAATGCAGGAGTAGATCCGCCTTTTGATCTGATCCAGACTGGCTCTCTGCATGGTCCTTATATAAATAACACTGACCTTTAATCCAGCTTCCTGGTGCTATTTGAATACATCAATGACCAGTTGAAAAGAATTAACCATTAAAAACTGCCTACCGTTCTCCATCCTTATGTTCTTTTGTTAATTCAAAGTTTGGTGGGGGTTGCAATGTCCCCAGTCCTTGAGGATTTGCAAACTGAGAACTCCAGATTTGTTGACAAAAGGCCTTTGTGGCATACTAGAAACATAGTCTTACACTGAGTCATTACAACCCCACCCTCTCCCACAAAGCTAGGACTGTTTTTTATTTGTTACAGTCTACAAGAGACATAAGGATAAGGAATACATCTGAGTAGTGTTATTTGCCAGGAGCCACATCCCTACAGATCTCTACTGTTGTCACTGTTGTCGACCCGTTTTCAACTGGGTTTGATTTTCAGATGGCAGATCTTTCTGTCATATGAAATTACACCCTTTCAATCTCTACTAGTTATTAGGGGCCTGTTTTAAATTCTGTTAGAGAAGTTTATTCTGGAATTGGAAGCTTTATTCTGTCCTGGTGATGGCATGGCATCTGCTTCAGAATAAGTTTCAGTTCTGTGGTATTGATCTTCAAACATAGAAAGGATGCCAAGATTTGTTTTGTGTTGCATAGAGACTATTTGCAGGCTTCCTCATTCTGAGGATCTTTCCCCATCATCACTGTATACAGTGAGAACTGATAGTTCATATATTTCAGCTGGAGCTTGGAAACATTTTTTTTATTACAACTCCCAGAATTCTCCCAATCAGCAAGGCCAGTAACTTCTGAAATCTTTGGTCACATAACATGTATGTTGGAAATTCAAGGGAAAAAATCATGGGATGTTATAGAAAGGTGATTCTCAGACCGTGGCTTTTCTTGGTGGAGATTTGTGTTTTTTTAATGTAAACAACAAACATCCTTGGCTAATGCAGATTAGTGGTCAGAATGTTGAGGTTTTTATGGGGTTTGAGGTTTTTATGGGGTTATTAATCAGATTTCCTCTTAGCAGTTGAGTGGTCTTGAGTCAAGTCCCTGTCTTGATCGCCTTCACTGTTGCCAAATTTTGTAAAAATCCAGAAATCTGGAGAAGCACCATCCCTTGTTATATATGGACCAGAAGCAACTGGTTTGTAAAGCTTTAGGTTCTCATAATGTCCCAAAGAACACACCTCCACTTCTTGCTCCCTGTTGCAGCAGCTTGTGAGAAAAGAGTGAGAGATGAAGAAGTGAGGTAGAAGGAGAGGAACTGCAAGAAATCAAACAACCTTAGAAAAAGAAATGGTTTAGAAATGTGTCGGATTTTTCCAAGATGTTGGTGAACTCTCTGAAAACCCCAATTTTTTAAAAAAAGCACTCAAAAGACGCTCAGAAAGAACACTGAATTAAAATTGGAAAAGTGTTATCCACATTTAAGTTTGTTGTTAAATTAGTTGCTTCTATGCTTGTTGTAGGATTTTCAGGCTGTTTGTGTTCTCGCCAAACAGCCCGAAAAACCTACAACAACCATTGGGTCCCAGCTGTGAAAGCCTTTGAGAATACATTAATTGCTTCTAACTTGGAAAAAGTCTGGGACAGAAATGAGTAAAATAAAATAAATAGGTGCCATGAGTGTGATTTACAGTGTTTCTGCAAGTTCTAAATTATGAATAAAAATAAGTTGTATTCAAATAAATCTTTGCAACTCGAAACAGCTACTTGAGAAATTTGGAGCTTTTTCTTTATAAGCTAAGAGAAGAGACTATTAAATCTAGAGGAAATAAAGAGGAGAACGCCTGCAAAACTACTTAATATTACTCTTTAAATGAACTCCCACCTGCTCCTTAAGAAGGGAAACAACCAAGAGGTTTTGCATTATCGTGTGACAAATTTAAAATAAATTTCTTCATTAGTGTATAATGAAAACATTATTATATGACTGTATTAGTGAAGTGAAATTAGGTAACAGGATTAGAGTGTTCTGCTTAATGTTGCTGGTGACCTTAATTAACTTTTGGAATGAGGTGAACAAAAACGGTAAACTCATTTGCAGTATTCTAAACACTGTTTATTTCCTTCAGTTTTCTCCCTATTTTCACCAGTGGCTACTTAGGATTTCCCAGGTGAACAAAAACGGTAAACTCATTTGCAATATTCTAAACACTGCTTATTTCCTTCTTTCAGTTTTCTCCCTATTTTCATCAGTGGCTACTTAGGATTTCCACACAAATTGATTCACCCAAATTGCTATTCCTGCTTAATATTTTGTAGAATGTTTTTTTCTGAGAAATGAGCAGTTTGATAATTTGAAAAGAGACAGACACCATAGGAGTTAATTACCACATTTAAAAGACATCTGCCTAGCCAGAATTTAATGAAAACAGGGTTTTTTTGTATTATGGATGTAGCACTGCTAGGTCATTATGCTCATTATCTTGAAAGCTCATCACTTCACGATAGGCAGATAGAACTCAGGTTCAAGCAATGCATCTTCCAGTAGTACTAGGAGAGAAATCTTTCCTTTAGAAAGGCACTTGCAATCGATGTTGATAATGCTGAGCTCAGTGGAACTGAGGATGAAGCAGCTTCCTACATTCCTAAGTTTAAGATGCAATCCTGTGCACACTCGTATGAAAATACAGCCCACTGAGGAAAAGAGAGATAGTAGAAGGGAATGAATTGGGCTAACCTATCTAAAGCTCTGAGTGAACTCTACTTACAGATCTCCCTCACAATTCTTGCTGATTGATTTCAGCTACAAGTGTAATTTTTTTCAGGTATTACAATCAATCATCAGTGACCCTAACCAGCCTAGCAAAGAGATTGCACATTTTCCTTGTATATCTCAGGAAGCAACGACATTGGCAAATAATATGGGAAAGTCTCCAGGATTGGGATCGTCACATTAATATTATTTTCTGCTAACTACACAATGTACAAATCAATATGAATCAGCCAGGAGTCCACCACCCCCAATCCATACATTTTTCCTCTGCTGCTGGGGCGTCTACATTTTTATTTTATTTTAATTTTTGCAAATGAATGCTTTCACATATGTTCAGTCAGTGTGGTAACTTGTTCCAGTGCAGAAAAGTGTGTGCAGGAGTGCTGATGGTTGGCAGAGTAGAGGGAGAGGAAGCAAAGAGGTCCTTATGTATGTGCAGGAGCTGAGCACTCCTTGGATTGGGATCGTCACATTAATATTATTTTGTGCTAACTACACGATGTACAAATCAATGTGAATCAGCCAGGAGTCCACCCCCCCCCCCAATCCATACATTTTTACTCTGCTGCTGGGGCTTCTACATTTTTATTTTATTTTAATTTTTTCAAATGAATGAATGCTTTCACATATGTTCAGTCAGTGTGGTAACTTGTTCCAGTGCAGAAAAGTGTGTGCAGGAGTGCTGATGGTTGGCAGAGTAGAGGGAGAGGAAGCAAAGAGGTCCTTATGTATGTGCAGGAGCTGAGCACTCCTTGTCTCCAAACCATCCATCCATGCATCCATGTACAGTATATATTTATTCATTCATTCATTTGTGGCTTGGTTCCAGCTCTGGAACAAAGCTTCACTGGAGCACCTATGAGACCAGAGAGAGAGAGAGAGAGAGAGAGAGAGAGAGAGAGAGAGGAGGAAATTGCCAATCAGTTCTTACTTGCAGTTCATTAAGGCAATTTCTGCTGTAGCCATGCCTGGGAGTCTACAGCTGATGCTTCTGTAACAAGCTGAAAACAAGGGCTGATTGGCAATTTCCTCCTTACTCTCAGCTGACTCCTGCCTGGATGGCTTAATAGAATTCACCAAGGGAAACCAACTTGCTCGGTATGAATTCACAATGGATCAATGTGAATTTTTCCCACTATGTAGTCACACCTTCAATGTTTTATCACCAGGCTTTCTGTGCCTCATAACCAGTTTAAAAATGATTGCTTCTTTTAGAAGTACATATGGGCCAGTGTGGTGCAGCATGCCCAATCACTTGTTTGACATTTATGATCCTGCTTGTGTGTTAAGATAATCAGGGGAGCCCTTTCTCTTGATCCCACCACCCTCATAGTTCCAGACTCTGGAAATCCTTTCCATGGGTGGGTAGCCTGGCCCCATCTTTGCTGTCATTCTGCAAACAGACAAAGATGTTTCTTTGGCAGGCTTTCCTTTAGAGATGGGTTGCCTAAGAGAGGTTTGAAAATATGGATCATCAAGTCCAGCCGCTATCAAGGAGGCATAATAGGAAATTGAACTCCTAACCTCTGGCTCCACAGCCAGATACCTAAACCAATGAACTATCCAACAATTCTGTAACACAAACCCCTAGTTTATATATACACCTAAACCAATGAGCTATCCAACAATTCTGTAACACCAACCCCTAGTTTATATATATTGTATTTTTCTCACAATCCGTTCTTACAGTCTTGCACCCCAATGGAATTTCTTTATGCAAGAGAAGCCGAAAGCTTGGTTTACAGGTTTTCAAGTTTTTAGAAATGCAAGTGGATGAAATATTGCTGTCTAGCAATTCTATAGCAACCCATATTCTAAAACCCCAAAGATATGTAGGGGAAAAGTCATGAGAGTGGACAGAGAAGGCAGGAAATAGTTAATTGCTGCTAGAAAAAAATTGAGGACAATGGAAATTGAAGAATGAAAAATTGTTGTGAGGATATACAGGGACAGCAGTGCGCTGTAAACAGCAAGCTCCATTTACTGAATTTAACTAGCTAGTCAACTGTTCAGTTGGCAGGACTCTCAGTTAATTAGACTGGCTGGGCCCAATTTTGTATGATTCCAATTTATCCATTGCTGCTTTTGAATTTTGGTTATATTTGGACCTTTTATAAAAATCTGTGGTGATTATGGGAGCAAAAAAATGTAACAAAGCAAGAGCTACCAATAAGTGATGTTCTGGATTTGACTTGACATCTTTACCAGTTTCCTTACCAGGGATCTGTTTGTGACAACCCCAGACCTACTGGGAGATGCCACAGTTTCACTAAGCTGCCACCAACCATTCCCTGTAAGAAGTCACACAGACCAGGAATGGATTTTTAACAAATAAAGGAATAAGGTTTATTTAAAGAACACACAGGGAAAATAAAATGATCAAGTGAATAAGATACAGTAACGTGGCTTAGTCTCAATCATACATACACCAGTTTGGTTCACACAGAACACCTTTCAAATAAAGCACAGACCCTGAACCTATCAGTTCTGGCTACCTATATAGAAACCTGAGCCTATCAGGTTGGTACTGACTGACACACAGTAGTACCCTGTCTGACACACAGACTCCCACAGCAGCTTCTTCTCTCAGCTTCTCCTCCCAGCTTCTTCTACTTCTTCACACAAGCTCCACATATATATACAGTACAGCCCCTCCTCCTGATGTCCCGCCTTCCACTCCCCATAGGATGGAACTTTCCCTCCAAACCCATGACAGACAGGTAACATCAGTGCTGTATGTAACACTGTTTATAATTAATTTCAAGTAATTTCAGTTATATCCAGCCTCATTGAAAGAATGGAATATTATTCATGCTTTGAAGTGGGGATGTGATAAACTCTGAGTTAAATGTAACTCTTCCCCAGTTCATTCTTATTGGTACCATTCCAAACAATGTATGCCTTTTGTTCTATTAATTTAGCTTTCTTTAAAAAACAACACAGTTTTCTTCTAGGTAGCAGAACCACCATCCTCTTCTACTGTTCTCATCATTAACCTAAGCTGTATTTAAGCCAACATCACTCAATATCTGGCTTGAAGCCTCTTCCCATCAGTTCCAGACAAGTCAGCAGTGAAAGATATTTGGAGAAAGGCACATTTTGTGATTAATCACAAAAATAGAAACATTACATTCAAGAGACAGGAGATAGTATCGCTGTTCCCATTGACACTACTTATATGCCCCCCTTTTGCTACTCCAGTTTATAAAAAAAACAAAATCCACACTGAACCAAGAGCCGGACCATTGGAATGATCACAAAACAGTGAGCAAGCTTTCAGTATTCCAGAACTGAAAGACAGAAGCTACTGTGTTACTGTTGAACTGGGCCTAATATAGTATTGCCTGGCTAGTATGGACCAATATGGCCACGTTTAATAAAGAAAGAGAAGACTGAGATATGTAAAGGTGTGACAAGTGATGAGAAATTTAAATTGACGTCACAGCATTATGAACTGTGCTCAGGAGAAGACCTGCGGCCAGTAAATCTGTTATTAACATGGAGCCACATGCTTTCTGTAACTGTCTCTGACGTTGCCAAAACAAACAAACAAGGAATGAGTGCTAAAATAAAATTTAAAGTGATGAGTGCAGAATAAATGTCCATAATCACTTTGTGAAGCTGCTCTGGGACCATATACTATAGAATCAATCAAAAGAAATGTTGAAGAGACATTGTTGTTGTTGGCCATGTTTTAAAAAAATCCTTCCATTTTTTTGGATCAAAAAGAACATTTTTTTCCCAGGTAGAATTTCCTCTACAACCACTCTCTGCATGGAAAAGGGGGACAGACACAGACATACTGTGATTAGTTTTTGAGGTTATCAATACCCATACTGAGGGGCATTTAATGTGAAAAGGAAACAGAGTATAATGTTTGGAGTTTATTTAGCTTTTGTTCAAAGACCTGAGGAATTTTGCATCCTTATTTGTTGTGGTATACTTATAATGTTGCAGAAGCTTGAAGTATACATTTTTTGACATAATATAGAGGCTGGGGGTATTCTTTTCCAAAATGTTTTATGCTTGTTTCACAAAATTATGTTTTGTAATGCTTGAACTCTAGCCTTAAAAATGTAGAAGGATATTAAAACTGAGAAGAGCTGATATTAGCTAAGAGTGCATCCATCCAGATGTCATTTCAGTGTGTTTATCCAGAACAGTTTTTCCGCTTTTAAATTTTTTTAAGGCAATCCCTTACGAAAGACAGATTATTCCATTACACATGTTCATTTACAGATGTTACACATATTAGGCAGAAGAGGCATTATGACAGCAGGTTTCAGCCTATCATATGGAAGGCACACTATTTTTTCCACATAATTGAGAATACTGTGATTCTTCCCCACCCCCAGATCCCCTACAGCGTGCAGCAAACTCCATACATGCACAGTTTGTTTCCTCAGAATCTCTGTACAGATGTTTCAGTGAATGGATATTCATTGAAAGCAAACTGTCAGTTCGGCTTTTCCACATGTGGTCATCAGATGATTTATAAGGACTAAGGAATACCAGTGCTTGGAAACGTTACTTTTTTGGACCCCCCGCCCCATCTCTAGAATCCTTAACTACTTTGCCATGTTGATGGGAGGATTCTGGGAGTTGTCCTGAAAAGTAACTTTTACAGGCTCTGAAAAGATAATGGAAAAATTACTTCTGTATGTGCATAAATAACTATTCATACTTCTTTATTTGGGGCTGTCAGTTCTTGCAACCAGTCATAATAAATTTCACTTTTTGCTTGATCAGTATTCCAGCCTTTTTATAGTGAAGTGTTCTTGCCCATTGTGTTAAGGAAAAAGGCAAACTAATAAGTATACTTATTTTAATCTGAGCACTTTTATATTTTAGGATGTGCCATCCCAAAAGAGTTTATCAGAGTTCCTGATAAACAGACTCATTGAAATAGTTTTCTGCATACTATTGCATACGCTTAATTAGACTGCATAAACCCAGGATTTTGTGGCAGTAACAAGATGACCCAGATGAGTCTAAAAAGACAAGGACACAGTGCCACCTGTTGCTCGAAACTAAAAAAGCAAAAAACTTGTGACATGACCAAAAGTAAAATAATTAAACTGTGTTTCTATTATAATTAATTCTGTTACCATCTAAATACAATGTTTCTTTTTAATGTGTGTGTGTGTGTGTGTGTGTGTGTGTGTGTGTGTGTTTAGTAGATAGATTTGAAAACTAGAATCAGTAAGTTACTTGATGCTTTTGCATTAACTTTCAACAATAGCAACATATAGCTAGAAAACAATATGTAGCAAATCTTTGTTTTTAACAGGTCCTCAGCAAGGTTGTGGTGGCTTTTTGACGCGTTCAACTTACAGCTTTAGCTCTCCAGATTCCAACAACGATGGCAGATATGACAAGGATTTAGAGTGTGTGTGGATTATAGCTGCGCCGGTAGACAAGCTGATCAACCTCACCTTCCACACGTTTGCACTGGAAGCATGGAGTTCTCAAAGATGCCGATATGACTATGTCAAAGTAAGTTCATTTCCTGTGAAATACTCGTCAAATGCAACACACTCTCTTTCACCTTAGGCTTAGCAGCATAAGAATGGGTTTAGAATTACAGGCGTTGAAGAGCAGGTGCTTATCATGATAGTCTGGCCATATCCTGCATCAGTTGCCACAAACAAAACAGTTTTAGGTGTTTTCACATACACCCATCAGAAAAAGGGCTGTGCTTATGTACTCTAGCTAATGTGTCCCCCTTCCCACTTTTGTTTGGATGCCATGATTAAAGGCTTTCTGTCTTCATGAACCATAGTTTCCATTGCATCCAAATATGGAAATGATGGTTATGTGGATTGGAAGAAACAAGCATTTAAAGTGACTTCAAACAATGGTTCCAAACGCGTTTCCCTTGTCAGTATATAAAAGGGAACTAGGTAGACAGTTAACCTAAGAAATTGTCCTTGTTGCAGTACACCAAAAGGAGAGTAGGGATAAGAAGCAGTAAAGACAGGAAGCAGTAAATGCAGGGCTCAAACCAGATCATTTTAATTATCTATGACAGCCAGGGATGTTGGGCAAGTCTTTGGGTATCTGTCAATTAATTACTAGTTTTTAATTATTGAAGTTATTCTACCATCCTGCTAATATTTCTCTCTCTCCCTCTCTTTGCTTCTTAGCTATATGATGGTAGTAATGAAAATGCTACTCTAGTTGGTACATTTTGTGGCTCCAACATTCCACCTGCTTTTCTTTCAACTGGCAACTTCTTGACTATTAAATTTGTCACTGACATGTCTATAGAAAGAGCGGGTTTCAATGCAACTTACACTACTGTAGACAGTAAGTACAATTCCTGTTTTCCCCTCACAAAAAGCAAAAAGGAACAAGTTGACTTTCCTTTAGCCTGCACAACTGTAACAAACAGAAGTGGCCCAAGATCTTCTGCAGCTTCAAGACAAAAGCAAGAGGCCGCACACGCCCCAGTCATTACCAGTGCATCGCCACCTGCCTCTTCCCTCTCTATAATTTCAAAATATATATATACTTTTCACTAAATATTGCTATAGACATGCAGCTTGAGATACTAACTTGAAGTAAGGAGTGCTTCTGTCGATTTCTTTAACAGGATTGTGTGGAGGTGTATATAATGCAACTTCCACCCCCCAAACTGCAACATCACCCTACTTTCCAAATGCATATCCACCGTTTACATTCTGCAGATGGGTCATTGATGCTCCTCCTGAGCAACAAGTCAAACTAGCAGTACAGGAATTCCACCTTTCTTCCAGCCAAGACTGCTCTCAGAATTACCTGGAGTTTCAGGACTCTCCATTGGTAAGTCAACTAGCCTTACTCCTAAGAACTGCCGGATAAAAAGGTAAAGGTAAAGCCAGTTCTCACCCCCGTTCACAAGCCATAGAGCCAGCGTTTGTCTGAAGACAGTTTCCGCGGTCACGTGGCCAGCGCGACTAGACACAGAACGCTGTTTACCTTCCCACCGAGGTGGTACCTATTTATCTACTCGCATTTACATGCTTCCGAACTGCTAGGTTGGCGAGGAGCTGGGACAAAGTGACGGGAGCTCACTCCGTTGCGTGGATTCAATCTTACGACTGCTGGTCTTCTGACCCTGCAGCACACAAACGCTTCTGCAGTTTAGCCCGCAGCGCCACGACGTCCTAAATAAGGTCAAATAGATATAATTCCTGCCATTGTAGTGTTTCACTCCAGGCACATATATTTGCCAAGGAACCACCTGATTTCCTCCTGAAAAACCACGCAAAAAGAAAAAGAAAGCTAATTAATGACATATGAAACAAATCAAGCTCATGCTAGGATAAACATATCTTTTCTCTCTTCTCCACTTCTGATGATGCATTAACACTATGCTCTAGTTCTCCCTGTAGATTCTTTTGTCTTAAAGACAGTAGAGTACTAGGGCTGGCAGCATATTCTCAGCCGCATTCTCAGAGGCACATGATGTTTTCGTGGCAGGGGTCTTCCTCCTTGCCAACCTTCCTCACTTATTTTGTACCAGGATGTTATAGCCTCTCTGTCACTTGCCTGTAACATTCGCAGGCCACAGTTCACAGAGCACTTTCCTGTAACAACTGTACTCTCTCTCAGGTGCTATTGTGCGATAGCCATGCATCAGTAACTAGGCTGGCTGGAAGATGTTGGGATTTATACTTTTCCAAGCTTTGCAATGGAATGAAAAAAAGAACACACCCCACAGTCATAAACCCTTTTGTATCACAAACTCATTGAAAATATTCTTGGATTCTAAATTCCATGTTTGCGATGGCTTGTCATCACTTGTGCTTATTACATTTCAGGTCAATCACGAACATGCGGATCGTGTCCATCGCTTCTGTGGCTCTGAGAACTTCCCCATCCCTGAGTTTCATTCTTACAGACGAACTGTGGTTGTAATTTTTAGATCAAATGCTTACATCAGTAACAACGGCCTCAGCTTCTCTTATCAAACTTCAGGTTGCATTTTAACCTTTCTTGCACAAGCATTACAATTTGCTCAACTTGAAATTATGTACGGCCAAGAGCTAAAAGTGTGAAGATATTATAAAATGTAGAACTACTTTTCTCCTTCCTTCTAGGCTGCAGCAGAGAATATAATCAATCATTTGGTTATCTGAAGAGCCCAGGGTGGCCTAATCCTTATCCTCATAATTTGGATTGCACCATTATTTTACGATCCCCAAGAAATCACAGCATCTCTCTCTTCTTCAGTTCTTTTCACCTAGAAGATATGGGATGTCAGCATGACTTCTTAGAGGTATGACAATTACCACACCACAGGAAACTGCCTGTAGTTTGTCTTTATTCATAAGCCTCTAGTCTGTAGTCTTTCATCCCTAACTTCACTGGTGCCACAATGTGTCTTGTAATAAATCATTAGACTTGTCCCTATGGCTTCTTGGAGTGCTGATGGATTTGTGGATGCCAACAGCCTTTACATTATAAAATGTTCGTTTATAAAAAGGCAACCCAGTGTTCAGCAAGGAGAAAGTGCTCCAGAAGCTGAAGACACATCCTAGCATTCGTTAGATCATACATTATATAATTTTTCTTGAAAGTGCACTCACTAGGATTTATGTCTACAGCAATTTTTGAGATTGGAACTTAAGGACAGGGATTTAGCATGCGTTTCATTGCCAAGTTCTAGCGAAAGGATGGAGTGACAAGACAACTAGGGGCCAACCAGCAGCAACACAATTTGCACTATAAGCAGTCAACGGCTTTTCAAAAGTAAATGACATTGCTGTGATGCGACAGGAAGACTATGAACTTATTTGTGGAGATGGGAGCTCTACACTTGGCTTCATGATGTGGTCTTGGAAGAGGTCTGTGCCTGCTCTTTGGATTGGAGAGAAAATCCCAGGATGGGAACAAATGGGATTTCTATTCCCCATGTAAATATACAATATAAGCAGAACTCCTTTATCCAGACTGCCATTGCAGTGTGACGCAAAAGAGTGGCACCCCCTATACCCACAATATTCTGCGGTCTTGCTCAATCTAGCCTGAAGTTTCTTTTTAAAGCCATGGATTCCATTGCTTATTGCATGAATGGTTGTACATGTAGTCTGGCTGTAGGATCAATGATAAATCAAAGCGGGACATGTGATCCTCTCTCACCCCTGTAAAGGCTCTTAGATTAGGCTGGCTCCCTCCATTGACAGGTAATTGGTGCTGCTCTGTTCGTTGTGGCAAGATTGCTACTGCCACCTTTGCTTTTGACATCATACTGCTCCATCACTGTTATGGCAAAGCTATTGTATGACTGCACCCTTAAAATAGGATGGCAGTTATCTGCTTGTAAGGCTTTGTGCATCAGTTTTGTTGAAGTTATCTGGGTAAATTGGGCTGGCTGTACAAGTTGCAAGGCTTTTGCGGATTCATCCTCAATAATCTCACTGTTGTTAACAGAGGCTTTGTACATATTCTTTTAAAGGTGAGAAATGGTAGTGATGCCAACTCTCCACTGCTTGGCAAGTACTGTGGAAATAACCTCCCCAGTCCTGTATTTCCTAAAAGCCATGTCGTGTATCTGCACTTCAGAACTGATCCCTTGCTTGCTCATAACGGATATGAAATTACATGGACATCATCACCAACTGGTAAGGATAGTGGTTTCAATTATAATCAACCCATAAATTAATTCCCATATGTATCTTGGCACTTGGTCTTCCAAGATGGATAACTTCATGAACTATACAAAATCAACAGCAAGTGAATAATACATGTCTGGTTGCAACATTAAAACAACATACAGTTTATTGAACTATTCTTGCTAGTTGAAATAACATTGCGCTCAAACTTGAACAACTGCTGAAATAATAATTCTGGAAAGTGAAGGCTGAACTGCTCCTGTAAATGTTGTGGTAAGAGTTCTGGAAAAAAGGCTCGAGAATTCAGAACGCAGTGCTTCTCAGGAGCTTGGGAAAATGTGTTTTTAGACCCGTTGTATCCCTCAGTATGTCTGTTGTGTTGCTCAGTCACTCCTTGACTGTACCCTCCATTGTGGAGCAGGAGCAGGACAGAGCATTTCCTTATGGAATGTGCAAAGAGCAGTAAAGAAGAGGGTGTTCCCTTAAGACTGAAGTAGGAAACCTGCAACTGTCAGCATAATTTTGAAACGTCTCTGTGAGGGATCAGTTCAGACCTTTGCTAAGGCCAATCTGTGTTTCTCCCAGCAGCCTAGATGAAAAACAGAGAGAAAGAAGGAATAAGAGAGATAAAGAAAAGAAGGGGGGATGAATAGAAGAGAGGTGGAATCGCCTGCTTACATTTGTCTCTGATGGTACCTAAAGCTGGCTTTGAGCTAATGCTTTTTCAACATGTGGCCCTTGAAAACATATCCCAAGGGCCTTTAACAGCAGAGAAAATTCCTATCCTTGCCCAAATATATTGGGTGAAAGCATTTTACAGCTTTAAACGTTAAAGTCAGCAGCTTTTGAATTATGCCCAGAAACAAAGTGGAAACTAATGCAACTGTTTTAGCATCAACATTGGTCTCTGTTGGCTATATTCTTCCTACTATTAAATCCTGGCAAATTTTTAACCAGGTAAAGTTTTGAGATGGTTGTGAAATGCAGGCTCCTGAACACTCTGTTACAACTGTCGGGTTTAAAGTTCCATGCATTTCAATGACAAACCAGTCTAAGCAGGTAAAAATGCATTCCTAGCTTATGGCTACTGGTGGAAATTCAGAAGGGTTCAGCAATGCCTTCCTGCAAATGGGCATCTAGTCTCTGGAAGGCAGAGTGAGCTAGAAGTAAGAGACCTCACATTTTAGCTCAGCTGGGCCCATTCTCATAGCTGCCTTCTCATGCTTTAAGTTCCAATCAATCCACTATCAAAAATTTATGGTTGCTTCTCAGCCCCTGTTCAGAAACTAAGTTTGTCTAAGGTCATGCCAAACCCTGGGACAACCTTCTCCAGCAGGTCCATAATGATAATGATGTGCAATCAGTTCATTTTAACTTATGACAACCCTTTTATGGATAATGTTCTCAGAAGGGGTCTACCAGTTACTGTTTCTGGAGGTGTTCTGCGACCATGCAGGCTGCACAGATGGCAGGATGCTTAATCCCAGCAACTACACACATTCCATCTGATCTCAGATGCCCATCTCCTGGGAAACACAATAAAGATTCTTACTTCCCACCCTGTAGATAAGAGCAATCCAAGCCACTAAGCTATGAATGTTTAAAAGCAAGGGCTATTTATAGCCCCAAAGTGTCTAAAAGAAGCGTTTTTTTTTTCATTTACTGTATATTGAATTCTGTTTAATCTCTGAGAAGCTGAACTACTGTTAAGAAATTATTGCTTTGCAGGTTAGTCCTCTGAGGAAACTGGTCTTCCCAAATCCAAAGCCACCATCTTATACATCAGAATATTCTAGTATTTTGTAGGTGCTTGCAGTGTTTTTGTCACAACTAAGAAAAGTCTCTACTTACTCTTTTTGGTCCCCTTGTGTCTCTAAATGGCTTCTACAGAATGGACGTTCCATTTCTCCCTATTAGTTCTGGCTACATTTTACCTCAAAAATGTTGATTCATTCTAGGCAGCACATCACTGAATATAAACAAATTGCATTTTTCTTATTTCCCCACCAATGTTTCATCGGCCCAGCTAAAAGGCAAAGGCAGACTTCAGGAGTTTTACAAGTGGCTAGATTGATTATATTTTTTTTGTGGAACTCAGAAATATGAAGAGGCTATGGACTGGACACCCACACACCCATACCCACACGCATGTAGTGGAGTATTCTATTCTGTGAGTAGATTGTTGATTTATGCTTGCATCAGGGAGCTGGCATAAATGTTGGTGGCACATTTCTGTTCATTAATGAGATGCTCAAGGCATGTGCATGACTAGGTGTGCACACAAGAATGCAACCAGCACCTTGCTAACGTGTGCCCATCTGCTGCTGAGACTTGTACAATTTCCCCAACGTAAGCAAAAGTATGCAGAAATAAAGTTCTGATTTATGTTTCTTCTGTACTCATGGATGTATAAAATAGATATAAACAGATTAAACAGCATCTTGTGTTTTGCCCTATTGGTTATAATTTAATTTTAATAAGCAAAATATAACTATGAAACATACCTTTTAAACTTCTTGTGTAACATTTAGAGTAATACAAACTTTTTAAAATTTATGGTTATATAGTACTGTAGCATTAAATAAATTCACTCAAATTTAAGCCTAATGAAATATATTTGCAAAATGCCATCGATTGTGACTCAGCACAAGTATTGCTAATACTTCCTCTAGATTTCCTGTTGAAGCCAACTGTTGAACCGTCACACAATGTACAGTATAAACTAGTCATTGTTAACATTCTATGTTTCTAGAGTGTGGTGGTACACTATATGGCGAGACTGGTTCATTAACCAGTCCAGAATACCCAGCTTCTTATCGGAATCAGACAGATTGTGAATGGACAATTAATGCTCCCAAAGGAAGAGTAGTTACCATTCATTTTGATATGATCAGCATTGATGATCCAGGTGACTGTACTAATAACTACGTGAAACTCTATAATGGACCAGACAGTAGCAGTGCACTTGTTGGGCCGTACTGTGGACAGGTAGGTTTCAATTTTTTTTAATTGCAAATATGAATGGAACCAAAGAAGCCAGTGAATTCTGACAAATTAGAGCCCTAGTTTTTAAATCCATCTCTCCACCATGTCTCGTGTAACACTTTAAAAGGAAATGATAGATTAAAATATCTGGAGAGTGCCATTGCCTCCATACTCGTCACAGTCGACTCTTTTCTCCAAGAGAGAAAATGGCTTCCCCTTAGAGGTCATGAGCACAACTTGTCCATGGCATGCCATCACATGGCATCTCTACAAACAGCTTGTGAATTTGCCAGATGCCCCTCTGAGTTTGATCACCAGAATGTTCGATAGATACCAGGATGATTGCTGTCAAAGTTCAGCATGGAGAACAAACACAGGCTTCTTACAAGGGAGGAGCTTGTCAGGCCACATTCCAAAGAGATGGAGTAGCCTGATTCTTCAATTGTTGATGGACTACAATTCCCATCATCCCTCACCACTGTGTGGCTAAGGCTGAGAGATCTGTAGTCCAACAACAACATTCCTCATCCCTTCCCTACAGTCTTCAGGTTTCCCCTTTCTAACTCCTGGCTTATGTTTGGGTTGAAGATTAGTGCGGAGAACAAACCAAGTAAACACAACAATGCATCTGAGTTATCTTTAATTGGATTCTTCCCTCTGCCACTATAACCGGAAAATAAGCGCACCAGCTTATAGTAATAAAGATGTTCTGGACAGGGCCTCTGTTATCTGTTGTATATGAGCTACAATCTTTTCAATACAGTATAGATGTTACAGTGACATCTACTGGTGTATGTCTCAAAGTATTCCTTTTAAATCTCGTATTTGCATGTTCCAAATAGTTTTTCCTGTCTGTGTTCCAATTTTCACTTATCTCATGGTAGACAAAATTATTACCAGCTTTCATATAGAGAAACTCATATGTGACTGTGTTACAGACGTTACACCTGAGTCACAGGCGAGCAAGTCAAGATTAGATTGCTTCCATTAAAACTATGACTCAGATGTGGGTTCAAATCCACATGCAAGCATGAAACTCTCAGGGTGACATAACAACCTTATAGGATTGTTGTAAGGGTGAGATGGACTGGGGGAGGTCGTACACTGTCTGAAGCTCATTGGAGGAAAGGTGGGATAGAAATGCGTTTAATAAATAATTGATACTGTAAATCTGAATCTGGGTTCTTCATCCCATTGTGATCTTCCATGGCTCATTGGAGGAAAGGTGGGATAGAAATGTTTTTAATAAATAAATGATAAATCTGAATCTGGGTTCTTCATGCCATTGTGATCTTCCATCCCACCTGATGACTGATACATAAGACCAGGGGACTTGAAGCCTTCCAGATGCCAGAATATAGTTCTCATCCTCTTCCCTGCCATACTGGCAGAACACCTGATGACTGATACATAAGACCAGGGGCCTTGAAGCCTTCCAGATGCCAGGATATAGTTCTCATCCTCTTCCCTGACCATTGGCCATACTGGCAGAGACTGATGGGAGATGGAATCCAACAACATATGAGAAGCTGCTGTTTCTGTGAACCTGCAGACTGTCAGAATTGCTGGCCCTCTGTCAGAAACGTGCAGCTGACTACTGTTAGTAATTCTCAGGATTGGGGCCATAGTCATTTAACTTTGTAGCATTCTCACAGAAAGGAATATGTTACAGTAAAAAATATATGAAGGCAAAGAATGTGAGGAATATATTGGCTGCAATCCTGTAGTAAGTGACAACAAAGGTCGGGCCAATGAATCAATAGAACTTACAGAGGATCTGACTCACCAAATACCCACTGATTCATTGTTGGATTTCACCCATTAAGAAGAAACAACAACAACAAAAAAATCACAACAGTCTTTTAAACAATGACTTTTTCTTTCCAGGCCACATACATCGCTCCATTTACAGCTTCATCACATCAAGTGTTCATAAAATTCCATGCAGAGTATGTGATTTTACCATCAGGATTTAGGCTAACCTGGAGCAGCTAAAATACATCTCTTGTGGAAAATACCTTTACTGAGCACTTTTCATCACGGAACATATTTCAGTGAATGTGGCTGTGTTTGTGATGACAATAAAATTATTTGTGGGAAATGCCATTGTTATATATTAAGAATTATTTCAAAGGAAGATGTGCTTTCTTATTTTAATTGAAAAATGTTTGCTTGCATGTGCACCAATTTTTAAAGTGTGCTGGATGATGAATGTTCTTAAGCTGTTCACTTCTTCCTTGCTGACCAGGGAGAGGAGAATGTGTGCCCTCCAGATGTTGCTAGAGTTCCAACGCTCATCATCCACTACTGTCTGCCTGCTATCCTGGATGAGGCTGGTGGAATTAAATGTCCCACAATACTTCAAGCATCACACATTTCCTATTACTGATAAAGACATTAAAACTAGAAAATAATCAACAGTATACATGCACTAGGTTAGAGTTAAGGAAAGTACATGAATAAAACCAATTTTAACCAGCAATCAACTGACATTCCTGGTGAATACAGAAAAGTCAATTCGTGTGAATTTGCAAGTATGCCACCGTAAATCTTGACAAAAGTTTAGAGCTTGAGTTAACTTACCAAATAGTGCTGGTTATATTTATAGTCTTAATATTTTGGATCAAATCTGGAAAAAAACTTATCTCTTTTGTTTCCTCGGATGCGATTCACATTTGCTATGCTTATGTAACTTCCAATGTGATTTACTTTGGTTGATGGAACAAACTCTTCTCGACTATGATGTTCATGTGAAGAAATGCTGTCTGTCCTGTCATTATGTCATCAGAAAAAGACATCTCGTAGGTCTTTCTAGAAGAGGATACCATAGAGATTTCTGCTGCGTTGGAAACAATTTTGCCATGTTCTCTCTTTTATAGAGAGAACTGAGCAAAGGTTGGGATGTAATAAACTCTATTGTCTACTGGGATCTATCACACAGTTACTAAGCTGCCACCAACCATTCCCTATAATAAGTCACACAGACCAGGGATGGATTTTTAAACAATAAAAGAATAAGGTTTATTTTAAATACAAACAGGGTAAATAAAACAATCGGGTGAATAAAATAAAGTAACGTGGCTTATTCTCACACACACAAGCATACAGTTTTGTTCACCTAGAACCTTTAACTTAAAGCACAGACCCTGAACCCATCAGTTCTGGCTAACCCACAGACCCCTGAACCTTTCAGGTTGGTACTCTGACACACAGTAGTACCCTGTCAGACACCCAGACTCCCACAACAGCTTCTTCTTCCCCAGCTGCTGCTTCGTCCCAACCCAGTGTCTCACAGTCTGTCTCAGCATCTCCTCTTCACCACACAGGCATCACATATTTATACAGTACAGCCCCTCCTCCTGATGTCCCGCCTTCCACTCCCCATAGGATGGAACTTTCCCTCCAAACCCATGACAGACAGGTAACATCAGTGCTGTTATGTAACAGATACCATAGAGGTTTCTGCTGCATTGGAAACGATTTTGCCATGTTCTCTCTTTTATAGAGAGAACTGAGCAAAGGTTGGATGAAATAAACTCTATTGTCACCCCTTCAGTACCTTTGAAATGGCTTTAGTTTCTGTGCTTTGCTATTTTCTGTTTTCCTTGATTCTGTTATTTTAGCATCTGAGCTATTTTATTGGCTGGAATTCAAAGAATTATTTCTGGCATATCTAAGGATTTAGACTTGCACAGTGGGATTGTTGTTTTTTTAAAAAAAGTTTCCCCTTTCAGTAGTAATCTATTCCATAATAAAAATGGCTCATGCATATCTGTCCAGTTTCAAAAGCATTTTGCCACACTTGGGAAATGTATGTAATCATATGCTCCTTCAGTACATGGAAGAAGTTGCTTATGTGTTCTTTGGAACCTGGCCAAAGATGGTCAAATGCCTTTAGTGAGTTTTGAAATAAAATCCATTAATATGTTTAACTAGCAGATGGAATTGGTGCCCATCCCTCTAAATGGAGGCTTTTGATCAAAGCAATGCAGCCTGCTGAGTAAAGTCGGACAGGAAGCTGTGTTTCTCATTTCATATCCAGTGCAACAGGAAAGGGCCGTGCCATGTACAACCAAGCAGATGTGCACTGCAGAAGAATGGCTTCTACAAAAATTCTGATACAAGATCTGAGCCAGATTCTGCTATTGCATTGGGGGAAGCTGCAGGAGGAAGTGGAAGTGCCCCCATCACCAATTTGCAGTTATTGGAGATGGACAGCAGTAGGTCACTTTCATCTCAGCAAACAGTGGATGTGAACTGATATCTTCATACCGAACTCTGTTTCACTGACACTGAGAGTAGAATCTCTACCTGGCCATGTTTTTGGTTTATTAGTTCAGCCATTCTTAACCCTTTTTTGGCCACAGCGCTTTTAGGGGTTCTTCTCAGGTCCCCCCCACCCCCATCAAACAAGGATACAACACAGACATCTTTCAGAAACTTGCACATTTTTCAGTTTGTGGTTCACTTTAAATATTGCCAGCCCCCCCCCATTAAGAATAGCTATATTAGTTGCTTCTCCCCTTCCCCAATTTTTATTTTCTAATCTGATGAAGAGTTCTGGGAAACTCAAACGATCAAGCACTCTTGAGACATTCTGATTGCTCCTATTAAGGTACCATTCAACTTTGATTTTGTCTATATTACCCCCAAAAAAGATCATAATTTCAAAAAAAAGAGGAAAATGAATGTTGGTATTGTTTATTTTCCTAATCTTCAAGAGTAGATTCACCTGTTGGCAACTCTAGGAGTTGGTACTGTTTTTGCAAACCAGTTGCTCTGTCCTAGTTTTCATTTCACCAACTAATAGTCCAAAATTAATTTCTTATGAGAATGGCATAATTGCAAAATAACAAATGATCATATGGAAAGAATTTCTTCTTACATCTGTGATCAACAGTTAGAAGTATGCCCATTTATTTCACTGTAGTCCTAGATTCCTTCGCAGAAGCTCACTGCACTGTTGAGGGGAGGAAGACAAAGTACAGTATGTTAGGCTTATGAACATTCACGGACAAAAATATGGAGGCATTGTTGCTTCACCTTTCTTCTAGGTTGTAGAACGGTTTTTGCAGATAGGAAATAGGCTGTGGATATGTTAATCCAACAGATACCTGTAATTGGGAGGCATCTGGGGCACACAAGTCAATAATAGCCAGTCTTTAGCAAAGGTTGCAAGTGCATCCTTTTAAATCAGTGTTGATCTGTTTGCAACAAGAGCCTGCAGGACACTCTTGACACAGCACAGACTAAAATGTAATAAGAGGAACACTTCCATAAAGGATGGCCCCACCTTACCAACCTTTTAAAATTTATTTAGTATCAACAAACATATAGATATTAATGGGGATATCCAATTTATATCTGAAAATTTAATAGAGGTCCTACCTACGTCTCCTAATTTAGTAATCAAAAAGGGGAGAAGTTAAAAAAAGAGACAAAATATAAGAATAATTTTTCCCCTTAAAATTAAGCCACAAGATATCCCTCAAGGATCTGCACTGGGGCCAAGGCTGCAATGTGTACAAAAATACTGTACCTGGGTAGGTGACCTGTCACATAGAACTGAGCTTGACTTTTCCTTTTAAGATGGGCACAGCATTTCTACTGATAAAATAACAAGGAGTCGAGTGATCAGTGAGATGGCCAATTAGCAGGTATGGGAAAAAAAATCCAGATCGCCAACCTGTGAATTTACTAACAAAGGTATGTCTGCACCAAGTCTGGGGCAATAAATTAAAATACAGATGTTGTATATCCCAGGCAAAAAAATTTAAAAGTCCTGATTGTGTTTACACCCACTGATGGAAATCTGCTTCTGGTAATGATGGGGGACGCCCTCCTTCCTATAATATCAATTCAGCATACATGACTTGAAGCTCAAGGTCCACTAAAGAGATGATTTCATGCGCTAGAAATTCCAGACGTCGGCAAAACTATTTAACAGCTTGGGAACCAATATATTTTCATTTAGTTTAGCAGTGTGTGTGTGTGGGGGGGTGTTTCGAAATGTGCACCCTTTCTCAGTACGTATTTTTCTTGCCTCCCCCTTTGATACCAGTGCCCAGTTCCCGACCACAGTCCTAGGTCAGCGCAAACATAAAGAAGGGGTTGAAACAAAGCGTGAGGTCTGGCGTCTTCCCAACATGGAAAGAACCTGCTATCGCCCTTCCTAGCGGATACCCGACATCTTCCCTCCGCCTCTCTCCCCCCCTCCCCCGCCACCCCCCAGCGCCAAACTTCGCGTCCACTTCCTCCCTCACGGCTCCCACCGCTATTGGAACCTCCTCTCGTCCGCACCGGATTGGCTCTCTGGTGGCACCACGCGGCCAATTACAGGCGAGCGAAGGTGGAGCTTATCCCCGGATTGGGTAGCCGCCGGCTGCACATTCCGAACTGCGGGCGGAGCCGCGGCTCCCCAGGGCGTTTCGCCTTACTTGGAGCGGAGGGCTTTGGGCTTCCCCCAGGGTTCCCCCCCCTCCCCGTCGGGCGGCTGGTCCTGAAGCGCTTGCGCACTGGGGAGAGGGCGCTTGCTAAGGAGGCGACGGCTGGGCAGGGCGGGTGCCCCGAAGTGTGTAGAGGCAGCTCCTCGGTCGGTCTGACTGAGCCAGCGCCGGGGTCCCTTGGGCCGCTGTGGACGGTGAGTTGCAGCGTCACTCCCCTTGGCGCCTTGGGGGTCAGGAGGTGCTTTGGAGGGGCTGCCTTGTATGCCCCCTTATTGGGGGTCGTCCTTCAGCTCCTCCCTGGAAAATGCAAATTGCTGATAGTGTGGAGTGTCAACCTCCCACACATCCTTTCCCGTGGAAAATTTCCCCGGCTTTCTTAAGGGCGGGATCATTATTCCAAACCCAACTCAAGGGAATAAGGCGCTTTATGCCTTTAGTAGGTGGTAAACAGGCAGCAATCAACAGGTGGAGCTTTCCCCGTCATTCCCATGTGGGGTGGGAAAAAAGCTTTACCTGTTGATGCCTGCCTGTGAGACAGCTGCGTATAACCTGGTCTCTCTGTTCCCCGATTCCCCCCCAAAATCGTAGTTCCGTCCAAGGTTTTTGTTTTCAAAACGTCCCCTTCGCTCAACTCTAGATTGAATTAGAGGAAAGGTGTTAAGACATCTTCTGTGGGAGTCTAGGTCATTTGCATTTGTTGACTTTGACATGTGATAACAAGAATATGGCATGACAGCTTCATGGCTTGTCTTGTCTACATTCTTGCCCTGATCTGGGCCAGTCAGTGGTTTTCCATCCAAGGGCTAGATCCACATTTTCTTATTTCCAAGTCTGGGCCAGTCAGTGGTTTTCCATCCAAGGACTAGATCCACATTTTCTTATTTTCAAGTGTCATCTAGCAGGTTGTACTATCCGGCTGGTGGTGAAGGCTTCTGGGAGTTGCTGTCCAAAAACACCTGAGTAACTCAAGGTTAAGAACCAGTGATTTAGCAGGTTGTACTATCCAATCTTTGTTTTCTTTTCTTGCCATCCCCTCCCCCCTTTTTTTTCTTTTTGGCATTTCTGGGATCTGTTGTTTGGAATGTCCTTGAATATAAGGTCTTGATCTCCTTAAATTGTGACGAAAAGAGAGACATACGTTTTTACATAACTCTTCCAAGTTAGTCTGAGAAAATTGATACAGTTGGCCTAGAAGATGTAATGCTGTATTTGCTCACGCGCTTTTGTAGACTCTGTCATACAGTCAGGAACTCACACAGGATAATAAAAATTTCCTCAAAATGTGTCAGTTGGCTTTTGTATTCTGTTCATTAACCCAATTTAGGTGATATGTTTGAATGTAATCAAGCATTTGTAGGAAAATGATAAGACAAAGTAAATCCCAAAGAGATGATGTTTAGGTTTCTGTTCACAATGTCGTGTAGATGTGGTCTGTGGATATGGAAAGTTGGGGCATGCTTTGCAGAGGATCCATCTACTCTATCCATTCCTCCATCTAGCCCAATATTCTCTACTGTGATTAGCAGTGATTTGTTGGGTTTTGGGCAAGTAAATGATCAGCTAATTTCACCCTTCTATCTAATTGTTTAACTGGGGGGTCTTTTATACAGAAAGCATGTCATCTACCAGTGAGTGATGAGGCTCCTTCCCATACAAGCAGTGTGTTTCTACTAGTTACCTTCCAGTGTTGAACAATTTAAGTTGAAGTTCCCAACAGTGTCTTCCGTGATGATGTAAAAAGTATCTTGGGATTTTCGTGCAGTCTTGCAGGTTTTATGCAAAATCTGGAGGATAAACTAACAGTGATCCTCCAAATATTCCCACTTCAAATTTCCCACTGCTCATATAAATACTGTAGAATGGTCAAGGGGGCAGGAGTTACTCATAGGGGTAGCCAGTTGCACTAACTTTTGAATATGTTCTAAGCTGGGAGGCATCAGCTCACGCAAGATTGCTTGCTGCCTATCATGAACTGGAAAATCACAACTGGGGATTTTAATTTCAAAGAAGGAATGTGTGATTTTGCATGAATTTGGCTTTCATGTCACACTGCCCCCACCCCAATTAGATCCTCCCCACCTCCAGTGGGGTCCTGGATGTATCACTGGAATTGATGCAGGTGGTACATTAGAATACTGTATATATTTTTCTTCCTTTCTTACCTCTCCTTTCTTGATCTGCCACTTATTCCTTTTCCATAAGGTACATCTATTCTTGCTGCAGGTTAAATCATGTCGAAGTCCTTGAAGAAAATTGTTGAGGAGAGTAGGGAGAAGAACATCTTGGAGGTGGACATGTGTGATCGAGGCATCTCTAACATGCTGGATATACCTGGCTTGTGTAGGTATTATATTCTCTGCCATATTATCTTTCTTGGTTTTTTTTCTTGTCTTTTTTTTAAAGAAATACATTGCTTTTATGGGGAACTGGGAATGAATATCACAGATCGTGTTCCAGAAATAGTTGTCTTAGAAAATATGTTTTCATGTCTAATGTGCCAAAAGTTGAGAAGACTTTTGGAACTATATATGGTCTTTTAGTGCTGTTCACGTTTTCCCTTGGCGACATGTGTTGTTAGCAGGTTTGTAAGAACTTTGTTTGGCATAATGGCAACCAGTGTGAACTGGGAGGCCTCTAATTTGATTTTAATCTTATCCTGGGGCTCACCAGGTAGTTCAAGCAAGCCTCTTCACAGCTCAGGTCCTGTTTTCAATACGGCAACAACAACTATCTTTCAATGGTTGTGTATAGAGGTCAAGTGGTGAATAGTTAGTAATTAGGATGATGGCCTGATGCATGTAGCATTAAATGCAGCTTCCTTCTAAATACTGGTTCCTGGTAAACAATGAGAGGTTACCGTCTTCATTTTCTGCTCATTGCTTTACCACAGACAATTGGTTGACATCAAGGCCATTAAAATGAAAATATTCTAAAATCAGTAGAGTTCTGTCAGATCATTGCAGTGGGCCCAGGGAGCCTTGTGGGTGCGAAGATTAAACTGTAGAATTGTGGTGATGACTCTGCTCATGACCTCATGGGCTCAGGTCTCCAGATGAATATCAACTCAACCTTCCATCCTTCTGAGGTTGGTAAACTGAGTATCCAGTTCACTGAGGGGGGGGCAATGTGCGCCCTGCGTAATTACATTGTAGACTGCCCAGAAAGAGCTTTAACCATTATGAGGCAGTGTATAAGCAGCACATTTTTGCTTGAATTTGTTGTTTGGCCAGCAAGAGTGCTGTTGAGCAGAATTTTACTGAAAATACTCCTTATGGCAGAGGTTGTTGGGGAAGTTCACCACCACTTCTTCCTCTTTTTTACAGGGCCTCAGCCCCATCTCATCCACTGTTGCACTGGATACGATCTTGTTCGAAAGCAGATATTCAGGGTCATAGGTTGACACTAGGAGGAGAGATCTCTCCAAAGATGTTTCATTCTTCAGCCAGTAGTGTCCCTCCACTAGGTCAAAAGTCTCCTACTGCTTTAAGAAGTCCTTCAAACCCAGGAAAAATTTCACAGCAGCTGCCTCCTCCTCCTCCTCCTTGTTTGTCATCTTCTCGGTGAATAACTATGTACAAATATTTCCAGAGGAGGACCTGTTCTAATCACTGCTCCCTTGCAGCAAAACCCAAATAGCATCTTGTGTGCCACATTAAAAACTCACATGTTTGATTTGGCACAAGTTTCTGTGGATTGATGCCCACTTCTTCAGATGCCTGAAGAAGGGTGTGCAAACTAATATTTCTGTATCAATATTGGGTGTATAAATAAGCTAAGAACCCTCTATGGCAAATCAGAGTAAAACTCTTAGTAATTTGAGTTGGGCAAGGCCACCTCTGAACAGGTAATCATTCTCTTGATCCAAGTAGTAAATTATAGGAAAAGATTACTTTTTGCAACAAATTATGCACATCAGTTTCAAGACTGTGCAAATGCCATGTAAATGCTAAACATTATTGTTACTATCAGTATTAAGTAATGGCTGAAATTCAGAAGTAAATCGCTATTAAGGCTGGCCTATTGGATTAGTGAGAGTTGTTGACTCACTAAATCCACACAGATTCAGTGGGCCTACTCTAGTTATGATTTACTCCTGGATTTCAGCCACTGGTTCTTTATGTGTGATTGCTTAACCAAGACTATATCCATTACAGATTGGATAGTCACCTTTTTTCTTCTAGGCTTTTCCTAGTTTGCTTGTCGTTGCAAAGCTGCAACGAGTGATGTTGTGTTCTAAACATAAATCCATTTTAGCATCAGAATCATTTGCCTGCTGTGCAAGAATCTTTCTTGAATTTCATCGGTGATAACATTTTTTGTTTTGTGTATCTGTTGTTGGAAAGTTAAGAACTTGCCAAATCTCATTCACTTTCATTTAAGGCAGATGCACTCATTTTTCAGTGAATTGTGAAGGAATAAATCTGGTAATTGGTTCAATTTAAGTAGATCCACTGATTCTATACTCTGCAATTGATCCAGAGGTTTTACTCGGACTAGCTGTTGGATCAAAGTCTGAAAATTTAGTTACATGCTGCTTTTGGTTTTCGAAGATTTTGCCTTCTCAGATGGTAGTGGAGTTTCAACATTTTTTTAAATAAGACTTTTAATTTATTTATATGGATTTTAAGTTTGCTTTGCAAAGCTGTTGCCACTGCATTAAATGGAGCCTGCTCTCTATTAAATTACAGTCTAGGTTGTTTAGGATTACAGTCATACTGCATAGCTCTTAGAAGAGATTGGTTCTTCTCTTTGTTGAGTAGCAACCTTTATATTGCTGCAGTGCAAGACAGAGGAAAATTGTGTTGGAACTCTTTAATCTAAGAGGGAACAACTCTGTCCACAAGCACAGAAAAGAACAGCTCCACATGCTCCTGAGGTGCTCACTGTTCGCTTTAGCAATTGCCGGCTTCCATTACACAAGGGAGACATTATGCCACTGGATGCATGGGCCTTTCTGCTTGTCTGAGGGATCAGTAGATTCCCCCTTGCTCAAGTACCAGGAAAAGAGGAACCACGTGCCGAACAAACCATTCCAGGCAAGGTTCAGTATTAACATGATATAGGACAGTGAAATTGCTTATTTTACCTCATCTTGCCCACTGAGGTAAAAATTGGTTTTGCCATTGTAGGCATGAGCAGACTTCATATTTATGGTACCTTCCTTAAAAAAGATAATTTAAAAATCCTTTTAACGAGGACCTGAAGTGCACCAACAAAATAGTGGCTTGGGGCTGAGGCAATAAGGAGATAATCCCATTATTTATTGTACTATATGACCAGTATGTTGGGTGTTACTGCAAATTCTTCACGTTCAGATCTAGGAGGCCCTCACAGGTGTCTTTCCTGCCTGCCACAAAAGTAGTCTCTGATGGTCACTCTTGCTTGCCTCATTATTGTTTGGTTTTGGGGGCAGAGAAGAGGCAAACTTCAGACTAATGCTAGATAGAAACTCTAATATAAAGTGAATAGTTTAGTAAAATACAGTGTGAGATTGTGAATAGCTACTTTCCTTAATTCCACCCATGGATACAGCCAATTTAAATCCCTTTTCTTTGTCCTGTGATGTATTTATTTCATTTCTGTGCCAACTTGCTTCTGGTGTAGAGACCCAAGACAGCTCACAGATGGTTGAAAATGGGTGCAATATTTACCAGTTCATTTTAGAAATTAAGAGACTGCCAATTTAAATCCAGTTTTGGGAACACTTTGCACATGTGAAAAGAAGTGAAGATGTGCAGCATCGTGCAGAAAAACTCGGTTGCCTGGCTCAGTTGTTAAAAGCGTGCCTAAAAAAGAACCATGCCTGAAGAGAAAGACATTTCCTGGCTCATAGATTGAAAGTAGTGAAGGGAGCTACCTGACATTCTAAACACATCCTGAAAAATTGAAACTATGGCCATTGCAAACCATTAGTGGGTTTTACAAAATCCTGGGATCCAAAGACTTTGAAAACAAATTCTTCTTCACATTTATGTGTCCTCAGTTTAGGACGGGAGCCTTCCAGATGTTGTGGGCCACCATTCCCATCACTCCCTTGCAGGTGCCCCTACCAGTTAGGGCTGAAGGGGGTTGCTGTCCAAGAACATCTGGAGAGTACCTTGCTCTCTCACGCTCTCGCTCTCTTCTGGAAAATTCCACTGTCCAAGAACATCTGGAGAGTACCTTGCTCGCTCGCTCTCACTCTCGCTCTCTTCTGGAAAATTCCGCATCTGGTGCTGAGAATTGAAGGACTGGGAAAAAGCATATCAACTGAGACCTTTCCTTAATCTTCTTTTATAACATGTTCTCTGAACTGAACATAAATTAGTAATGGTTTCGCTGGTAGTAAAGAAATCTGGAGCAATGAAGTTTCTTTTCTATGGTTTAGCAACCTATCCTCTGAATCTTCAGAGACAGACAGATTCAGAGGCTATGCTAATTATCCTATAATTAATTCAGATCTGCTGTAACAGGCCTTCTTTTTCATGATGTGACATTAGTTAAGTAGCAACACCTGTCTCAAGAGTTCTCTTTATCTGAAACATTAAATTATCCAATCAGAAATTATCATATTGCTTAATAATGTCAAAGATATTTAAGTTATTTATTGGTTTATAGCTAGGCAGCTTATTAGGCAGATGCTGCAGTTCAGCTCCCATTGTGGCATTTGGTTAATTAGGTTGTAGTACTTGCTAATGTCTGGGCCACATGGGAGAAGAGTTAACTCTTGCTGGTTAGAAGAAAATGATCGTCAGTAGTCACAAATGTCTCATTTGTATGCTAACAGAGCTTCCCCCCCCCCTTTCTAAAAGTGTGTGTTGTGAGTTGGAACATAAAACAGTGTGCAGGCATCCACAGATCTGCTCATTAGGGGTGAAAGCCCATTAGCTCTTCAAATAACTGATACCATAAAGACATCATATCTCACCTTCCTCATATCCTTCAAAAATAAGAAAAGAAACCTAGCCCTGGTTGTTGTGGGTTTTTCGGGCTCTTTGGCCTTGTTCTGAAGGTTGTTCTTCCCAACATTTCACCAGTCTCTGTGGCCGGCATCTTCAGAGGACAGCACTAGTCACTAGGGCCTAGTGGATTGCACAAGGTTAGCTATAACTGTTTTTCATAAATGTAGATGCAGTGTAACTTAATTTACTTATTGGATGCTTTATTAGAATGTTCACTGCCTTTAAAATACATGTAAAACCTTGATGTTGTAACAAATAGTAACTTGGGTGATTTGGGGCATAGAAATGATACTAGTAGGGACAGTTGTATTCTCCTTCCTGCTTGCTGCAGTGCTGTGCCTTACTGGCTCTCCCAGTGCAGTACAGTAGAACCCTCGTATCATCTGGATCAATATCCACTGATTCAGTTATCCACAGTCTGAAAAAATTAAAAATTAAAATACTGTACCTACTACAGTGGTACCTCGCAAGACAATTACCCTGCAAAACGACGAATCTGCATGATGACGAGGTTTTGCGACCGCCATTGCACTTTGCAAAACAGTGATTCCTGTGGGGGAATTTCGCTGGATGATATTTCAGTCCGTTCTTCCCCAGACACTTTTTTTTATCCACAGTCTGAAAAAATTAAAAATTAAAATACTGTACCTACTACAGTGGTACCTCGCAAGACAATTACCCTGCAAAACGACGAATCTGCATGATGACGAGGTTTTGCGACCGCCATTGCACTTTGCAAAACAGTGATTCCTGTGGGGGAATTTCGCTGGATGATATTTCAGTCCGTTCTTCCCCAGACACTTTTTTTTCGAGACCGATGCTTAGCAAGAGGACGATTCAACAGCTGATCGGCGGCTCTGCAAATGGCTTCCCTAGGGTGCATTCCAGTGGGGAAATGCTTTTCGCAAGACAATGATTTCGCTAAACAGCAATTTCAGTTGGAACACATTATCATCGTCTTGCGGGCCACCACTGTATTATGGATTTTCAAGATGTAATGGTCAGACTGGCCACTAGAGGGAAGGGCCCACTATGTTATATCGATTAGCCACCACCATTTTGCCTAGTCCCAGCAGCTTGAAGCAGCTTACTTCCAGAGCAGTGTCGTAAAACTCAGATCTGGATTGGCTGGTGAGGGAAGAGGAGGGGTGCTAACCCAGGCCAAATTGCCTCCTGGGTGAGGTTCCTCACCTCCTGTCCTCCCTCTCTGCCTTCCAGCCATTGCCTTCCTCAATACTCTTACTGTAGTTTTAAGCTGGACTGGGGAGTGTGGGATCAATTTTGTTCTCATTCACCCTAATCAGCATAGTCAGTGGCAAGAGATAATGGGAGTTGCAATCTAAGGACATCTAGAAGAACTGTGCCTCGGCTCATTTCACATCCCAGCTTTACTTCTTGAACCCAGGACATGTCAGCAACCAGTCATGTGAAAAATATATTGTCTCTTTTGGGCCCTGATCTCATTCCTCCTTAAACTGACTTGAATAAGCATGGTCTTATCTTTGCTACCCATGACTTGGCATCCTGAATGGGGTTTCCTGTTTATAGTATTAATAGGAACAGTGTTTTGTTTGTTTGGGCTTAAGCAAAAAGGATGATGTCATAAGAAAAAGATGTTGTTAAGAGAAAGCGGAGAGTGTAAATTGCTTTTAAGGAAAAAGGAACTTGTTTGTAAGGGCTGCTTTTAAGGAAAAACTGATTTTAAAATCATCTCTCACAAAAGCACAAGAAGCTACTTTGTTACACTATCTGGCCAAGCTGCAAATGAATCTTGTTGAACTAAACATGCAGGATGCAGGTATAATAAGTACCGTATTTTTTGCACCATAAGACACACTTTTTCCCCACAAAACAGGGGGGTGGAAAATCTGTGTGTCTTATGGAGCAAAGAAAACAGATTATATTTTCCTGTTTTCTTCTCCTAAAAAATTGGTGCATCTTATGGAAAGGTGCATCTTATGGAGCGAAAAATACGGTAAATGGAGGTTGTAAGAAGTGGTGCAGTAACACAGCTTTGTGGCATGCTGTTTTGTTAACATCTCACCTTGTACATGTGTAGGTGTGAGTTCGACTTGGCAAGTAAGGGAATAACAAATATGAAGAGTACCATTGACAGTTCACGCCCCTTGTAGTTGATGGAGCGGAAGATGCAAAAACCAGTGGTGTGTGGAACTGGAGCAAATGGGGGGTATTCACACATGTACAGAGGCAGGCCTTTAGGCAAGCATGCACTGAGGCCCCCTGCCTCTCATAGGGAAGCAGACAGAAGTGCTTTGGCTACAGAGAGCCTAAGTCTGAGACAAGATAGTGCCCCCCTTACCCTAACAGTGAAGAATAGGTGCAGAGAAAGAGTCTATTTAACTTCCATTCTTGTGCAAACGAACATGTGAGGAAGCTTAGCTGACCTTAGTGGGATGTATTTTTGAACAAACATGCCTGAGTTTGGACTTTTAAAAGTTTGGTAGATTGAGTTAGCCTAAATTATCGAATTGGATTTTTTAAAAAAAGACTTTTCTTATCTAAGAAACTAAAATACTGACATTTTCAAGTTAAGACAAGTTGGCATAAACTTGAACTATATTTTAAAATCCTACAGTGGTGTCATCATTCTATTTTTCTTTCTTTCTTTCTGGTTTTCAGAAGTCTTACAGTGGCAATATAAAGAGTCTTCTGAAATTAAAAGAAAATGTGAATTTCTGAAAGCCAGTTTCACGTAAAAATGAAGCAACGATGCCATCTTGTGGATCTGATGACATGGTTTTGCACATCCCTTCCCTTTAGGGCTTTGCTGTCAAATAGCTTAAATGACATTTCCCCCATATAGTCTCAAAGCTGCCTGTCATTCTGTGTTCAGTCACAGCAATTAATCATGAAATTAATTGTCAGTTGCTAAGAGAGGAACTTTCTCTTAGGATATAATCCATAAGAATGTGAGAATCTGCCCCATCTTCAGAATGTGTTGAATTGTTATGAGTGTAATCTAACTTTCTTCTAATGTACTGTAATCTGTAGTCCAAAGGATAATAGTTCATTCTTCAGTAACCTCATAAGCTACTGTAGCTTGTAAGGAATAGCAGTCAGCTTCGGTCTGGTGGATGCCTGATCTAATACAAAGTACAGTTGGCTGCCATTTCATGGGATGGGTTATTGGTGGTCAGGGTGATTTGTTTTAACTAAAAAAAAAATTTAAATTGCGGTTTCAATTTTAAAATATCAGATTTTTTTAATGATTTAAATTAAAAAAAAACTAAATCATGATTTAAATCCTGATGTAAATCCATTTGACTTTTTAAAAATTAATTTTTATCCACCCTGTTGGTGAAAAAAAATCAGACTTAAATTCAAAGGTTTACTATGGTTATAGCCCCAGCATCACTACAACTGTAGCCCTCACTGAAATAATAAAATCAAAATTCTCCAATGTCACTCACATTGTTTTTACCAAAAACGTGTGCATGTGTAAGAACTGTCTGTAAAGAAACAAAGCATTCTTCTTGTTGCTGCTTGCCCATTATGGCTTGGGCATTGTTATGGCTATATCAGCTTTGGATGTGACAGCTCAAAACTTGGTGTTGTGCTGCATCCAAAACAACCTCTGGGTTCTTTGGTTGATAGGGTATTCCCCTTCCTATAATTCTTTTCTCATTAATTGTATCTTGAACTACCAGTGTAACAGTCTGGGCTTGTCATTTCTAATTATGTTTTCTGCATTTTGTCATCAGCATTCAGTTCTAGAAAATCACAGAGATAAAGGCAGTGGTTCAAACAGCTTTTGCCATTCCCAGGCTGGCCATTTTTATGACAAATTGCATGATGAAGGATGCAGTGGGAGCAGAGGACTACCAGGCAGATAATGGAAAGCCTGGGAAATACTGCATTTGCCTTATGGGTTGGGCCATTTATGCTTCATGATTACAATAGGATTCTGATTCATGATTTATTGGAATGTATGTATTTACCTTGGTACTTCTTAGCATTCGTCAGTTGACTCATGTTGCAAAGGCCGAGTTTTTTTATATCTGCCTGCAAAAAGGCCACAATTCCATGCTATACAGTAGAATCAACATACAATATGTTCTATCAAAGTCAAATTTAAGGGGGTTTGCATATCATCTTAAGGAAACTGCTTCAGGCCATCACTGTTCTGACTTCTGTTGCATGCTGTTTTTCCGTTGTTCATTCAATCAAATTACAAGGTACGTTTATTTGCCAACATGCTCCACGCATTGATTTTGAATCTTCATCCTTATTTCTTGGGCTAATTTTTAGTGATGACCATGAACGTGGTCTCTGTAGCATTGACTTTTAGACCAGGTTAATTACTTACTTCATGTATTTCCTTGAATGTTGGCACCTAGTAATGTTGCATCATCAGCCTATCAATTGTTGTTGATAACTTCTACATTGACGGTCCTACTGTTTTTGAATAATCAAATGTTTCACTGAAGATGTGCTCAGAATACAGATGTTGAGATAGCTCTGTAGCCGTCAACCAACTGAAATATTGGGCATCTCCATCAGCTGAAAATCATAAACATGTGGATTGGGAAGCCTATGTTTGAGTGGTCTATTCACAAGGGCTCCATTTAACCCCAAATTCATACCATATCAGAAACATCTCCACCTTCTTCTAGAATGCAGTACTGATACAGGCCAGAAGCAAAATGATCCGTCACTCGTTGTTCAAGAATTGTAGGGCGTTTCTGCACTGAGTGAAGTGGGGAAAGCATACAGAACAAAGTGGCATAGCCCTGTGGAAAGTATTGCGATGCCTGTGTCAGTTGCAAGTGCAATGCAGGTTGATGTTTCGAAGAGTGATGTTTGGATTTTCAGTGATGTAAGGATAAGTATCCAGTATGGTATGGCAGATACAATGATGGGCTAGGACTCTGGAGACCAGAGTACAAATCCCCACTCATCCATGGAGACTCATGTAAGGGTGGGGTGGAACTGGTAAAACCCCTCCTTAAATATCTCACTTATTTTGAAAACCCAATAAAATTGGTTCCAATTTGATGGCACGTAAACACCCCAAAACAAGGGGGTTAGTGTTGGACAAGGACCCAGGAGATCTGGGTTCAAATCCACACTTGGACATGAACGCAATGGGTGAATTAGATCATAGGATTGTTGGGTGGCGAACGTAGGAAGGATGCCATCTTGAGAGGAAGTGTTAAATATAAATGTAACAGATAAACAAGTAAAGAAAATATGTGGGAATTTATTCCCTCCTATGCTTCAGAAGCATTCCTATAAAAGCATGTCACTTTTCTTTTTCTAAACCATTTGCCCTTATTTATTCATTCTTTCATTATTTCTTTCTATTGTTTTACAGTCACTCTGTCTCACATTACACAGCTGGTCCTCAGTCACAATAAGCTCACAAGTAAGTACATTTCTAAATATTTTATTTCTTCCTGAATATGAATGAAGCTCCCTGCTGATTCTCTTATTGGAATGCCAATATTGGTTATGTATTACATGTTAGAGCTTCTGTATCATATTCACAGAGCAGGAATAATAGACAGCTTTGTAGAAATTCATGGCTCTAGAAATGACTGATGAATGGCTAATGACATATTTCTCACCAAACTACAGAGGGTAGTTTTCTTTGAAGTAACTCTTTGTATTCTTAAAGATTTAATTTTAGAATTATTCAGTAGTTTATCTTGTAATTATTGTTTGCCTGAATTGAGATGGAATGTACATTCATCTAGTAAAGAAAAAACAACACTGATATGTGTGTGTGGGGAGGGGTTAAAGTTGTGATGTAATTATGGCTATGTTGCTGCTTTCTGAAATACACAAACTCTGATATGGGTTGCAGAGGAAGTCAATGGGATTCAGTTCTAAATAAGGGTGAAATCTTAATTTTGCACTGTACTTTCAGCTACCAAGTACCTTTTGCCACACCTTTGTGGAGGTCAGTCTGCTCTACCTTATCCACCTCCCTTTTTCAGCCTTTTGAAGAGGTTCATTACTGATACAAATAGAGAGCAACAGGGCAGCAGAGGCCTAAATCGCATGTGACAGAGTGAAAATCTCTGCTAATGTGAGTCCACTGGATCACACCATTGTGCAAGGAGTTGCATAGCCTCTTGCACAACAGTGTGTACAGTAAAGCCTGTACCGAATACTACCTTCTGGCTAACTGTAGAAATTCACAGCTGTTAACTCAGTGGGCTTTGTGTTGACACAGTGATCTTAATGGATAGAGAAGAATGGACTTGTGGATGTCGTTGACCAACACTGGCAAGTTAAAGTTGTAACTCCGCTATCCAGCATACAGTCCCTTGCACTTCTGAAACCTTTGTTATACTTTCTGAAACCTGAGGTGCTACAGTCTTTACAAGTGCTACTGTTCCTTCCAGAAAATATGCTTCTGAAATCTTAATTCTCCCAAGCTTTTCTCTTTTAGGTAATCAATGAAAACAGTTCTGATCTCTTCCCATTATAGGAGGGAATCTGTGGTCCTGACAAGTTGGCTTTTAAAATTTAAAGACAGTGACTGAAATCCTGTTATGCAATTATACAAATTGTGCACCTTTTTAGAGGCCCAATTGGTATAAGTTCAGAGAGCTCTGTAAATCTTACCTTTTACATGCTAGGTTGCACAACTCAAGAGGCAGCAGATAATGTTTATCAGTGTTTCTTAACTTAGGGCAATTTGCTTCTGAATGTTATGCCATTTACATTAACACCAGAGCTCCCTTGGGGCTCTTTTAAAGAGAAAAGTGGGGTAAAAATATTTTAAATGGAATTAAATAAATAAATATTATTGAAACTTCAAGCTTTTATAAGTCGCTTGGAGAAGATTACTGCGAGATGGGGTACAGAACAATAAATAAAAGGAAATGCTATCTTCCCTCTTACACATACCCACACTCACATACTTCTGAAGGACTGAATTTCAGTTCTGTTATTTGTCACATTGGGCACTCTTGACCTAATCCTTTAAAAATATACAATTAATTGTCTGAGCAGATCAGCCACAAAATGACTTTGGAAAAACAGTGTCAGTGACACCTGATGTGCCCCACAAAGGTCATATTAGCATCTCTTACTGGTTTTCTGGCATATAAATGAATGTGCCTGCTTTGCTATTCCATTGTTTATAGTAAATATGTATTTTCCAAGGCAGTAAATATACATGAAAGGTAAGCAGATGTCCAGTATTTTCCACAGTTAGCGTTTGCAGCCCGACCTGTCACCCTGACAAAAACAGGCAAAGCTGCATCATAACAGTAAGTCATCTTGTCTTCCTTTCTGTCTTTGCCACCGTTTCATTGTTTTTATTTGAATTATTCTTAGGATCCCTTGCATCGTTCTATCAATAAATCTGCCACATGTAGAGACACTAGCGTTTGCTTCTTCTGCGGAACATAAAAGAAGGAGGTGCTTGCATGCATCTGTGATTGTCGAAAATGTGTGTGGCTTTCAGTGCTCTTCAAAGAAAATTTGAGAAACAGAGAAAAAGAGGCAGCAGCAAAAAATAGTTAAGCTCAGTTCTACAACTAGGTACCTTTCAGAGGTGATTCAACCCAGAATCTGCCCTTGCTGGCTAGAGATTATGGGAATTGTTGTCACATGCAGCTCAGAGACATCCGCTTGGGGAAGAGTGATGCTTACAGTTTTTGAAGGGTGGTTTGAAGACTGATTTATGAAGCAATAGAGGGTTGTTGTTTTTCCCTCTGGGGATTTCAGGAGCTGTTACAATACTGAGCTGTGTTTCTTTCTGGAGAACTGTGGTCATCAACGTGAACCTTACAATTGTTTCTAGAAGTTTCTTGAAGTCATGCATGTGTTATGTCAAAACCAATACACAGCAACTCTGACAGGGCTTTCAAAGTAAGTGAGATAGTTAAAGAGTGGGTTTACCAGTGCCACCATTCCCAGTGAGTTTCCATGGCTGAACTGCAATTTGAACCCGGACCTTCTGAGTGCTAATCTGCCACTCTGTTCACTACGCCACAATGGGCACTCATTTGAAGTCATAATTTTTGTAAAAGGTTGTTAGTGACAGAATGAGATTTTTCAGCAGGTTGGTTATATTTGTTTCCCTCTTCTTTAGAAGGAATTTAGAATTCACAGAATCAAGAGTCAGATGGAACCTTTATCAGTCTACTTTGTTCAGGCTTTGTTTGTGATTTTGAATCAGAGAGAAGAAAAAGTAATAAACAGGTGAGCTTTCAAGGTTTGCAGGACCTCACCTTATTTGGCATGGCAGAGCTTGAAGGCGGGCAGAGAAAGAGAAAGTCTAGAAATCATCCTGGCCAGCAATTGAACCTTCCGAAACAGTTGAACCAAAGAGAGAGAACCAAAGCTGTCTGGGGGATTTTGGGATTTGTAATCTAAAAGCCCAAGCCTTTTAGACCTCTATAGGCTACAAACATAAGGAATCCATTTGAGGGTTTGTGGTGTGTTTGTAGTGTTCACCAGAGGAAATGTAGATTTCATTGTTTTGCTCCATCTCTCAATAGCTCAGTGGCTTAGCCATCTGGCTGCAGGGCCAGAGGTTTGGTAGATTAGTGCCCCCACTGGGCCTCCTTGGCAGGGATTGGACTCAATGATCCATAGGGTCCCTTCTAGCTCTTCACTTCCAAGATGACGACTGGGAGATATGATAAAAGCTAAGATGCAGAAAATGTAAACAAAGAGATAGTAAATCACTTAGTGATTCCTTGCTTTCAATCTGGTTTCTTTTAGTATTGTAAGCTGCCTTGAATCGTTTCAGAGAAAGGCGGCATGCATGCATGCATGCATGCATACATACATGCATG